GTGCTGATCAATCCCAATCGTCCTTGCCAATCTTTGTTTTCTCGCATTTCTTTGATTCCGCTTTTGGATTTTCCAACCTCCCAGAAAAATTCCAACCTATCATTTCCTGTGTGGGAGCGAGGGCCGGGCGCTGAGCAGGCATAGCACAAAGACATAATGGCTCTTTGTACACCACCAGCACTGCCTACCCGTGAATAAGACACAGACATAGGGACTGTTTTCAAACGTACATCAGCCACCCAAAGGCTCCATCCTAAGTCTCAGTCATTCACGTTCGCCCACAGGCTGGCTTGTGGAGGCGGGGAAGTGGTCAAAACTGAAATAGCTGGACGGTAAGAAAGATGTAAACACACAAGCGTGTCTCGTGTTTTGCCATGAAAAGTGAACATGCGTGCAAAATAGCTTTGTGAAACCACATCATGACCCAGAGCTTCCTGCTACAATGATAACAGCAAAAAGCGCACATGACTTTAGAATAACAATAGCAAAAATAGATTTGTGAGTACAAAGTAATGCTCGCCCTTTGTAAATGTTATACTCGATTTATCTTTGATTGCGTGTACGTTTGTTTATCTGCCACATTCAGTATTTTTGAGAGCTCGGGTTAATATGCTTTACATGACAGTGTCCTGTTTAAGGACCATCCCTTGGTGATAATAATTCATCTGTTGTCCTGATTGCCTTAATTGTGATAAGAAATCACTAATCAGCAGAAATGGCCACACACACACACACACACACACACACACACACACACACACACACACACACAATAAGATATTGTTTACCTTTCATCCAAATGGAAACTCTACTTGTAGTAGAAAAAGAGCACACATTTTCCACATTTTAAAGCAGCCCCGTGGCATTTTAAAAACATTTCCGTGACACTGTTCAAGTCAAAATACTGCCAAAATCAAGCATCACAGTGCAATTTACATTCCCCCCCCGCCCCCCCCCCCCCCCCCACACCCACACACCCCCTTTTTTTTTTTTTTTTAAATTACAAAAACAGTGTCACTTGAAGGTCATTTGTATTTGTGCCTTTTCTGGAAATGACTTTCTTCGGGCTTCTGATTGGCTTTCATTTCATGGCATTTTAATGTGGACGATGACATTAAATGGCATTGCCATGAGGTATACTGTATTTGGAAAAAAAATAATCACAATATAGTCATAGTTCTGGAGTGCTGTCATCAAGGGCTTTGTCACAAATAGAGTTTTGACTGTCCACTAGCCTAATTTAACATGACGACCAAGCTTGGGAACCATTGGCTAGAAATGACTGAAAATTGAACATTTTAAACAAAAGTGCATGACTAATTTTAATTCAGCCTGGTTGTGTCTGTAAGACACTGGTTTTCGCCAACTGTTTTCACTGAATATTCCTTATTGGTGATGAATTGCTTGTGTTCCCACGAGCTCCCAAATGCAATTCAGGAAGTGAAAAGCACAGCATTAAATCACAACATTGCCCTCAAGCCATGTTTGCCAGATCATCAACAACTCTTCAGTTTGAACCGCAAATGAGGCTTAGACATTCAAGCTCACAACTTTGGGAATAACAAGAACAAAAAGGAGTTGGCTGTTGTTTTGTTCCCAAACCAGGACATTAAGAAAAAAAAGAAATGTGTTAACCATCCAGTGTGCTGAGGTTAACCATGAAACCCCTTCAGCTATTGTTCTCTCAGCAGCTTCTTTAACTGTGCATTTATGTGTATATTTATACACTATGCGTATGCTATGTATGTTGTGACATCTTACCTTTAGGTTAGCTTCAGAAAGTACAAGTGTGCATTTTCCACCAAGCATTAATGTTCTCTTTGTCGCTGTTCACTATTTTTGTGTTTTCTTCTGTCAAAAGGTGTGCAGCCTATCATGTGTGTATCAAACAAAATGATATGTCTTTGTGTTACTGTAATAGAGGCTCTTTTTTTCCTTTTAACCAAATCGCATCTGCTGGTCGACAAAAAGTTCCCAATTCCTTTACACTGTATACCTGAGAGCAGAGGCAGTGGAGGACAGAAGTATGGCCTACATCCAGATAGGTTATGAAGTGTCTCTGTACATCAAAGCCTTTGATTTGCTTTCGTCCTGCGTAACTCATTCACTCCTAAAGACAGAGTTGTCCTTTCAGAGTCCACACATTCAATCCCAGATAATTATTTCTATTTTTTCAAAAAATGTTTTTGGAGTTCAAGGTTTAAAAAAAAAAAAAGAAAAAATGTCGGAAAATGGCTACCACGGAATGAGTTAAAAACCGTCAAGTGATTTTCTTTTTTCTTTTTTGCAGAAATGTAGAGCCGCAATGTTCAGTGTCAGTCCAAACTTGCATAATTGTCTTCAGTGATTCTCGTGCCTATGACCCAGCATCTGGTCTCCAGAGAAGCATTACATTTAAGCACTCTGCCAAAATAACCCCGTTGTATTTGTTTGCTTCTGTGCTCCTATGTATGGGGCAGCATATAATGTTGGGAGGATACAAACAAGAAAACAAGCACTTAACAGTCTCTGAAAAAAAAAAAAACATCTTTTTTATCCCTTGCTCAAAGAAGAGATTTTTCAAATGTGAAAATAAAAGTATCACAAGGGGCCTCTCAAGACTACGCTCTGTATCCCTGTCTCTGTCTTGTCCCGGTCTGCTCTGCTTCTTGTCAGCCTGCAAAAATAGTCATCAATTAACATTCCCAGTGGTGGTCTGGGAGGGCACTAAATCACATAAGCAGTCATATTACTCTCTTCTATCTCAAGACGCCAGGCTGCAGGAGAGAATACATGAGAAAAGCCACGAATGGCTGCCCGTGTACAGAAACTCAAATGTTCTTGTGGCGCATTTGTGTCCACATGTAGTAAATGGTGGTAGAAAGAAGACCAACAAAGACCTATCCAGAAACAATGACAGCAGATTGAATTGACAGAGACAGGAGCACCGCATACCTGTCAACTCATACGGTTTAGTCATATTTTATACGGATTTTGTGGTGAATCTTACGTATATGGCCATATCGCACAAATCATACGGATTCTGAAAATTTCCGTTTTTTTTTTTTTTTTTTTCCCCTAACAGGTAGTTCCGTTTGCTTTTGCCCAGAATGGTGCTCGTCTACTCGAATGCTTTCATTTCCGGTAACGTTCCAGTAAATCACGTGGTTCCTAGTTGAAAACAGCAGAGTATTCATTCCATACTTCGGTAGGGTACAAGCAAGTTCTAATCTACAAGGTGAACAAAGTAACGCAGGAATACAACTCTGAACACAGTGATGCCACTAAGTAGAATGATGATTAGACATTCACCTGCCATTGTATGATGGAGATCTATAATAAATATCATTAAAAATTTCGTGGGTTTTTTTCTGCCGTTATTTTGACATATAAAATGCTTTGGTATGTTATAAGGATTTTTTGCTCTTTATAAGGTTTTTTTTGGTAGTTTATATGGGTTGGTGCTCCGAAAGGTTGACAGGTATGGCACCGCGAAGAAATTTTTATGCTGGTTCGATACAACCCATTTGGACAGTGGTCCCCAACCTTTTTTGTGTCACGGAGCAGTTGAAACAAGTACATAACCATTTTTTTCACTGCTTTTAAATTGCCAGTTTTAAAGCACTAGTACTGAGAATTATAGAGGAATTAAACATTTTATTCTCCTTTTTTTCTCATTCATTTCAAAAAGTGTTATTCTGCTGTACAACAAATGTAAAATAACACAATGAACTACTCAGACATAGACCAATCGGGAATAATAATTACACCTTATAATAGAAACGGAATTTTGAAGTTAGGATCTTACATACGGCGTTAGCATCATTGTTACTTGCAAATATGACTGAGCAAAAAAAATTACACGACTGATCGTTGCTTTCATCTGGTGGCTGCCGGCTAATTATTAGTGACTAAACTGCTAAGCTTTACGTCGGGAGGCTGTGCAAACCGCTCGCTTTTTCATGTCTTCCACTTGATCACTTGGGTGCAACTTGTTCAAATGATTCAACAGGTTTCTTGTATTGCCTTATTTTTGATGACATACCATGCACAACAGCTTCCTCCTCCACGTCGCTCTGGAGATTCTGCTAGAGGAAAGAAACTTCTCTCGTCAAAATAGCTTCATCTTTGGAAGTGATGGCTGCAGTGTATAACTGTACGATTGATCAATTTGTTACAATTACTTTGTTTACTGATTCTTTCACTTATTTGGCTGATTCTGTTTATTTCAACGTGTCAACCAATGATAGACGGGGCACTCCGATTGGGTTGAGTCGCCAACACGTCAGTTAAATTTGCTGACAGCTCGCAGTCTGTCTATGTCGGTGCGGTCCCAAATGGGCTGAGGCACGGTACCAGTCTGCGGACCGGTAGTTGGGGACTGACTCCATCTGTACCGCAAATACGCACACCAGTCCAGTACAAAGGTATATATGTAGTATACGTGTACATGTCAACGTTATTAGAGTTAGCACAAACTAACAAAAGAACTAAAACTAAAATGAAAATAAATGATAAACGATACAAAATAAAAACGAGAGTACTTTGCGTTCCCGGAGAGTAAATCATCCTAATCCTCCTATACTTTGGTGAAATCTCGAATCCTAGTCATTTTACCGACATAAATGCTCATCAGAACATTTTAATAACCTGCGAAGCAGACTGGCCCGCTGCACTGTGCGCGTCGTTCACAGGACAATTGATCCCGACATTCATGAGATATGTCATATGGGGAGCTACTGACCTCTTTTGACCACTGCGTGGACTGCAGACACTTGTTGAATCAATCCATTTTCTTGAGCGTCATTCTCAGGGTGTCGGCGAGGGGCAGGGTACACTTGACCTGGTCGCAAGCCAATAACATTGCACAGGGCGACAACTATTCACAACTTAAGTCTCAATTAACATGCATTAATCGAGACATGGGGGGAGATGGGGGAGAACATCATGCAAACTCCACATCGGCCTGTGCCAAGATTGGAACCCTGAACTTCCTGATGGTTATGCAGACACAGAAATGATTCAGAGTCATGGACCATTTAATGATCTTAAGAAGTTAAACAACAAAATTATTTTACAGTTAAAAATGTCCTCATGGAGGAGCATCGAAATACAACCAAATTAAGACAGTTTTCGTATCAATCACTGTTTTTTTTTCTTCTTCTAATTTATCAAAACATGATAAGTGCCTTCAACAGAACAATGATAGTATTGAGCTTGCAGTCATAAAACAAGACTGGCAGGCGTGATTTACTTTCAGCATCGGTTTCACACAAGAGTCCCTTTCCTCAGACAATAACTACACAGAGAAATATCAGCGCGCATGGAGGACACATGGAAGTATTTACAGCTTTGCTTTAGAAAGACAAATCCACATTGGACAGACAATAACAAACACATCCAATAGCGGCATGATGGCAAGTTCAAGTCACATTCGTTGCACATCTGTCATTAGACGGCTTGGGGCAGTAGGTGAAAAAGGTGAAAGAAAATTCCCAACATTCATCCACAAAAAGGAATGGAAATATAAAGTTATATTAAAATAGATCATGATTACTTTTTTTCTTTTGTTTTACAGAAAACACGTACATTTTGGCACAGAATTGAAAAAAAAAAGTTTTTTGTAGTTGGAAGAACACATTGAAAACGTTTGAGGATCCAGCTGTAAAATAATAATAAATTCACTTGGTCTCTCCACATTGCATCAGTCTTGAACTGTGTATCATATTTACAGTTGCACAATGGCCCGCAAAGATGCTGCTAACTAACTTTTGACTGTAAACTGTACAACTCTCAACTTGACCATGGAACAAAAGCAGCAGACGAAAAGTCTCAATCTCTGCGTTATACCATAATATGGATGATTTTACACTCAAATCTGTACAGACTTCATATTTTTTTCCTTGTACGTAGTGCAATGACTCCTCATGTCTCTCTTTAAAAAAAAATCACAATCACTTTGATGAAGAGAAAAAAAAAAAAAACCATCAAGAATCTCCAAAAGAGTGAGTCCACAGCCATACCAATGCCTCCAAAACATGGCAACATTTAAAGATTCAAGCAGAAATGCTCTTAGAAACATTCTGTACTTCAAAAGTAACATTTTTGCACTTCAACACCATTGAGTGAATTAAGGACTTGGTGAAGTGAACCAAAATAGTGAAAAAAAAATTGCTTAAATGCTTAATTGAGATTTTCATAAAAAATATGAGGCAATTCCACTTTAGAAAAATCAGCTGGTGTTGGCTTTGCTTTAGAAAAAATAAATAAAATCAAACAGAGGCAATGACGATCATGAGGTGAGGTGAAATACTGGAGATGCTGTTTAGAAGGTCTGGGGCCAGGCGGGAGAGGTGGCTCTCGGAGAAGTCACACGGTGGGAAAATCTGCACCACGTAGGCGGGCTGGAAATACAAACATGAACATATTAAGAGGGAAGAACTCACACAAGTCATGTGATTAGACCAGTGTTTCCCAACCTTTATAGCAGAGATGGGCATTCCGTCCATGGGACGGAAGACGAGAATTTTATTTTATTTTTTTAAAGGATGGACTAAGCAAGGGCGGAAGTGGGTTTTCGTCCGTCCCTGTAATCGTCCCTGACTGGGTTAAGTATGTGGTGTCGGGAGGCAAAATAACAAGGCAAGAGTGTAGCCAAACACTGTATTTACATCACAGGCTATTAATGTCACACAACACGAGCTCGCATAAAGCCAGGGAGGGAAAGTCCATGTCACCAAAAGCTTAACCTGTACTAGCTTATCATATTCTCCTTGTAGCATTTGAACAACAGGGTAATTTCCCACGACACACTTGAGGATCTCTCCAAAGTGCCAAGGAACGGTGGGTGGGAATTACACCATTTGACTAAAAAAGGTTCAACACACCTGATTGGAACCAGGATTGGGCACATTGATGATGCCAGCTGCCTGCTTAGCCTGCAGGTAGGTGATGAAGCCACTTTTCAAGGCTTGCGTTTGACTTAGGACGTCATCCTGGTCTCGACCACAGGGTAACGCCAGCAACAAACAGTAATCATTCTCCACCTGCCATTGATGACATAAGTTGTTTCAGTATCATTTTCTATTCCTCCATATTTGAGGGCAGAAGTACTTACAGTCATCCGTCGTGCCACACTGTCTAGCTGAGATGCTTCCAGCCGCATCCTCTGAACAATGCGAAGAAGCGGACCTCCCTCTAGCGGTGGCAGTGAGCGCTGAGCCAATAAAGTGTTGCCAGAAACAAAGTGCAGCTGCACGGCGGCCTGCTCATTCTTCAGCGCCAAGAGACCTTGCCACATGATGGGATATTTCTGTACGAAAGCAAGATTTTATTTGATTTTCCCATGAGGCCGGTAATTGAAAATGTTAATTACAATGAATTAATTACAGATACAAAAATGCATTTTATCACACAAGGAACATTTCTCCAGGCCCTAATTCAAGTGCTGTGTGCACCCCCCCCCCACCCCGAAGTGGCAAGTGTGTGAAAGAAAGTGGAGGGGGCGTAGCTGTAGGGAACAAACGACAAAGACGAGCAGAGTACTTAAAAATCTGGTAATTTGGCAATCAAAAACATGACCAATTATTTTGTTATTTGAATTTAATCCATCAGAAAAAATATCTAATTTTTCACATTTCAATTTTAGACTTAGATGAAAAATACAGAACTGAATTGGATTTAAATATCTATTTGGTACGGTTTATGTGACCTGGAAGTTTGGTAATGAGCATTAATAATAGCTTGTTAGCCACAGTCTGGACAATTTCGTACTTTCTTTTAATTTTGAGCCTCTAATTGAATTACTGGGATTATAAAGACATCCGTTTTTTTCTGTTAACAAAAAAAAAAAAAACAACAAAAAAAAAAACCCAGAAGAATCTGTCACTTTTTGGGGGGCTTTTGACTTCCAATTGAACGGATTCTACAAGGCTATACTCCCAACTTCATGCAATAAATGTGTCGCAGCGAACAAAGACACCAGAGTAAATGTTAACGCTCTAGTTTGAGCAGGGCTAGCTTGCCTCAGCAACATACTGAAAAGATGAAAAAAAAATAATGATCCTGTATCCTGGACTCAAGTTACCACGGGATTTCTTTGATATTTAACGTTATTATGAAGGGAGATGGGTGTGCATGCACCTGTCTCACGTTGATGTTTGAAGCTGCGAAGGGAGTTGTGTCTATGTGTGTGTCTGTGTCTCTTTCTTTACACTTTCTAATTGAGATATTAATAAATTAGAGGTCAAAAACTGTTGAGTGTGTCTAATTCCCACCGTCAAAAGCTGCACCGTGTCAATCGAGCGGTGTCCTGAATGAGCTGACTTGGCATCAGGCCGTGGCTGAAATGAAGTAGATGAGAGTGTCAAGAATGCTGCAGGGCCTTTCGGTTGTGACTGATCTGGTTTTTGATTCAGGCCCATTGAAGTGGTCATAGGAGACTGGTACGAGGGTGAGACTCCCTCCCTTGATATTCTAGACATGTTTGAAGAGGTAGAATGGTGAAGGTGAGGACTCTCAGGCTTGAGAGACTGAGGCATTTTACATAGGTGACCCAATTCAGGTTCTGGGAGAATCTGAGGAGTAGGACATAAATCATTATGTTGAGTATTAATGGATTGTTGAGGTGGTAGAGGATGCAATTTGACATGATGAAAGTTGTCAGCAGTAAAAGCATTATATTTACCTGTGAAGATGTGCTGCTTCCCGATGAAGGATGTCCAGTTATCTGGGGAGGGAAGCTCCTTGGGTCACGATAGACTGGAAAGGAGGCCACACCTCCAGTATGAGACAGCTGCAGGCCGTGAGAGTGAGGAGACACCAAGACAGGGCTAGATGTGTGAACTGCCCTGATTCGAGTTTCACCACTCGGTGAATGGATCAGCTGTCTTTCCCGTGTTTTGAAGGATTCTTTTTCTGAAAGTTCAGCATTCTTTCTCACCGAGATGTTACTGGTTCCGTTCTCCGAGTTGTGTGACAATCTTGTTTCCACAGTGGCTTGCTCTCCAAGCTGTTGATGTGCGAGCATGCTCGGTAGCATGCCTCTGTACTGGTCCAGACTTAAGCTTGCATGGAGCCCTCCACGATCATTCTGAAGCAACATGATATCCGGTTGCATCTGCGGTATTGAGGCTCTGCTCAGGGCTTGGTTAAAAGGTCTGTGTTCCTCATCGGTTAGACTGCTGACACCGCCACCGGTAGCCAATGACCCCTGGGGAGTTGAATGAGACTGCCTGATGACAATGGATTGAGACATGCCTGAGTGTGGTACTGGCCCTGGCAGAGGAGAGGACAGAGAATTACTTCGCCTTCCGTAGCTGATTGCAGGCATTGGTGAAGCATTGATCCTTGGTTCATGTGTCACTGACTGGGTGACACTGTGAGGTTGGATGATGACAGAAGATTGCTCTGAGTGTGGATGGTGCACAGGGACATTGAAATTTGCTCTGGATGACACACCATGAGGCATGACAACTGAAGTTCCTACTGGGGAATTGCTAGGGGCACACACTTTGACAAGACGTGAAGGGGAGAGAACAGCCGTTTGTGAGGACTGGGGGTCTTGTTTTGGTTGCAGAACTGAGCGCTCAGTTGGCATGCCAGGACTGGAGCTTATGCGTGATCCAGATAGTGAGGGGTGGTGAGGGCTGTTGATAGGGCTGAGGTTAGCGTGTTGAATTGAATTTTGGGGTGGGACATCCGTTCCCGGTCTCTTACCCTGCTGCTTTATGACAGCTTGGTTGTACATTAAGACTTGAGGAGCAGAGACTGGCTCTTGAAACATCTTCACAACACTTGCCTGTGATGCCGTATGATAAACAACTTCAGGCTTGTCACGTCCATGGCTATCCAGCTTGGTACAAGAAATGACAGGTTGAGCATTATAAGATTTGTTGGTCAAGAGAACCCCTGTGCGTCCATAAGCAGATGGATTTGAGGGTAATTTAGTGCTGGGAAACTGGGACAAAGGAATTATCGGGTCTTGCTTTATCTGAGATTTAGGCATAACTTGCTGAAACTCTATGTCCCCAGTACTGGCTGGCGGAATTTGACTTATTTTGGCTCTCATTCTGTGGGGCCCTTCTGTTTTTTGACCGGAATAACTCAAAACAACAACACCCTCTGATGTATTTACTCGAAGACCAGGAATTGAACGTGAAGTGCTCTCGACAACAGAGCGTTCTCTAACTTCATCATCAACGAAGTCAAGCCCATGGTATCGATGACTTTCATTAGAATTTGCTTTGAATTTTGGTTTTGCCAAAGGACACATGCTTCTGTTGCTAAGGGAAATCCGTGGTGTCTCATCTGTATCGTATGGGATCGGAATGCGACTTATCACAGAGGTAGCAGGGGAAATTACAGTATGAGGGTTGTTCTCACCACTATTTTTGGGGGATTCTACCAGTGGTTTACATTTGTAATGTATGGACTGAGGGAGTGAAGACAATTTATCTTCTACATGCCTTGGGCCGGTGGCAACAGAGGTATTTTCATTTTCTGACATCTGGAAATGATCTGATGTAGTAGTTGTCACTGTAGTGCTGGGAATAGAATTGCTGTTTGATGCAGACACATATTTAGGTTCCATTAGGATTTTTCTTAAAGTACTGGAACTTGGATGCAGATCAGAAGCCTTAGTATCGGGAGGCATCGGGGGATTGATTGAAGAGGAGCCAAGCGAAGGTGATGCTGGTACAGTAGAAGTTACCACTGTTACATGACATGGAGGGCTAACAAAAATTCTACTTTCTTCAGTTCTCAGAGGCCAGTTCGGCAAAAGTTGAGCAGGTCGTAATAACGGTAGACCTGACTGCGATACAAGTGGTGGACGGGCAGGTGAAGGAGTAAAACTAGAGGGAGATGACTCTGCTGCTTCTCGTTTGCCATTGGAGATGACTCTTGAATCTGAATGAAAGGCTGATTCTTTGGGTACGGGCTGTTCAACTTCAGGTTGTTCTGCCTCTTTGGGTGTGCCCAAAGTCGTAGAGCTTGGAACATCGCGCCTACAGGTAGCGACAGCAGTTACCACTGATCCCACTAAAGTGGTCCCAGTTGTAATAACTGGTGCTTTGGAATTTATGATTTCAGGATCCTCTGGGATTGACTCGGGCAGCTTGAAACGGGAGGGCTCTGGCCGCACTTCATCTTCATTCTTCTTATTTATGGCACATTTACGACCTCTTGACTTTTTCTGCGGTTTGGGTCGAACTTTACCTGTTTTTTTGGGTGTATTGGCAAGTGAGGAGTCCTCGGTAATCCTAGATTCTGCTCTTAGACCTTTTGGACTCGAGATCAAAAGACCATCATCTGAGTCTGCAGCACGAATAGTATTCACCACGGTGTTCACGGTTTCAGTTTCTATGCCTTCACTGGTGTTACCAGACAGCACCGAATTCGGAGTGGGAATAAGGGCACTGAAAGCTGGAGCAGCAGTGAATCCTTCCGCATCTGCACACGACTCTTCAGCTGTGATGGAATCAATAGCGGCTGCAAGTTCTGTTTCACTTGATGGTATAGCTCGCTTTTCCTCTTCAACCTCAGTTTGTGACTGTGGCACTACGGCAGGTACTGTGGGCACTTGCCCTGAAGGGTGCTCCTTATACAGCCGAGGAGGGTGGTCCGTAAGTTTGGCTATATTTTCAACTGCCTGCTCTAGTTCCATTTGATGTGCGAGAAGAACAGCAGCCGGATGCACAGGAAGGTCTGGCTCAGATACAGCATCTTCAGTGTCTTTCACATCAAGTGCCTTTGATTCTTTGGGAAGGCATATTGATATTGATTCCTCAGACTTAACTAGAGTGTTGGTTTTCTTAATACTGACTGGAAATGACTCAGGGTCATTATTTTCAGAACGGAGCAAACCTTTTACATCATCAACACTTACACGGATTTCAAGATTTCTCAAGGTATGGGATTTATCTTCGGTGAACTGCTTGGCATTTCGTTTGAGCCTTTGTTTTTTCATTTTGACACTCTTTTCAGCCATTTTGCTCTTTGGGAGGGTTACATCTGGGTTCTCAAAATCAGCCGATGTAAGTGGTGTGTCTTGTTCGTTTTTCTGCATTTGTGAGTTTGTGCCTGATAAATGTGCAGTTAGGTCCGAATCATCTTTGGGTTTTAGCTCTAATTCATCACAACCTCCTGTATCTGTCAATTCAACTAGAATTGTAGCGCCTTCAGACTGTTTGTCGAGACGTCTTCCTTTTTTGTTAACCAGTGTTGATACAGTCAGTGGCATTTGCTGAACCTTTCTTGGAGAGCGCCATCCCTCAGATGATTTCACAACTTCTGGTATGATTGGAGTATCTCCGATCTCTGTGTTGCCATCCGTTGTTTTCTGTATTTCCACTTTTCCTGTTAAAATATGGTGATCTCGTTTGATACTCCTTTTTGGTGGGCGCCCTCGTCTAGGATTAGTAGATGGAATTTGAACATCTTGCTGTATGAGTTCTTTATCTGTAGCACGTTTGCGCATTGTTCGTAATGGCTCCGCTGCCTCTTTGCCAGACTGCTCTCCCTCACGTACAGTGGCATAAACCGATCGGACGTTTCTTCGACGTGTTCTGCCATGAACCAACCCAGACTCAAGGTTTTGTTCAGAATTTGATACGGGAATAGGGGACTTTGATGGAATTTTGCACTCTAACGATCCTTTCTGAGCTTCTGCTTGCGGAGATGAGCCCCTTTTGAGTTTCTCTCTATCAATACGTTCACTCTTTCGTGTCGCAGTTTTATCTTTAGCATTTTTGGTCGCCGGTGATGCGCGTAATATGTTGTGTGGTTTTCCTCTCTTATTTTTAGGTTTTCTTCGGTTGGGTATTTGTTTACTTTCAACCTGTAGCTCTGGTATACATATTTCATGGACTATCTCTGGTCTCTTTGATTCCTCAGAATGGTGCGTTTTCTGAATTTGTGCCTTCGGGTCACACTCATATTTTATCTTTGCATACTCAGAGCATGTAAACTCTGTATTCTTCTGTTCAAAACTAATCCCAGAACTCTCCTGTTTTGGAGGCTCATCTTCCACAGGATGATTGTGCTCCATTGGCAAATCGTCACCAATCTCTGGTTCGGTCTCAATTACCTCTGTTTTTGCTTCTATTTCATTTTCTGCCTCTAAAAGTATGGGTGGAGGGCTCATATTTGGTTTAGGGCTTATAGGTTTCAAGTCTTTCAAAAAAGGTGGCGAGGCAGCGATCTCAAGAACTGTCTCCACATTGTCTTCTTGATTAGATGACGCATGTGTCTCTATGGGAAGTGGTAAAATGTCTTTCCTTTCAGGAGATGGCATTTCTTTCAGGCATGGAACTGTTGGAGTAGTAGACATGGTCGAATGGGGGCAGACTGATTTTTCATCAACCTTCAAACGTGTGGTTGCCATTTTATCAGACAGCACATCATCACAACCTGGCACATAATTATGTTTAATCTCCACCACAACTGAATGCACCTCTGCATCAAGTGGACAAATGTCCTTGTCTTTTTGTTGCTGTAGCTCCAAAAAACGACTGTGGAATAGCACAATGGGCTGTGGTGGGATATCACCATCTTCACATTCTGTCTGAACTTCAGGATGACCTGGCAGAGCAAAATTCTTATCAACTCCTGTTTCACAATGTTGGTCTTTGCGTTCAAGGTGCTGCAAACGGCGAGAATCCTGTTCAAAGATTGAGCTATGAAGGAAGCGGGAGGCAAACAGTTCCCGGCGTTCTTGGTCCTGAGCCTTAAGTTCCTCTTTTTTGCTGTGCAGATTTTCAGCAGCACTCGCACGACTCTTCTTCTTCTTCATGTACCAAGAAGGAATTGGTCGGGGTGCTAGTTCCACCTTGTTTTTATCTGTGCGGCTGTGTGTGGATGATGGGAAGCGAGAGGGAAGAAAGGACCAATTGTCTTCTCGGGAAGAGTAAAGTGTCTTGGCTCTTTCGAGAAGTGCTTTTGTATCAGGGGTTATAGTTTTGTCTAGTGCGAATGAGTAAAATTTATTCTTTTCCAATGAACCACAAAGTTTTAGATCTGTCATCCTCTCGTCATGTTCCCTGAGGATGTAAGATAAGGAACTACTGGACTTGTGAGAGATTTGTTTTCTTTCTCCATCATCATCAGAATCGGACTGTACTTCTCCTGGTTCCAAATCCTGCCGTTGGCATTTACTCACACTTTCACTTTGGGAAGGAGGTTCCATTTTTGGCGGATCAGAGGAAACCCTTCCGAGCCAACTGGACATGAAGTCCTCATTGCCTCCAAGAAATGATGCCTTTAGCTTTTCCGGCTCACTTTCGGGTGTTTGAAAATGTCTAGGTTTCAGGACCATATTACATTTCAATGACTGTGCATGTAGAAAGTGTTCTTTTGTCAGAGATGATTTTGTTTCCGTGTTTAAGTCTGAGATAGAAATCTGGGTGGTTTCCTCTTCCCTTCTTAGACAAATGGGGACTGTTGAGGGTGTTGCATGGTGAAAAATACCCTCATTCAGCTTGCGACAAGTTCCAAAGTTTTGCTCTGTTTTTGAGTCGATATTATCCACTTTGTTTCTTTTACATAAAGAGAAGTCATCAGTGTTTATGTCCTGGTTTGGTTTTCTAATATCATGCAAGGCATACTCAATTCCAAAGTCTTGAGTTTCATCACGAGGTGTGTTATCACACTTGTCACTCTTCTCAACATCACATAGTTTGGCTCGCAACCATCGGCTCTGTTCAGTTGTGTGTTTTGTAAAGGTATTTGTCTGGTCCAAGCACACAAACTTTTCCTCATCTTCAGAATCTCTACAATTCCTTCCACTTTGGTCCTTGTCACCCAAAACCCTCTTTTCTTTTATTTCATCAAAATCAAGGCCGCCATCACTGGATGTCTTTGTGAGACTGGAGCTATTTTCACTTTTTGAGTGCGCTAATTTCATTTTCAGGAAGGGCAAGTCAAATGGTTCTGAAGATTCAGCTGGCAGTGCTTGCTGGGACGGCAGCTGAAGCGCAAGGCTTGTGGAGTCGTTTTCTGAGTCTTGTCCCTCATTCGGACTATGAAGTGGAAATATCTGCGCAGATTTGTTCCTGTTTTGTTCCCTTTTTTGCATCTTTTTTATGAAAACATTCTTATGAAAATCAGAGTCATTATTATTCCAAGGTTTAGGAAGGACAGATCTACCAAGGTCATCTTCACTAATTCTCTTCTGATGGTCATTGTGGCCAGAGTCTTCAAAACGCCGTTTTCTTGCAGCCAAGCGATCAAAATCGATTGAAACACCACTTTCAAAACCAATTTCACATTTTCCCAGTTTTTTGGGCTTCATTTTGATCTCTATGTCAATATGTTCCACTAAACGGTGCATGTTTTTATCTCTGGGTCCCTTTACATTTCCTTTTGATGACTCTGTGCGGAACAGAGGACTTCTTTGGTCAGCAGGAGGTGATACCAGTCTCGGACTGTCATTCTCTGTCCTCGATATTTGTTTTTCATGAGTAATCAGTTTTCCTTCTTCTTCTTTCACACGTGTTAACTGCACCACACAAGGCAGAAGATCTAACTTGCCTCGACTTGAGCTATCTTTCAGGATTTTACCATTTTTACTTTGAAGGGCAGACTCTGGGCTCATGTCTCTATCAGGTTCAGGCTCGACATCACATGTTTGATTGATTGGTGAGGATACTTTGAGCTTCTTAAGTCGCTGTCTCTCATTTTTATCCTTATCACCGCGGTCGTTACGTCCAGCCCGTTTCTCCTTTTCAACCAAATAGACCTTTTCAACCTCACAAACACCCTTCTCAATTTTGTTTATTTTATTATACCGTTCTGTGCGAGTCTTCTCAACTTTTTCAAATCTGGAAGGGGAGACTGAACTGCAGCTACCACTTCTTTCAGAAGATGGGCAACATATTCGGCGGTCTGAGTCACTTGCTATCCTTTCAGAGATTGAAGGGGAGGCTATGGGGGTTGGAGCGCGACGCGAGGCAACAAGAGCTGGGCTTTGGCTCCGCTCAATGGTTCTCCTCCCGTGGTCACGCCCACGATCGGTCTCGAAGCGCTCCCTCTCTCTCTCACGTTCTCGTTGCAAATAGCTGTATTTCCGAATATCCTGTTCGTAAGGATCGGCTCGGTATTCTCGATATTCCCGGGTGTCTTCGTAGTACTGTGTTTCGTAGTAATCTCCTTGATAGGGATCCCAATCAGTGTAGAACTCGCGACTTCTGCTTGTGTATTTACGGCGCGGATCTTCCGCATATGTTCCTGGTGTGCGTACGTTTTCATAATATGGTCTCTCCACTTGAAACTCATATTGAGAGCGTCGGTCATCCCTGCAGGAGATAGGGCAGAAATATTTCAAATGACAATACAAAATGTGTTGTGGGTGGGGTAAGGATTGCCCTCATTTAAGTTGTGGTATCAATTCTAATTATTAAGTAAACAAACCTTCTTTCAGAAAGAATGTCATAAAAGTCTCTAATATCCTGCCCAGATGCTTGCATCGAACGATAGAAAGCCATCTGACTCTCCTGATTGGCAAAATCCACCTAAAAGAAAGAAGTAGACAGTTTCAAGGACTATTTTATGGGTAATGCAACATACTGGAGCAGGCTTACCTTGATTTTACTGCCCCCTATCTTCCATCCTTTTGTGTCTTTGACCGCGGCCTGAGCATATTCAATATTGTTGTACAAGATAAGGGCCATTCCTTTCATCCTGTCGAATACAACCTGCAGAAGACAAAGAAGACAAACTCATCACATGCCCAATGGCAAAGTATAATTACAAGTCCACCCACCTTGACAACATGTCCATAGCGGCAGAAGTGTCGGGTCAGAAACTGTTCAGTTGTGTTTGATGCTAATCCATCCAGCCAAACACAAGTTGTGGGCATACTCTTTCCAAAGCCCAGCTGAGAAAGAAAATCTTTTTTAAAAAATATCCACATCCTAGACTCGTTGATTGATTTTCTGACGGTATTTTATTCTTACTTTAAGTCTATTGTTTCCAAGGTATTCCCCATCCATCTTCTTTATGGCTTTGCAGACACTTGCAATGTCACAGTATTGCAGAAAGGCATATTGAGGGGCTCCGTTCACTTTCTTGATGTCGATATCCTTCATGGGCGTTACGAAATAAAAAGAACCTCTTAGTCAGCAATATATTGTTAAACGTCGTCCAAGGTTCAAGTTGATTAAAAAAAAAAAAAAACATACCACAATCTCTCCAAAGCGTTGGAAGATGCTGAGAAGATCATGATATGTGGTGGTCTTCTCCAAGTTCCCAATGAACAATGTCCGAGTAGCCTTCGGATGAAACTCATCTATCCTTTCATCCAAGGGCCGGAACTCATTCTCACTTTCAGTCTCTGGGAAGGTTTATTTCTTGTTAGTTGAGGCATTTCGTCAATGAATCGCAAACAAGACTTCACAACATACCGGGACCGTTCCAAGCAGTGACATCAATTTGCATTCCAAAAAAAAGCTTCCCCTTTGACGCTCCGAGCGCTTTCTCTTGGTCTTCTTGCTGCCGGAAAAAGACAAGTCCATAGCGCTCCTCTGATGCTCCATGAATTTGTACAGACGTGACTTTTCCGTGTTTTTTAAACTCATGAAACAAACCGTCTTTTAGACTTGTATCTGTAGTGAACACAAAGTGTATCTTACAGCATGTGCACTGAAGAAAAAAAAAAAAAAAAAACAGGCCTTTTTTTTTTCCACTTGGGCTGACAAGCAACTTACCCGTAGAGCGTACAGGAAGATTTTGGACCTTGATGCCGAAGCTTTTACGTGGTTCCTCGTCACGGGATGATAAAGGAAGTGCTGATGGTGCTGGAACAGCAGCTGACTGCACGGAGCGAGCCGGCGACTCATCACTTGAACTACTGCTAGAATCACTGAGGCAAAAACAATGCAACATCATAGGAACGTAGCCTTGCTGAATTGTCACGTCCTGTTTTAATGCAAAATCTAACAGCTAATTACTAACAGTAACTGAGTAATTTGTTTTCCCACTGAACTAGTGACATCATGTCAATTCAAATACATTTTAGAGGACGGCTCGACAAATACATGAACTTAAACAGTTGTTGCTGTTGCACTTGGGTCCTCTATAGTTGTCTAACATCATGCCTTCAAAATGTTTTCAAACTATCAAAACAAACCAAGAAGAGGGCATTTTACATTGCTTGGAGTTAAGAAATGGAAAAGTTCATTTCAATTCCTTCATTTTTTTTCAACGTATTATTTCTTCAGTAATTAATTGAAATGAGCGCATTGGTTTTAGATGTCCTGGAGCAAAAACGTTTTGCCCATCAAACAATTAATACTTATTGTCTGACAAAAACCATGACGCGTTCTTAATGTAAAAAAAAAAAAAAAAACTGCGAATGACGCAATTTTTCTTTTGCTTCATCCATTTCTTCACGATGTTAATTTGTTCAGATGTCATGGCCACTGTACTTCCACCCTCAAACGTCTTTTTATGTAACTCAAACGTGCCATATATAGTGTGGGATTTTTCTTGCTTTAAGTACTGTACAGTGATTGTACAACGTATGCAAGTGGGCATCTGGAATGGACCCAGTCTGCTGCACTGCAGGACAGTAAATCTGAACTATTTCTCCCAGCCAATCAGTGAAGTGAAATTAGGTAATAATGCTTTTTGAAAGGCGCTTATAAATAAAATGTATTATTATTATTATTATTATGTTTCCAAATATTTCAAATGAAAAACAACAATGATTTCCCTCATGTCATACTTCCTTCAAAGCTCATTTTTCAATCCACATTCAAGGTACTTTTTTAATATACAATACATCTTTATGGCTGGTCTAGCTAGAATAAATGTTCAAATTAAGTAGTTGCATTATAACTACTGAAAAATGCTGTAAATAATTAATATTTCACATCTAAATAGTGGTGAATAAAAACACAAATACAAAGCGTCTCACATTTCCCGATCACACAAAGCTCAAACAGACTGAGGTAGCTTCTTTCCCAGAGCAATAATAAACAACTCAAAATAAGAACCATCTTAATCATCAACCAGACTTGCACAAATTCCTGATCTTCTTTCCAATAAATGCTCAAGCTCTGTGCAATAATGCTGATATACACGTGCAAAAATGTTTGCACTTCTGTGAATATCATCCTTTCACATAACACGCAATAACTGCTCAGTGCTTACGACTCTCATCCATTAGTTTATTGTTCTTATGCAGATGTACATTTATGCATTGTGCATATCAAATTTTTTGTTTTTTCTTATTTTATTTCATTTTGTTGCATTAGCAGAAAATATGTTTTCTATATAGGCACCAAGGTGCAGCAACCTGAAATTTTGTTATATACAGTACATGACAAAAAAGTGATGCTCATTCTGATTTGTCCACCACTGCCTCACAAGGTGAAATTCTAGATGGAAGAGTGTGTGTGTTAAAAATCATGGCTGCCTGATTTTGCTCAAACCATCCCCATGCCAGCCTCTTTCACTGCTCTTTTTTCCTGCCCTCCCTTTCTCCTTCTGTGCTCAGACACTCCCGGAAGTGCTACTGACTGACGGAGCCTGGCCGGTGGGAGTGGGCAGGCAGCCAGCACTGGCTAGAAATTTCCAGTTTTAACTGGATCACACGCAAGGGAGTTGGGGCGGTGGGGAGGTGGTGGTGGTGGTGGGGGAGGGGGGGGTGGTTCTCATTACCACAGAGGTACGCAGTGAGAAAAGGATAGAACAGCCCTCTCCTGAAAATACCCAAATAGCACTACTTCATCTGACCAAAGGTGTCGCTCTAACCCATTTACAATATCTATAGAGGACCGTGCAGTTCACACCAGAAAACGTGACTGCATCTGAACAACTAGGCATGTGTTTTTGGTCTATGGCAGCTCCTTGCAGGTGTTGTCACTGTGTATTTGTGTGTTCGACTGTTTTGACTGTCCTGTTCAATAAACGGCTGAAATTGCACCAGTGAATGAGGCTCGCTTTGTTTTATTACTTCACTTCATTACAGCTGCAGCATATCCCCCCCAGCCCATAACTAAAAATTCCAATCAAGTCCTAAGAAAAATAATTTAATTGATGGAAAAATACATAAATAACTTTTTTTCTTAAAAAAAAAAACAAAAGTTGGGGCAATCGTACGTCAAAGTAGATAAGACAGTACAAATTTGGCCTTGTGTATGGATTTGGACTCTCAGGACCAACTGCGTTAGGACTTGATGAAATTATCATTATTAGTGTTATAATGGCTTTAAGTATGTTTCACCATAGAACTGGAGTGGCTGACCAATCAATACTATGAATCCACATCCAGCAGTAACCAATCCTTTCTTGCTTTCCCGGCTTGTCGGGAGCAACCGTGAGAATGCTCAGCGCTGCGAGCTGCGGCTGAATAGCTTGCATGGATAAGCACTGTCCTTCCATGGTGCAGCGCCGCTCATTGAAGATACTAACCCTTGCCCCCATGGTGGCAAATAAACAGCACTTCTGACAAGTATTGCTATCACTGAGAATGCGACACACCAAACAAGAAGAAAGAAGATGGTGAAGCCACGCGCTCCGCTAAGATATCCTGAAATGTAGTCGTGAACACCAGAATAAAGTGCTTAGATGGAACAGTAGTCTGACTGGAACAACTTAACAGCAGAGAGTAATGAATTCTGAACAGAAAAAAAGCAAATAAATTATTAAGTGTCGACAGGAGAAATATTACAACAGCTACACAGTAAACACATAACTAGCCCGATAACCAGAAATGAATTTGTATGTTGTTAGCATATACACATCAGCCAGAATTTATTGCTAGATACCGGTGCCTACCCAAACATTGGCTGGTTGCTCACCATAATAAATGGCAAGTTGTCGAACAAAAGAAGACTAGGAACAAAGCAAAAAGGTTCTTCATTTTCTTATCGGCTAGTTGTCAATTTTTACACTTGCGTCTTTCAAGTGTTGCAGTGAACACACAAGCAAGTCAAGCAAGGTGGAGACTTCAGGGCAGCTCTCAACTTCAGCGGGAATCACAAGCCCCGTTCACACGGCAACGTTTGGTCCGACGATGCGCCGAAACAGCGCCAGTCGAGCGTTCACACGTGCACATTTGCTCCGACGTAGCTCCACTAAAGAGCTTATACCGGACCAAATTTGATCCACCTCAGGGAGGTGGTTTAAAAATTTGCTCCAGAGCAAATGCTTGCTTGCGGGGGAGTGGCCTCGCTACGCTCGCTACCAGATGCATGGAATCCGCCCCCGGTCGACAGTGACGAGGGGGCCAGCGACACAGACGAAGCCCGGCCGTGCACCCCCGTTCCCGGTAAAAGTGTTGGCGATTTAAGCGGTGAAGACAGCGCTCACGATCAAGAAGAGGATCAAGAAAGCAGTGATGTCAGCCGAGCCCGATTTGCAGGCCCGAGCCCGAAGCAAACCCGACATTTCATATTTTATTTGTGAGTATTTTTGGGAGAAAAAAAACAAGATTTCTTACGGTTAAAATAATCTACATATTTTTATGAACATGATCAATGCATTTGCACAACGAAATAACGCTGAAATACAGAATAAGAGGCCAGACAAAGAGAAATCTCATGCGCATTTGCTTAATTACGCAGAGAAATCCTGCGGCTTACTAGGCTTTAAATAGAATAATTCAAATCAAATAAATAGGTAACGATATCTGAAATAATTTCTATATGATTGTTTAAACGAAATTAACATACGTGCGCACTGCGTCTGGCCGCGCTCCTGTTTAGCAGTTAAATAGCAATTAAATTACAGCGCATTCTCTGTTTTATCCAAATTGTTTGTTTTAAAACAAGTATTGCTTAGTTTAGTATTCGCACATCGTTTTAGTATACATTTTTTAAAACATATATTGTGGCAGTCGTAAGGAGCATACACGATTGACTGTAAACACGTCTTTATTCCACGACTGCCGACAAGTGGATCTATTCTTAACATGGACAGAATAGTGTCCGCCATAATATTTATTAAAAGAAAAATAAATAAAAGTCCGCGAGAGAGAAGCCCGACCTGAACCTGTTTTACTTCCGCATTCCTGTCGTTTTGGTCCGCAGCAGAAACTGCACGTATGCCCGCAAGTGGAGCTGCGCCGACACTGCGCCGGTGCTGTCACGCTCAGCGGCTTTGCACGTGTGACCGCTCCACAAAATTTGCTCCGGTGTAAAATATATCGCAACAAAATATTTCGGTGCAGCGTCGGACCAAATGTGTGCCATGTGAACAGGGCTACAGTCTCAACTCTTCAGTTGCCAAATCAAGAGTTTTATTTCAGCCATTTTTCTCATCAAAGCACACCTGAGCTTCCAACAAGGACGCTCAAGCCCCCCGAATTTATTTAGTAAACCATCTTGTCGTCGAAAACACGCACCATTGGCCGTTGAAAAAGCACAACCACGAACACTTAGTGGAGAGCTAAAAAACTGAATAGAAACATGAAAAACCTCTCACCTGCCACTTGTGCTGCTGCTGGTGCTGCTGACCGAGTCTGAACTTGAGGAGCGGCTGCGAGAGCCCGAGACACTGTGGGAGCGTGGAGGCCGACTAGCCTGGCTTGCCAGCCTCTGGGGAGAAGGATTTCGCGACTGCGCCAAGTGAGGAGAGCGGCTGCGACTGTGTTGAAATGACCGCTCACTACGCCGTGCCCTGTCTTCTCTGTAAAGGTCCCTGTGAACCACACTGGCCAAAGTAAAGGCCTCCCTGGTCCGAGATTCATAACGAGGCTCTGGTGTCCCAAAGCGACATGGACTCCTGCTGTGGGAGCGGTAGAAGCTAACCCCGCTGGAAGCAGAGCCCCCACTTGCCCCTGTGGCAGCCCCTGCCGCTCCACTTGTTCCGGTATTGCCAGCAACAGCATTAACAATACCGCCGACTCCAGAGGACAGAGTTGTATTGCTTCCAATGGATGTACCGGAACCATTCCCAGATGCGCTGAGAGTTCTCTCTCTCGAATAATAATCTGTGTCATAATGTCGTTGGCGTTCAAAGCTGCTTCCTTGACGCTCGTGGTGGCCGTAAGCGCCGTGGTCGTACTGCCGCTCACGACTTTCGGCAGTCCTAACAAAGACAAAAACAAGAGGGGAAGAGAAATCAGTAAAATGTCATATCTTTGTCAAAGTGGACCAACCTTTTTGAAATCATTGTCTGAGAAACCTGGCACAAGGCTTTCCGAGATCACCTGTTTGTTGTGTTGCACAATCTGAGGTCAGTCACCATGAAAATACAGACACAATGGAGATAAAATATAATTATTGCTAACCTGTACTCCAATTCCAACTGTACCTTTCAAAGAAATGCCTGAAGGACCATTGAACAAATTTCAGTTCTGTCCAAACCTAAAATGATGAGGATGTTTCTGAATGGTAGACTTTTATGTGATGTGTTCTTTCCACTTTTATGCTTGCACTAATAATTCGCCTTTTTTTCTTACTTTTCTGTTAAAAACATTGATTTGGAGAAGCTATTTATCTCCCTCATAACATCAGTTTGTGATAAGGACCCTCACTGAAAACGTACTACGGTAATTTGATGGCTAGCACATTACATTAATTTGTGCTCTAAAGTACAGTCAATCCTGCTACACAGCGGGGCACCTTTCGCACCCTCACTATATTGTGGATTTTTTAAGTGATCACTCATGGGTTTTTACAGTATACAAACTGATTAGAATTTACAGTTGCACACCTTCAGTGTTGTATTACGTTGTGCCGCAACATGCTATGCAGCACTACTAGAAGACATGCAGCATAAAAGAAGAGCAAGATGAAGAGGCAGAGCAGGAGCCAAACTCAATTCTAATACAATTTTAGTGCGTGCAGCGTGCGCGAGCGCGCGCACGCGCGCGCACACACACACACACACACACACACACACACACACACGCACGCGCACACACACACACACCAACCCTCCAGGCTACACTTCTTAAAAGGAACATGCATGTACACAGATCCTAAAATAAGTAGACTATTTTCTATACATTGTTTTTTTTTCTTTTGTCTGTGCAGAAATATTTTGATAGTCTGTTTTGATAAGTTTAGATTTGTTTAGAAAAATGTGTGTGACACAAATCATTAAAGACCCTGTAAAGTGGCTTAAGAAATGTGTTTGCATTATAATGTTTATGTTTGAAGGTAATAACTGAAAAGTGCAAAGACAATGCAATGCAGTGCTGAATTGTTGACATAGACACACCTTCCACTATTTCAGCTGTCTGGATTTTTGGGACATGGCTAAAATGAAGCCCAGGTATGGCACACATGGGCTTTTTGGCATAAGCCAGCCCTCCTTCACTATATAGAACAGTGATCCCTCGCTCTAATGTGTTTCACTTTCCGCGGCTTCGCTGTTTCACTGATTTTTTTAGTGCAGTTTTTTAATGCTTTTAAACAGTGAATTGCGTTCTGCATCATGATTGGCTAAGGCACTGACCGACGTGAACAGTCTCCGCACCTCGTCTCTGTACAGCTTTCCAAATTTACATTTGCAAATTTTTGGTCTTTGGTTTCATTGTATCAGTGGCGGATGCTGGTCTGTCAAGGAGGGGAAGCTCAATTTCAACCTACATCATAAAATGTGGCCGTTTATTTATACATGAATTCTACTCTCTGTTCCTTTTCAAAAAAATTAGAAGGTTGCCTTCACCATAAGATCGGTGTCATTTCGCTGTCAATCAAAAAGAGATTCAGCCTCAGACAGCTCATCCAATCATCATGCAGAAAAACTGAGCTTCCTGGCCAGCCTGTAAACAGCCACTGTCCATAGACTCCCAGAGACTGTGAGCATCCGGTGGGCGGGACAAAACCAGCATTAATCCAATGACTCGTCTCGTTTCAACGCATTGGGACAACCTACACTGAACTCTCGAGACGCCCAGCGTCCGCGCGGTCGACGCTCAGCGTCCACACAGTTTAAAGCACAGTGAAGCTGCGGGAATGAATGAGAAGAGAGTCGCGTCGTAACCAGTAATAAGAAGCTGATTCGGAACAAAAGTTGAGGGTTGTAGCCCATATTTAGTCAATGATATGTCCACACAATTGTACGTACACACATATATTTGATCACTTACTTTTTGACATTTTAGGGGAAGCTGAGCTTCCCTTGCAGAGCAATCGCGTCTGCATTGTATACATAGTTCAGTATTGTATAATAACTGTAAAAAATAAAGCTGACTATCAAGTACCAAGTACAACTTTATTGTCAAATGTGCTGTATGTTTCACATACAGCACATTTGAAATTTCGTCCCTCTCACATTTTTTTGCTTTTTTTTATAAATCCTACTTCACGGATTTCACTTATCACTGGTTCTTTTTGGAATATAACCCCCGCGATAAATGAGGGATTACTGTACTGAGTGCTTTTATTCCATCTGTGGCTATCCAGTGCAATTTCGAGTCACATTCCCACCACTACAGCTAGCTAGCTATGCCTACACCCCGAATAATGCATCTTCCCTGGATGCCACAATTTAAAGAACAGCTCGGTGTTATTTAACTTCCCCAATGTTATGTGTTTTGTTTTTGTGTTATTCAGGCAACTGTACTACAGTGAAGGCAAAGCATTGCGGAGTTTTTAGACTAGCAAAAAGTGTGTGCACAAATGACTCGGCGTAAGCATCAGGCTGAATAATGTCTGCTGTCGTGTTTATAAACGGTTTAATTTCCCTCAATTGTCTGTTACATGGACCCACACGAACACGTCAAAAAAACAGACTGAGGCTGGGACATACTGGCTGACCCCAATCGGTTCATGGCCTCCGTAAAGTTGTTAGCTCATGAGCTAGCCCACAAACTAGCAAGCAGCTAGCACAGAGTCTTTGCGGGATGGAAAAGCGCTGTGACGAGGAGATGGGATACTGTATATTCCAGGCGCCTGAGATTTAAAGCGGATATTTTTTTTCGTGGCTCAAAATATGTAGGGATGTGTAGGCAAATGCTACACAGACGAATGTATTTGAACAAAATGTTAAAGCCGAGTGGGGCATGTTTTCAGTGCATTCAGCAGAACCTCCCGCATCAACTTAGAGCTGTGGGAATATCTTAATTCTTCACCATTTTGAAGCTTGATTTCATCTATTTGTCGATTTCTTTTTATACATTCAAATTTGGCAGGGTTTTTAACAATACTCTTCTCTCCGGTGTGTCAAATTTAAGACTTTTTTTTCACTAGACAGGGACTTCAAATGTAGTTCATATACCTTAGTTCAAAACAAGCATCAAAGACTAATAAGTGGCAATGTGACAAAAAAAAGCAAATTCCATAATCAAGTATTGTTTGGCTGCATTTATAATAAGATAAGACAAGATAACCTTTATTTGTCCCACACTGGGGAATTTGCAGTCTACAGCAGCATCTCTTGTTTTATGTTGAGAGGGAAGAAATTTCATCTGTGCTGTACATTTGACAATAAAGTTGTATTCAATTCAAAATTGGGGAGTGGGGGGGGGGAATAAAGTGCTTCATTGCACAAAATAATAATAATAATACATTTAATTTATAAGCGCATTTTATTCAATGTCCTGCAAGTGGCCCCAAAACATCACAAGAGATGACAGTATTTCGCACAGAGCATAGCTCACGCACGCGCGCCGCGCGCGCGCGCACACACACACACGCACACACACACACACACACACACACACACACACCATTTAGAAGACATCAAAGAAATTACGAAAAAAACAATTGCAAGAGACATCACCTTCACTTTAAAGTTAAGGCTGGCTGATTTCGTTTTTTTTTTTTTTTTTAAACTTGAATGTCAGCTAAAAAGGTTAAAAGGTTTCTTGTAGGGTAATGATGGTTTGACCCTGGAATGCAATTATTTCCTCTAGCAGTACAGCACTGATTTTATCCCTTTTCAGCATGGAAACATGAGCCTGATCTACCCAGGAAATCACTGAGATCATTACTCCTGCAATACCACTGTATTACCGTCATGAGAGCTGGTGGTCAGGTAAGAAAAGTTGACGAGAAGGGGAAACAATAGAAGGTAAAGTATAGAGTGCAGCAGCTAGTGCTATTAGTGTGAAGATCAAAGAGTCAGCGGTGCAAACTATGGGGGTTAGCGAGGACAGCTAAAATACACAGGCAGGGCAGGACATACCAACCTTTTGAGAAAGTGGTAACTTGACCTATAATTCCAAATACAATAAAGGGAGATAGGACTTTTTGTGGGCAAAAATGATGAGTGGAAAGTGGCGGAGGGACAAAAATGAAGCAACATGGTTAATACGAAAAAACGTAATCCTCATCTTCAGGGAAGGAGACCTTCGAGGAGAAGGAGGACAAAACGGGATCCACACTCAGGAATACCAAATGCTTCAATGAGTCACCTTGAGTCCATATATCCATCCAGGCACGTGTGATAGTCTTTCATGACTACATAATATCCAAGAGTCCATCTTTAACTAGACTTGTCATTTTGTGTGTAAGCTCCTGCAAATTCCATGAAAGGAGAGACATCAGTCCAATTCAGTACATTCCAGTTTTTCCAGTGAAAGGTGTTGATCAATGGTAATCCATCTTCTTGCACTCATCTGATGGCATTGGGAAGAAAATGCATTGTCAAAGGTTTACTTTAGTTGTCGGTCCATGTGCAAATCTACATGCACTCCACACACAGGATAAATTGTGACTGTATAAGCTTTCATCCAAAATGTATGGTTCCACGCAAGAGGATAAAGTTGGTATTCCATAGGCACATTATCTCCAACAAAAAGGAGGTCATCGTTCATATCAGTCGTTGACCCCCCCAAAAAAAGTGGTGCGGGGTCCCAATCAACGATGGTGACTTATGTCTCTTGTGCTGTTGTGGTCTCCAAGAGGTCTCAAATTGTAATGCCCTGATCTCAGACATAATTCCAAATAACAGAAATGAGAGGGGCCCAAGAAAGCAACCCGTACCTTTGGCAGGACAGAATATCCTTTAGGTGTTAATCCAGCAGTGGGGTATACATTTCCTGTTTAAATTATCCACATGACTCCACTGTGAAATAAATCAAAGATGACACTCATCCAAATAATACTGTCCTGTATTATACTTTGTACATTGGGTACTTGTTTGTTTGACTACATCGGGAAAAACGGTAATATAATCCACCTGGCCAGCCATGTAACTCCAGATTAAGAGAGGAATCCCAGTCGCTGGACCACTCTGATTTAGGTCCCTGTATTTAGCCATCTTCAACATTCCTGGGAAAATGTACCACGTCCAATCTTTACCCTCCACAAATGATACTGTATGTCCACCTGACAAAGTTGCTTCTATTTACAAAAAGAATCTCGCTGTTTACGCTATGAGCGACCAGACACAGTAGATCATGCACACTCACATGAGGCGATACACAGCCGTCATTGCCCCTTCCTTTCCTGCTCTTTAACCATTCAGGCACTACAGCGGAGCATTACTACAACTTGACTGTCAATTATCTTAAGTCTTCTTTATTTCTACTTTGCCTAAATAACTGCTAGACGAAAGATCACATGATGCGAGTGCATGTGATTGTGCCCAATAAACTTTTTGTTTAACCCTACATTTATTTTTTGGTTGTGAAAAGTGCAAATAACTGCCGGGATAAGCACAATACACTGCGCGGGCATGAGCCCGTGAGTGACCAAGTGTGCCGTGGACTTTATGTTTTGAAATTTACAGTAAATTATTTCGAGTCATCTAGTATATTTGTTTCACTTAATGAGGCCGTTGTCCTGAATAACTGACGAGGATGTTCATTGCATGCGCCCTGCTTCAACCCGCGTGCACTGGCTTTTGTTATGTTTTGTGTGCATTGCATATTTATTTCTATTGTGAAAGGTGGTACTCATCAAGAATAAGTGCTGAAAGGATCGACTGCATTAAGTGTCGCACAGTCATTTACTGTATTTTGTGCTCATTCTGAAAAACACCAAGATAGCATAGATGAAGTATGTTGAAGTGATACACCACGACTAGAAGACAAGATTTGTATTTCAGTGAGGAGCTATGTTTAGCCTAGGTTATAACCAGAGTTTTGGAGATTCTCTACTGGATATTCAGGGTGCAATGCACACTCAGACCACATTTTAGGTGTCAAGTGGGCGCAAGAACGGCACCGATTGCCTCATGTGAGTACGACCTTAGTCACAAAGTGTTAACAAGTAATGCAGTCTCTGTATTTAAGAATATCCAGGAGAGCTGATTTGAGAATCCCTGTACGATTATATCCTCCTACACACGTCAGTGAACATGCTAGAAAGACACTTGGAGTTGAGCTCTTTAATTGAAAAAAAAAAAAAAAAAAAGCTTGCTTCCCCCTGCCATCATAAAAACTGTATCCACTTACCCGTCTAGTCTCCGTTCATAGCGTCCATCTCTGCTGTGGAGCGACGTAGGGGGGCCATACACCCCCCCCACTGGCGCCCGTGTGAACCCTGATACATCCCGGCCACGAGAGCCTAAGGACAGACTATCGTCCAGCCCCCTCACGGCACTAGGAATGGTGCCCGGTTCATTGTAATCAGTGCGCAGGTCTCTGTCCCCCATCTTGTTGACAGCATTGTGAGCCTTCTGAGCACTTTTGATGTCCACAAAATCCACAAAGGCTGCAACTCCGCCTTCTGAACCCCGTTTAGGCAGGACTTTGACACTCTCCACGCGTCCATATCTACAGAAAAAAAAAAACAGCAAAAACAAACTGATGAGCCAAGTGCCAACAATACCAAACAACCCTCTCTCTAAAATGCATTTCCCAGATTGAGAAGTTATTTAATGAATCGTCAAAATTTACGGGGGAATGAATGGAATCTTGTGCAAAAGCCACATGAATTTACGTGCGCAGTTCTTAAAAGTTTCATTTCCACCAAGAGGTTTGCTTGGGATCAATTTGCTGTGTGACACTTTCTAGCATTTACATAGTTTACAGGGATATACATATTCACCTCCAAACTATTCACCTGAACTGTCCCACTTTTCACTAAACCATTGAGGGGGCTGATCGCGAATTTTGAATGACCCCTAGATATGGCCAAAATGGTCCTAATATAGTTGCTTCAAAGCAAAATGACTGGCTTTCTGTGGCTTTTCAGATCTTTTTTATGGTTTCATTCATGATAGAAATTGCTGTCAAATTTCACATAGCTAATTGAAACTGGCAGGAATCCCTTGCACCCCCCCTTAAAAAAAACTAACATACTGCATAAGTGCAGTACTGTACACAATGGTGGTTTTTGATATTTGCAATTGGTGCGGCTGTAAAGGGCTCCAATTCTGGTGGGTGGCAAATTGGTTAAATAAATAAATACTATGTGCACAAAAAATTCTATGGATTTCATGTAAATGAGTGCTCCCATTCAGAGTCGAACTCTGGACAAGAGATATAAGAATAGGAATTAAGAGTTGATAATGGTGGGGGGTCAAAGTCATTCAAGCCTGGACACCAAAAATTAAAAAGGTCCATCCAGCATTGAAAAGAATGACAAAAGTGCAGAACCCATTATGAAAAACAAACTAAATTTATCAAGTCTACATAACTCCAAGGGTCACACTGTCACCACTAGTGCCAAAATATTTTGGGGGTGTGCAGTTCCCCCAACAACGCACATCTTCCGACGCCATTTTATACCCGTGCTCACTCATTCTGCCTTCCCCATCACATCACATCCACATCACATCACTCTGCTGGCTCAGAGTTAAACCCCGGCAGCCGCGGAGGGAGGCACCTTCCTCCTGCGACATTGCACGAGCGCGACGCACATCAATTCACATACATGCACGCTCGTAAAGGCTTGCATTTATTTCTAGCGTTCACGTTGAGCAACGGAGACGGACGCGTTTTGCATTTTTGGGCCGTGCGTGTTTACGCTGATAAGGCGACGCCGACGAGGGCTAAGAAACGTAGACGCATATGCGATGGTTTGAGCAGTCTGGCGTTTGGAGGCCACATATGGACGCAGCTGTGAGGAGGGCTGTGATTTTCTTGACATCTTGCGAACAAGCGCATGACAATTTTCCTTAAGATGGATTTTGAACAATTTCATTAAAATCCACACCAGAAACAAAAGCCACAATGATAACCACTGTGTGTGCGAGAGCGTGTTGGGGAGTTGCAAAGCTTCTTCTTGCTGCAGTCTAATCAAATCCAGCTTGGACACACACAAAATTACACTGCGGTTGCACGACGTCAAACACATACCACTGACATGACTGACAGTAGATCCCAATGCATAATTCGACCATTGAATAAGTACTTCCAGCAACCGTTCAGCGTAGAAGCAAGTGCAGCGTTCATACATGTTTTTAAAAAATATTTTTACAGCTTTGGTGACAGGTGGACAGGTGGGCTACTAAGAAAATGGTGAAGCTGTCGACATGCACATGGAAACAAGTGTGTGCAACATGATGAAGATGATGATGATGCTGATTAGCATGGGGTGCTGACAGCACAGATACGAGAAGGAAAAGAGAAAACACTTTCTTTATACTCACCGCTTAAAGTGCTCGATGATTTTCTCCTCTCGCACATTTTCCGGTAAATTTCCCACCCATAAATGTCTGGTTTCTCGAACCATGCTGCGCGCTGCTGCTGCTGCTCGACCATACAGATCGCTTTTGCTATGTCAGTAAACAGGAGAAAAAGAGGTGTGCAATGTCAATGCCACTGACTAGTCGTCCTGCACCAATGAGGACCATTTGGGTTGTTGTCCCCTGGCTTGCACGTTCTCTTTTGACACTGCACTGTTTAAATCGCGACCTTGCATATCGTGAGCGCGCTGCGGGCCGTTCCCGTGACGAGGAGGAGGAGAGGGGGGCGTCCCGAGCACAACGCTACCTTTGAGTGGCGAGAGAAATAAACCAGGGGCTTCCTCAAAAGAAACAGCGCAAACCTGGGTTTGTAATGAGAGGCGCACCACGCAGGCGTGGCTTTGTGTGTGCCTGTGCGTCTGTGCGTGTGTGAACTACTCTCCCCCTACGCTCACCCTATGCGATCACACGCGAGTGCGCATGCGTAACAATAGCCGCCACTCCTCCTCTTCCTCCTGAAGCTGCTTACTGTTACTTCCAGGAGGATCCCATCATTACAGCAACGGGATATACCCATACAAAAATATTTGCTCAATAACATATGCTCCTCTAGTGGAACGCATGTATAAATATGATAAATATGCCAATCAGGAAAGTACAGCAATCTTGGATCAATACACCACATCTGGTCATTTTTTAGATTAAATATTATTGTTGTATTATTGTATTGTAAAATAATGATGCTCACTTTTGAACGCTCAGAAATAGTCGTTTAACTCACGTGAAAGAAATAGACCAAAGGCGATGTGGTCATCAGCATTTTTGTGATTGTATCCGTTTCTCTTTTGTCTGCCTTTTGTTGCTTTCTTTTAACTCGTTTTCACTTTAACCCGGTCTGAGCTCCGTTTATAGCTAATAAGTAACAAGCAATCAAAGCCCACGTGCATAGTTCAAAGGTAGCAAGATCTGTACTGATAAGCGCTAATGGATGGATAAATATGCTTTCATGTGCTCTGAATCTTTGTTCGCTTTTTGTTTTAGGACTTCTGAAAGCATGCGTATCCTCTTTTCACGTACTATATACAGTACAGTATTTCTAGTGTGGTTTAGGATGACTTTTTGTCAACTTTACATTTGTTAATATTCTTGTGGCACAATGTTTATTAACATATAAATGTAGTATGAAAATAAAAGCGAATGACTTGTTTAAAAAAAAGCCGGTTTAGTCCAACCACTTGGTTGCTATTTTAAGCTTCAGTATCAAGGCAGGACAGCACAATATGTAATTTGGCGGAGAGTAAATGCCATCTGCGCGTGTACGCGGTCAGCCAATCAGAGAAGGGCAGAACTCCCCGCTTCCGCTGTGCCTCGACGTCGGCGACGCACAAAACAAGCAGGCGCCAGACATTTTAACACATTTCTCACTGAATGTGCTCGGCTAATCGTGGATCGTCCTCCATGACTGCCCAATCCGTCCTGTGGTGGAACCGTAAACAATTAAAAGCCAATAAACCCGTGGGAGTACGATTTCCAACACAAAGTGATTGTCTGGCTTGGATTGTCAAGGAAACGGGAGTGTCAGGCGTGTCACTGTCGATTGCACACGGAATTACGGGGCTCATACAAAAAGCCTCTCCCTTGGAATAACGTAATGTGAACGGCTAAATTTAAGGCAAATAGCGGGACCTAACGTGGATGGTTTTCGTGGCGTCACAATGGACCAGATTATACAGGGAAGACACCTACCCTGATCGAGAAGCGGGGGGTCCGTCGTATTTTAAGTGCATGGTTTTGTGTGAGCTTGGTGAAGCAACACAGTTTACTCTTTGTCAAACGCCATTTTGTGTGAATTTTAATAAAAGGGTGTCGTCAGCCATTTTTCTCCCTTTCACCCCTTGCTGCAGTACTAAAGATGGGACATAAACTGTTTTTACCGAATAGCAATGGTGATGAAGACCTCACTTATCCTCCCAAGGTTATGTTGTCACGAGGTATTGTACCAGGAGATGTATTCACGAGCATTCTGTCATTAGTGCAGGTGGTGACAGAACATGTTGTTTCCAAAATGGCTGCCATGAAAATGTTTACCTGTTGAACTTTGTATTATTGAACAATTTCTTTGACTACAGGTGTTTATCTCGTGTCCATGCAAAACTGGCTGCTTCATCAGGTTTATTGTATCGTGATGGATCAATTTAAATGACTTTAAACTCAAAATATTATATATATATATATATATATATATATCAGAATCAACAACATTGGGCCACTGTTAAAATGGAATTATGCTGAAGAAATAGTACTAACGTTCACATTCATGTGGCTCTAAAGAATTAAGTTTGATGATTTCAAGCAAATCAGTGCACCATACCTATAGAAGAAATCATCATGAGGAAATGAAAAAGTAATGCAATTTGAATGGTGACACAGCAGTACAGTCTCCTTTTGGAGTAGTTAAGCCATGACAAAATACAAAAAAAAATTTTTTTACATATAATGTCCATTTATGTACCATTCACATCTACATAGTGCAAAAGTTTAAACTTTTCTTGGTTAGCAAAAAAAAAAAAAAGTTTTACATGCAGTACAGTACACAGGATGACATATTTTTAGGACATCTATCGCTCAAACTTATGTTGTTTTTGTGGATGTATTAACCAATTAAAAAACCTTGGAAAAGGAGTGTCTGAACACATGTGCTTCATTTTTCACATTTAAGCCATGTGATGGAGTCTCAGTTTGTAGAAAACCTGTGATCTCGACACTGGATCACACAGCCAGTTTGTCGGTCTAGACCAGGGGTGTCAAACATACGACCCGCGGGCCGGAACCCCCCCCCCCCAGTAGGTTCAATCAGGCCCGCAGGATCATTTAAAAGTGAAAAAAATGCATAAAAGACATGGAATGAATATTTTTAATAAGGTGCAATTTACGGAGTATCTGCTAGGGGACATACCGTTTTGATCAGAGAAGAAGACAACTCCAGTCTGTCTGTCACTGACACAGACCCAACACAGCAGACGCTATCAAGGAATACTTTATTCTTTACACATTTAATATCACTCTCCTTAGTTTCTAAGGTGTGGGCAGTGATGAAATTTAGATTTTATATGCACATGTGTAAATGGTTTTAAAAATCCTTTTATCAATCTCATTTAATCTTAAAATGCATTACTATATTTTTCAATACAATATTACTTGTTAAAGTTTTGTGCCTTTGTACAATCAGTGGGATCAGTTGCAATGCATATATGTGAATGATAAAAGTAAATTGCACATTTGTCTAAGGAAATCTAAGGTGCTTCATGAAATGTTTTGTAAAAGATATGTTCATTAAATTTCAACATTGTTCGAATGTTCTTGTGCTTCTTTAGACCAAAACAAAGGAAAGACATGTTATTCTGGTTATTAATAGCACAGTATGGTATAATTTTAATGGTTCGGCCCACTTGACATCTACTGAAGCTGTATGTGGCCCACAATGTGAAATGAGTTTGACACCCCTTCTAGACCAGGGGTCACCAACCTTTTTGAGAGTGAGAACTACTTCATGTGTCCTGATTGTGTGAATGGCTACCAAATTGATGCACGTCTGAAATAACGTTTGTACAAATTACATTTAATAATGTTAGAATGTGTTATTTTTAATACTTAATGATTTTAATTTTCAGGCTCTGATCATCTTAAAGATGTCTCACAATACTGCCCGTCTTTGCATTTTTAAATCATAATTTCTACTAGCAAATCACAATCCTAGCACTGGTGGGCTATTGGTGTGGTCCTCATGGGCTACCTGGTGCCCGCGGGCCCCACGTTGGTGACCCCTGCTCTAGACCGACAAACTGGCTAAGGTCGATTGTGAACACAATTAAATTTTGCCCTGGTTCTGACTGGCAAATGAAAAGGTGTGATGAGCCTCAGTGTCTGCTGGAATCACCAGCCCTCCTTGCTGAGGGCACCCAGCAAGGAGGGCTTGCGCCACAGTTAAATTACTAGACATTACATTATTAGAGCATTTGATGCACTGCAACAAAAATAGTCCTCATTAGTGAAACCTTCGCTACTGTTGTAAAGAAACTAGATAACCAAGTGGGTTAAATACAGCAATAAAACAATTTATCAGACCTATGAGAGGTAATCCCACGCAATTTATTCATGACTGTATGGCAATTTGTGCAACCCCAAGCAGAACAATGACACAGCACCCTTGCTCAAGTTTTGATCAAAGACTGTCACATGATGACTGACATCCTGACATATGATCGGTTCAATTGGTGCATCGCTTATAGATGTCTATGAGGTATACTTGGATGTACCTCAACTTCCAAATGAAGTCACGTTGTTGTTTTTTTGGACAGATTACAAACTACTCTACTTACTTACAAACTACTCTACTCGAACAGCACCTCTGCTGGTCACATTCTCACAATGCACTCCATCTGGCCAAGGGAATCCTTAAAAATCTATTATGTTCATTCCTGGAAACACAATTGCACATATTTCCCAAGCTGTTAATATCCTTTGACTCTGGGAGCATTTTGAGCTGAGGATCACTGACCTGCGAGGAGGTTGCATTCAGGAGATCTGTTGCGGGGATCAGACAGCTTGCCTCACCCAGGAAACACACGAGAATGTGGAGTACATCAGCCCAGCGTCCAACAGTCAACATCAGGACCATCAATGCACCGAGACGCACCGCCAATGAGATCAGGAGCGCCTGGTTTGCTGGCAGATCATGCTGCTCGTCTGTTTCAGGAATACAGTATGTAATTTTGATACAGTATGGTAATAAAGAACATTCACTTCACTAAGCTTCATTTATGAATATTCATGCTAAATGCCTTTTTCCTGCCGCCATATGTATAAAATAGGCATTTCGAACCATGCTGCAGCTGAGATAGGCTCCAGCACGCCCGCGATCCTCTTGAGGATAAGTGGATTAGAAAATGGATGGATGGATGGTCATTGTGAAGGGAACAAGCCATTGCAAAGATCTCTCAACTGCCGTGCAGTTTTACATCACTCCAAAGTACAATTGTGGACAGTAATACACAGCAATTAAATAATGGACCTCATTAGATCACAAATGAATGTATGATGATTAATATTATCATTTATAGGTAATAGATTAGTATTTTCATTAACATTTATAGATAATAGAGTACTATTATCATTAACATTCTATGAATGCGGGGCAGATAAATTGATTTAGAAAATGTGAGACTGCACAGCACACCACACACACCACGCCATGGAAAGTTTCCAATTTGGATGTTTCCAAAATCCCTCAGCTCAACTTCACATGAAAATTTACTGAAGTTTTTTCATCGCTTTTGTAAGCAAGCATGTTAACTGTTGACACAATTCTTTGTATGTCGGGAAATAGCAAAGTTTCACCTGGATCATTGGTGGTAATTATTGAAGGTTTTCACTGCATGTTTTTGGTCTGCTAAACTTTCGGTGCGGTGGTGCGTGTCCCCCCCATCAAATAAACTACTCGCCATTTTATTCAAAGGGTAACGTTGTGAGATGAGTTTAGAATGATTCTAAATTGCTTTGGAATCATATTCTGTGATTTATATTTGGTTAAAGTTATATGGGAAAAAAATCAATTTGCAGCAGGGCTCAGTCTCAATCCCCTTACTATACACTGCTTAAGCTAATGTCTCACCCTGCATGTACACCACCAGCAGACTGTAACAGATTGTCAGCGGTGTCCAAAACCGAAGTGCTTCTGTTGCGGACAGAAAGTGTTGATTGATGATCACTACAGCTGCCACCACAGCCATGGCGAAGGTGACGGTGAGTATCCCGCATAGCACGGGAAGTAACAGAGGGCCGCGGCCGTTTGTCAGCAGGGTGATGCAAATGCCGCAGTAGCGTTGCGAGCTGTGCAGTTTGTAAAGAGTCGCGACGTGCCACTCTAAGGCCGAGGCCTTCCTGGCCAGCCAACAGCTGAGCGCCGCAGCCAGCAGCGAGCACAGCCAGCGATGCGGAGCCCCTTCGTGGAGGAATTGTAGTGTGCAGCCAAGGGCACATCCCAGGGAGAATTGGCTTTGAATCATGAGGCGCTGGAGCAACTTTAGAGAGTCCTGAATAACACAATTTATAGTGTACAATGTTACACAAGGTATGGGAGAGCTTCACAGTATGTGAAATAAATAATGAGACCATTATTTATTTTCATTATTTATGACCATTAATTGGCCAGACAATTTATCGGTTGGGTGCAAATTATGTGTACATGCATGTGGGTTTTCAATTGATATGTAAATAAATATTTTGGTCAGTGTACTTTGCCCCATTTCATCTATTGTGGGGGTGGTACTGTGCAGTCAAATGCGCAAATACAAAATGAAAAATAAAAAACTCACAAGCTGAGTGGGCACACAGTTAAGAGAAGCACATTACTTGTTTGTTTGCAGTTTTTTCATCAGCAGCATTCCTTTTCCAAGGCTCCCAAATTAACTGGATTTTTGTTTTACTGGAGACCCATCTCAGGTATTGACAAACCATAAAAATCTTTCTCTGATGTGCTTAGGAACATCTTAATCTCTTTTTCATGAGGCAACTGCAACTTCATGCCATTGTTTTCTTACCATTCCCCGTGCAACCCATCCAGAGACAGCGCGAAGACAAAATTCCAGCACCACTAGTGAGGCCACACGAGAACCGACAGCAGCCAGAATCCCAGCCACAAAGACAAAGTGCAGCTTCCTCGCCAGTCTACATTTAACCCTCCTCTGACTAGATGCAGCTTTGTCACTCCAGCTGTGGGTTACAGGAGTAAATAAACCATTAGTACTGTACTTTGAAGTTGAACTGCCCTCTCAAGTGTCTTTACCTTTCCTCCTCAACATACAAGCGCACTCTGAGAAGGGAGCCGAGCACAGAGATTCCACATGCACCCACAAACCCTGTAGGTTACGGTACATGTCATTTCATTGTCTCACAAACACAAGTGAAATCAAAACGTGATCGAGTCTCACCTTGAAGCAAACGACACAGCAGATTCATGTTAAGAGCCCACCACCCTGTCAAGTAGGATGTCGGCAGCAGTGACGTGACGAATGAAATCATAGCACTTGAAGAAAACTCTTTCCCTTTAAATGCTAGTAATACCGTAGCAGTGCATCTCATTTATATTGTCATAGGTATACTTTGTCATTCCGCGTGGTTTTACAAACAGCTGAGATGTTATTTATTTCTGGTTACCGTACATAGTTCAGGGTTATGCTTCGCTCAACCTGAAGCTTGTTAGCTTGTTCCAAAGGTTGGCCATCTGACTCACAGCAGATAATGGCAGCGCACACTGAAATATTTGTCATAAAATCATACACACATTTACACTGATGTCACGAGCCTTTTGAGAGAAGCATTAGGCAAAAATGTGGCATACGCCTATGGAATAGCAATTATTCCAAGACCTAGCGCACAGCTGGGATATTTGGAAAGTTTCCATGGGAATGAATGGGGAAGTTACAGGACTTTGACAATATGTCTTGTTTGTTGCTAAAATGTTTGTCTTTAATTGTGTTAATGTGTATTTAATCTTCAGTGTTCCACGTTTTAACAAAAAATACATAGCTTACAATTAAATATTTTTTTTATTTTCTTAATGATGTGTGTAAACATTACCCAACATTTCCAGTTAATTCCCTTTAACTAACATCATGAATTCCAACAGTGTCCAAAATTCAATTCCCATGGAAAGATTCTGAAAATCTTCCACCGATTCCGTTGTCACTATTTTGGTTGGCCATTTTCCAAGTCTGCATCATGTCACCAAGTCATTTTACAGACTTACGGTAAAGGGGAAAAACAGCAGACGACAATCTTAATCACACTGCTAAACCTCAAAGACCATTTTGAGTCAAAGTCCACTTATTGCACCATTAAAGTGTTTGAAGTGACACCAACAAGGGTTAAGCACCCAGAGCTTGATTGGACTTTGTCGTAGCAAGTTGTAAAAACATACAGTAGGGCATGCAAGTAGGGGACAACAAATGAATTTATGGCCGAGTCAACGCTTGAACTTCCTGTAGCGACTCCACTCACACTCTCATAAAACAGGCTTTCAAAATCCCAGAGGCAGGTTTCACACATTCATGATCGCGATGGTGTTCTTAAATAGGCATGTTTTCGATCCCTGATGTAAGTTCTTGTGCACAGGCATAAAAGACTGACTGCAGAGGAGACTGAAGACTTCTCCCATGGAAGCCACCGGTGCTGGCAGTGTGCAATACAACCGGTGGAATGAGGACAACATCAACATGAACGTGGAGGCGTCGCAGTCCCCCATGACAAGGTGAGTATGTTTCGATCCAGTAGCACCTTGACATTCTGACGCAGCAAAATCTTCCTGAAAAATATGCCTCCACATTTTCTGCTCACATCAATCAAGCTAATTTGAGTCTGCATCAAATCATTTACTGTGTGTGTAGCTTTGGTTTTTTTCCTTTGACATGAGTCTCAGCACTAGTATTAGGAGTTAATACTATATGTGTTATGGATACAGAGAGTAAGATAACGTTCTGTGGTGTGTTGCATTCAGGCTATATATCAGAATGTGCACTGGCAAGATTGGCATCATAGTGAAGGCAGCTGGGGCTCTGGCCGCAATAGTGTCTGTCTTCATCTTGGGATACGTGACAGGATACTACGTCCATAGATGCTGATGGAACCCGCAAATATGAAAAGGCCTTTTGGATGATCTCCAAAATGTGTGCTTTTGTGCCCCCCTGAAAAAAAACAAACAAACCAAAAGAAAAAAGACAACCACAAAGCACCCAGGTGATGAATGAATAAATCGGACATCAATGATTTATTGGCAAAGACAACTTTTGCTCACGATTTTCCAACTGTCTACACTCCAGCGGTTCATTTGTACAACTGTGGCTTTAATCACTTATAGAATAGAAGAATCTCAAGTTATAGCGATATGAAAAACAAACATGTGACAATAACATTTGAAACATTGGTGTTGGGAAACTAATGTAGTCAATTTTCAAACTCATTGGTCACTTCATGATATTACAGTGATTCCGTACCAGGGTGCCATAGGATACTAGGCAGTTTCACTTAATTTGTGTAAAATTTTTATTCATTAATCACAAATTGTTCATTTATCGATGCCAATGATGTATAGTGACAGACAGAACCATTAACTGCTCTTCCAATAAAGTTGCCATTCATACAACAGAGTACCGTAATAAGTTATGGCTTTGAACAAATATATCTGCTTTGTACTATACTAAAGAAGTTTCACACTGTACATTTGTGAGTAAATTGAAAAAAGAACATTTCAGTTTTCATAAATTGTGTGACATTTTTGTTTGGTTGTGAATTATTGTTGTTGGTTTTTTTTTTCATGCACTCGCCTTGGCTAAATAAAGTTGGTGAAAAATTTTGATATACCTGTGGAACATTTCATTCTTGACAGCTCTACCATCAACTTTTTTTCTGTGTCATTCATTCCTGCTACATCTTCTGGGCTCGCTCCTCAACGTATAGCTGCATCTGTTCCAAACATACAAAAACGCAATGTAGTCGCGGTGAATTTCAAATGGTAGAAAACTGCAAACATTTCTAAGTTGAATCAAGCAGACGCAAATTTAAACTGCAAACTGGAAAGAAAATAAACCCTCACAACCATGAAAAAATGGTCATCACAATCAAGATGGCTGATGGTAAAACACAGGGATGCAATGGCTCAGGATTCAAGCTAGGATTTCACTGTTATGTAAATATCTATTAAGAGTTTGAAGAAAGGGTTTCAAACTATTGTTTTTAAGTCAGGGTTGGGGTTTCAAAGTGATGTTTCCAACTCACCATTAACTGCTCTTCCAATAAAGTTGCCATTCATACAACAGAGTACCGTAATAAGTTATGGCTTTGAACAAATATATCTGCTTTGTACTATACTAAAGAAGTTTCACACTGTACATTTGTGAGTAAATTGAAAAAAGAACATTTCAGTTTTCATAAATTGTGTGACATTTTTGTTTGGTTGTGAATTATTGTTGTTGGTTTTTTTTTTTCATGCACTCGCCTTGGCTAAATAAAGTTGGTGAAAAATTTTGATATACCTGTGGAACATTTCATTCTTGACAGCTCTACCATCAACTTTTTTTCTGTGTCATTCATTCCTGCTACATCTTCTGGGCTCGCTCCTCAACGTATAGCTGCATCTGTTCCAAACATACAAAAACGCAATGTAGTCGCGGTGAATTTCAAATGGTAGAAAACTGCAAACATTTCTAAGTTGAATCAAGCAGACGCAAATTTAAACTGCAAACTGGAAAGAAAATAAACCCTCACAACCATGAAAAAATGGTCATCACAATCAAGATGGCTGATGGTAAAACACAGGGATGCAATGGCTCAGGATTCAAGCTAGGATTTCACTGTTATGTAAATATCTATTAAGAGTTTGAAGAAAGGGTTTCAAACTATTGTTTTTAAGTCAGGGTTGGGGTTTCAAAGTGATGTTTCCAACTCGGGTTACAAGACAGGGCTAAGGTTCTAACTCATCTTTGAAGCTTGGGTTTCAAAAAGGATTTCAAGTCAGCGTTAAGGATTCAAATTACTGTTACAAGTCGTCATGTGACAAGACTTCACAAAAATGATAGTCTGGCAAAAAATGCTGAACCTGGTTGGAATAGCCACTGCAACCTGAGTACATCAGATGATGGCTTCCATAGAAATGGAGTTCATTGTTTGGGACAAGGTGGCTTTTTTAGGGAATGTTTTTGTGTGATACTATCTACAGAAACCCTTGTCAAAAAACACCTTTAAATAAGATTAAAAATGAATTTTTTGTTTTGTCTGCTAATCGGGGATTTTAGAGGCCTTTTCAAATGCTCATTCAATGTTTTTCAGAAACTTCCAAAAAAGATGGCAGGCGCTTGTCAAGTTACTATTACAAGATAAGGTAAAGGTTTCAAACCAGTCAAGTCAGTTAGGCTTACAAGCAATCAAATTAGAGTTTCGAGATAAGGGTGGCTTGAGATTCAAATTAGAGTTTCAAACCAGAGATGGGGTTTCAATTAGCGTTTGGAAACGAGCTTGTCATGTCACATGGTAAAAACGCTGGACTGCAAAAGCAAATGTCATCATGTGAACATTCTCCCTCCTTTTCATTCACTCTGTCACTGACAATCACAAGCAAAACAAATCTTACTAGTACTGTATAATACTGTATATGTGACTGGATATTCTCAAGACATGACCATCAATGATATACACTGTTTTACCTTCACTATGTCGGACGTCAAGGTTTTCAGCGGGATGAGTCTGGGCTCCTGCATGTGGACCTCCTGCTCATCAGCAACTATCCATGGGAAATCCTATAAAACAAGCAAGTGCTAAAATTGACACAACACACATATCTGTGGGGTTTTAATTGCTGCCCCCCCCCACACACACACACACACGTTATGTCCAATTATGTGTTCTTACCTTTATGACTTGAACTTTCTCCATGTTGCGCATGGCGGAGTTTCTCGTGTGAACTAATACTGTGAATGAACACTCTGAGAGAAGGAAATAAGTTTACGCCGATTCTGAAAGGTAACTCAAGGTTGTTTAACCACAATGCTGTTAATTACATCTCACCTGGTGGATTATTATTTAAGACAGCGTCACACACGCTGATCTTCAAAATGAACGCCCTGAGCAACTGCTCCACATGAGACAGTAATGTGTCAGAGCTAAAAGTAAAATAAGACCGGTAGTTAATATACTAGCTACACCGGTGATTGTTGTTTGAAAGGACAGGGATTTGCAAACCTAATAGAAAGCAACGGCGGTTGAGATATCTCAAAAACAAATCTCTCGACTGGATGATGTTCCTTGTCCATAATGACGACAACCACTTTCTCAGCATCATTCTGCCAGGAAAATGGAGGCGAGTGAAGATCGACATTGTACATTTCCAGTATCACTGAGCCCATGTCTTACCTTCTCAATAAGCGGCTTTATACAGTGAAGTGTATCTTGGATGTACTGGTTCAGCTCAGGGTGACATGACATCTGTTAAAGTAACCAAACGTTTGAGCTTAGGCGGTATAAAAAGCAACGTACCAAATCTGTAAGTTCATCATGTACCTGCACAGGGACATTGTACTTCTTTCGCTTCTGAAATATTCCAGACGGATACACTTCACGGACATACAGGATGAGGTGAATGGCAACTTCCAGGAATTCACACAAAATGTCAGCAACCACTGTGGGGCGAGGAGGGGTGGGGGGGGGGACGAGTTAATTCTTCTGATCACGTGTAAAGATGCAGCTGTTCACCACAACAAACACCCTATATTTTAGAATAATGTCAAACGGAACTGAGCGTTACAATCTTTGGAAATCAATGCAGATTTTTTGATTGAGCTTTCTTGAGCATCCGTGATGAGAAATTCGTCTTGAGTTACCCTTTAAGCAATGCCGTTTATTTTAAATAAGGGGTGAAGATTGAAAAAATAATGTTTAACTGTTCCACGCCATACCTTGTCCAAAATTGAGATCTTGCCTCGTTAGAGTTGTCATGATTCCAACAACTGAGACAGGAAGAAGCTGCTCGCTTCCACTTGGAAGCTCGATTTTATTTGTCAGACAGCGGCGACTACATACCAGAAGCCAAATATTAAGTACACAAAATAAGAAGACAGCTTTTAAATGTAACTCAATATATTATACACGTATTAAAAAAATCAAATAAAAATCACAGCACAGAATCGTGTTTTTCTTTTCGGTTGCGCTATTCAATAATACTCGGCGCACAATAATGACGTAGGTTCATGCAAGCGTTTGTTGTCCACTAGTGATGATGTAACGCGTATGGGGGGGGGGCGTTTCTCCATTGCTAGGTAAATACGTAACGTTAGTAATACTCAATGTGGTTATTATTTACTTTTTTTTTTTTACCGACTCTTCATGCAAGGTAATAATACACAGCCCATCTGTAAAACATTCATTTTAAAGACAAAACATACTCATACACACCCAATTCAAAAAAGAAATTTTACAAAAGACAACTGCAATGTTTTTCACAACAAATGTGAGTTTCGAAATGTTTAATTGGGACATTTTTAGGGTCCTGTTGTTAATTCACGCGCCGTGGTAAATTATTACATGAAATCCATAACGTTTCCAAGGATCTGATTTTCATTTCAGGGCATTTTAAAGATATGTTAACTGCTTCCCAGCTAATCACCCAGCTGTTGGTTGTCATTCATTTAAAATTAAATGGTGTGGTAGGTGCCAGGCAGAAGTGGACTCTCACAATGCAGACTCAGATGAAATGTACACAACAAATATTTCCAGAAAAAGTGGCGCAAAGTCGACATAATACAAATAAAGATGCCGGTAAACACACCAGGATAAAACAAGAGAAACAAAGGATGCTTGCAAGAGGCAAGGAAAATAAAAACAAAAATAGCTTGTCTCAAAAGGGCAGGAAAACCAATTCACGACAATACAAACCGAGAATAACTTACCAATACCAAATTTCCACCGACTAGAAAAAATGGAGAGCAAAAAAATGAGGAACGGGAAAAAATGGAGCAAGATATGGAACGTCTAGACAATTGCATAGGAACAAAGGCTTGAGCAAGGCAAATTATCCGACAGTTGTCACCAGGAGAATCCTTTAATCGTGGCTTGATCGCGATGCAAGACAAGTGCGCAGCTGAAGGAAACCCACCATTCAGCTGGAACTCAAAACAAAACAGGCTGAACATCACAGTCAGTCTGGAATTCTCTGCTTAATTCACCCCCCAACCTAAAATCAGCGCAAGACAATGGATGAATTCATCTGACTACTAATCTGAGCACTGATTATTATTGTTTTACTAAGGTCGTTAAATATCGTTTTTATTTAACCTTTCATGATTGATTTTTCTTTTTTTGATTGGTGAATACAGGAAGCAGAAATAGACACATACACAAAAAACACATTGATTTTAATTTTTTTATTTCCTCTGAAAATGTTCCTTCAGGCCCAAGTGGAACATCAGAATAAGAAAAATACCAGTAATGCAAAAATGTATGGCCACACATTATTAAAATACCAAAGCACCATAAAAGTGCTGTTAATTGTGCAGAATGAAAGTTACAGGACGCTAAAAGTCCTGCTTGAGGTAGATCTGTGAAAAGAAAATGTGAACGCATTTGGCAGAAATGACTTCCTCTATGGCTCACTGACACAGTGAGGTTAAATAAATTTGTAGCTGAGCTTGAACCCAACCACATACCCGACCCTTCTGATCGGTTTCCGTCTGTTAGCATTGATAGCCTATACTCCCCCATATTGAACCATCAAAGATGGCGACTTTCATCAATTTGCAACACTATTTTGGATCAATTTACTGCACACACTTGAAGGAACCTGAATCCCCAAAGGAAGAAGAATCAGCTCTTATAGACAACCCCAGCGTTGAATGACCACGTCACCTCCATTTCTTAGCCAGGTGGAGACCAAGCTGTAAGAGTTGAGAATGTTCACATCAGTCTATTTGATGTAGACTGGAGAAAATGGTGAATGCTGGTTTGGACAATTAGCATGTGTTTTTAGCTTGAAGAGATTTCCCTTGCAAAGCAGTGCCCCCCCCCCACCCCCTCTTTCCCTCCACATTACAACACATTTCTTTGGTTGACATGACAATGAGTTGGAGGAAATGCACGATGTACAGATGGTGAAAATGTAAACAATATCATTGGAGGGAACCAGTGTTGCGAACCAGGCAAAATCAGAGTTGTTCAAGCCTGGCAAACTGAAGTCTGACAACAGGTAATACTTATGGCCCGTGCACCTCCACTTGCATGTTTTGCCAGTTTTGGTCTATGTAAACATGCAGGAGCATTAAGTCCCTAAGAATGGATTCCAAGAGTCACATTTTAATGCTTTATGTCTGCATCTAATTAGAGCAGCATTATGCCCACAATTTGGGCATAAAACCGTAGAGGACTCAAGAGACTCCTGTGCTATTTTTATCGTCTTTTTCATCTCTGACAAGTTGTTTTTCTTACTGTCGCCAAAGTCCAGTAACCTGTTTGCCTCAGCCTCTGGTTTAAATCTCAGGGGCATGAGTTCTCGGTCCACAATCATCCCTCCCCTTGGCCTGTATGGTGTCCGAGTCACTGTAGGGCCTGTGCTGATTCTGATGGGCTCTAGTTTCTTTTCTGGAAGCTTTTCTTTCTTCGACGATATTCTTCCCTTTGATTTTTGAGACACAATAGGCGGAAGCATTCGTTGTTTATGGGTCTGGAGGCCTTTCCTTTCCTCTTTTAAGAAGTCACCATGGCCAAGCTTTGTTTTTGATGTTTTCTGAGAAATGGGTGAGAGCTTTGGTTTTTGTGTTTCAGGCAAGAAATTGGTCTGTATCCCTTTTGATTTTACTGTCACTGATTCACCACACGTACTGCCTGTTTTTATAGGTGCGAGCACTGGCTTTGACTTTGACAGTTGTGTTTTTTTTTTCTCCAAGCCACTTTTTGGTCCATCTTTTTGTGGGATAGGTGAAAGTCGGCGTGGCTGTTGAGATGGGTGAGGCACTTTCTTTTCTTTCATTTTATGTCCCTCAGCTTTGCGTAGGATAGGGGGGATGACTCCTGATTTTACAGACTCCTGTGATAATTTTGTTTCACTTGGGATCTCTTGTATCTGTAGCTTTCTTGTGTCTTCAAGTGGTGGTGTCACTGGAAATGCTGCAGATATATCATCTATATCCGGCATTGAAGTTGATGTGGCAGCATCTTTGAACGGTGGTGATGGTACCAGTTCAGGCTCTGGTTCAGGCTCTGGCTCAGGCTCTGGTTCAGGTTCTGGCAAAGGTTCTTGCACAGGCTCCGGTTCAGGCTCTGGTTCAGGCTCAGGCTCAGGCTCAGGCTCAGGCTCTGGTTTAGGCTCTGGCTCTGGCTCAGGCTCAGGCTCAGGCTCAGGCTCAGGCTCTGGTTTAGGCTCTGGCTCTGGCTCAGGCTCAGGCTCAGGCTCAGGCTCAGGCTCTGGTTCAGGCTCAACTATGATTTCTATGTCAGCCTCTGTGTTTTCTTCTTCCTGGGGTGATGGTACTGGTTCAGGTTCATCCTCTGGAACATCCACAACTTCTTCATCTGGGAACGGCACCGTCTGAGTGTCTTCTTTATCAGACTCGGTGATGTCTTTTTCAAGTAACGGTTCAGATAAGTCTTCTGTATCAGACAAAGTGATCTCTCCATGCGGAGACAGCACCGGGCAAGGTATGTCCTCTGTGTTTTCCTCTGATAGGCGTTCAGATAAACTGCTTTCACTTTCCTGTGAGGGCTCAACCTCAACAGTCTCTTTTGGTGGTGATGGAACTGATTCAGGTAAGTCTTCTTTATCAGACACAGGAGACTCTGGTATCTCCTCTATGATAGGTTCAACGATTTCTTTGGGTGGTGATGGCACCTTTTCAGGTATGACCTCTATGGGTGATGGCACAGTAGGTAATTCTTCCATATCAGGTACCTGGATCTCTCGGTGAGACACAGATCCTGATATTTCTGTGTTGGTCACACTGACAGATAGATTGGATGAACTTGATACGGTCGATGCAGGATTTTCCTCCACTGCAGTTTCTGAGTTGTCAATTTTGACCATTAAGTCATATTCTACACATGTAAATGCTGTGGGTATTGGCATTTCCTCTGTCTCATTCATAGTGACTGATAAAGTGAATGAACTTGACACTGTGTAGGATGGAGACTCTACTACTGCTACAGTTTCTTGGATCTCTTGCGTTTTGTTGATCTTTATTGAGAAGTCATACTCAACCGACGTACTTGGTATTGGTTCAGATATAAGCATTGTATCAGAGGCAGTGATCTCGCTGTGTGGTTCACATATGTCCCCTATATTTGTTTGTTCAAATACACCATGTGTATCAGATCCTTGCATTTCTCCATGTAATGGTTTAGATAAGTCCTCTGTATTAGATAAGTGGATTTCTCCATATGATTGCGGCAACAACAGTGGTCCGGATAATTCTTCTGTTTTGCTCACAATAAGTGAGAACGTGGATGAACTTGATACAGTTGACATAGAATACTGCTCTCTTACTGTCTCTTGTATTTTATTCACTTTTATAATAATGTCAGACTCTATATGGGTATTTGGCACAGATGTGCCTATGTCTTGTGCATCTGGTACCAATTCTGAAATGCCCTCTGTGTCAGATGCCATTATGTTGTCATATGGTTGTGACACAGCTCCAGATAGGTCGTGTATAGTCGGCACTGGTACTAATGTGTCCTCTGTATTTTTTGCAGGACCTGCAACAGTTTGTGTATTAAATGTCACACTCTCATCATTTACTGATGACACCACTGTCAGTGTATTCTCCGTACCAGATATATGGATTTCCTCATGTGATTGCAGCCCGTCTGTTTTGCTCATGGTGACGGATACAGTAGACAAATCCTCTCTTGCTGTTTCCTGGCTTGTGTTGATTTTGATGACAATGTCTGACTCTACATAATTAGTTGGGTCAGGAACGAACATATCTTCTGCAATTTGCACTGGTCCAGTTATATTCTCAGTATTTAGTACAGGTTCAGATATATCCCTTGCCTGTGCTATTGGTTCAGGTGATGGGGTCTCTTCATGTAACGATGACATCAATATACATTTGTTCTCCATACCAGATACATGGATCTCTCCATGTGATTGTGACAATGACACAGATTCCGATATTTCCTCTGTTTTGTTCACAGTGACTGATATTGTGGATGAACTTGATACAGCAGACATTGGTGATTCCACTCCACTTGTTTGGAGTTCTTGTTTTTTATTGATCTTGATTAAGATGTCAGACTCCACATAGGTGTTTGGCACGGCAGTGGATATATCTTCTGTAATTGACAGTGATTTGGATATATTCTTTGTATGTGGCAGTTGTTCAAATATATTTTCTATATCAGACGCAAGTATCTCTCCCTGCGATTGTGGCATTGACACTGATCCCGAATCTGAAACCAGCCCTTCTGTTTTGCTTACCATCACTGATACAGTGGAAGTACTTGATACACTGGACATAGGAGACTCCTCCCCTGGTATTTGTTTCATTTCTTGTCTTTTGTTGAACTTGATAGACAAGTCATACTCTAAAACTTTGCTTGGCACTGGATCAAGGATGTCTTCTGTAATTGGTTCGGCTCTATAAATATCTTTTGTCTTTGAAGCTGGTCGAGATATGTACTCAGTATCAGATAAATTGATCTCCTCACATGGTTGTGACATTGGGCCAGGTGTGTAACCTAATTTTGGAATTTGTTCAGACATGATAACTTCTGCATCAGATAAAGAAATTCCTTCATGTTCGAATTGCTCTGCTCCAGATATGTCCTCTCTCTCAGACACACGGATCTCTTCATGTGATCGTGGCAAAGGCACTGCTACACATATATCCTCTGTATCCAACACATGAATGTTTTCATGTGATTCTGGCAAAGACACCATTTCACACTTGTCCTCTGTACCCAAGACTTGAATATCTTCATGTGATTGTGGAGATGACACGAGTGCAGATATGCTCTCTGTATCAGATACGGGGAACTCTCCAAGTGATTGAGGTATTGACACTTGTCCTGATATGTCCTCTGGTTTGCTTTCAGTGACTGATACATTGTCTGTACTGGGCACACTGGATACAAGTGATTCATCTCCCACTGCATCTTGTGTCTCCTGTGCTTGTTTGATAGTGTTTAATAGGTCATAATCTGCAACATCTATTATGTCCTCTTTCACTGGCACTGATCCAAGCATGTCCTCTGGATGTGGTAGTAGTTTACATACTTCGTCTCTCTCATACACAAAAATCTCTCCGTGTGGTTTTGGCACATGTTCAGAAATGTTTTCTGCATTTGACACTACTTTAGTTCTTTCAGATGAAGAAGTCTCATCCTGTGGGAACAGAACTGATCTAGCTATGACATCTGTATCAGATACAATGATCTCTCCATGTGATTGCGGCAGTGATGCTGGCCCCGATACCTCTCCTGTTATGCTAACAGTAACGGATACAGTGGAAGAACTTGATACAGCTGGTATAGGAGATTCTGCTCTTGGTGTTTTTTTGGTTTCTTGTCTTTTGTTTATTTTAATTGAAAGAGTCAATGTCTCTTCTGTAATATCATCTGATCCAGATATGTCTGTATTTGAAGCCAGTTCACTTATGTCCTCTGCATTCGATACTGGGATTTGTTCACATGGTTGTGACATTGGTCGATGCATGTTCTCCATATTTAGCACAGGTGCTGATATATCCTTTGCATCAGACGAGGACATTCCTTCATGTCCTGATGGCATTTGCTTAAATACTTCATCTGAATCAGATACGGGGATTTCATTGTATGATTGTGGCGCTGTTTGAGGTACACATATTTCTTGGTGTGAATATGACAATGACAGCGGCCCCTCTTCATGTTCTGATGTCGCTTGTCCAAATACCTCCACTGAATATACGCGTTTCTCATTTTGAGACTGTGTCACTGACACTTGTCCACATATGTTCTCCATATTAGATACATCATGTGAACCTGAGTCAGAAGCTGGTCCAGGTATGTGTTCTGTATCCGATATATGGATTTCTCCGTGTAGTTGCGGCAGTGACACTGCTCCTGATATTTCTGTTTTGTTCACAATGACTGAGATGTTGGCTGAACTTGACACACTGGATGCATGAGATTCATCTCTCACTGTTATTTCATGCATTCTGTCATATTCAACAGCTTTGTCTTCTGCACTTTGTAATTGTTCACACGTGGCCGCTGTATCACGTAAAGTGATCTCCAACTTTGGTATTTCCCATGTATTTGACACTGATTCTGATATGTCATCTGTGTTGGTAATTGACACTCCAGATGTGCATTGCACTTCAGATACACGACTCTCTCCACAGGTATGTGGCAATGACATTGGTCTTGATACTTCCTCTGTTACGTTCACAATGACTGATAGAGTGGATGAGCTTGATACAGCGGACATAGGAGAGTCTGCTCGGGTTGTTTCTTGAGATTCTTGTCTTGTGTTGATCTTGATGATGATGTCAGACCCTTTATAGGTAATTGAAGATGTGCTTTCTGTTACTAGACCTGGTACTGATATGTCCTCTGTACTTGGTACTGGATTAGATTGGTCCTCTCTATCAGTTGAAGGTGTTGCTCCACACGGTGAAGCCACTGATCCGGATGTGTCCTCTGAATGAGATACATGAATCCCGCCTTGTGACTGACATTGTGAAATTGGTCTTGGTATTTCACCCATTTTGTTCACAGTGACTGATACAGTGGATGATCTTGATATCGTGGACATTGAAGATTCATTGCCTGCTGCATCTTGTCTTTCATGGATCTGGGTTACGTCATACTCTGCACCGGGTGTGGGCAATGGAGTGGGTATGTCCTTTGGACTTAGCACTGTTGGTAATGGTGCAGATATTTCTTTGGCATTGGTCTCAACGAATGACACAGTGGCAGAGATGGATGAACCTCGGGCACCTGATGTGGCCACATCCTGCACCGGCTTTTGTCGTGTCTCTTGCCTTTTGTTGATCTGTCTTAGGAAGTCATACTCTGAAAAAGACGACAAATAGTAATATTAGAAGTGAATTTAGACTGCACTATAGCACAGAGACAATATTTTTCCCAATCAGCGAATCACTCTTACATATTTCAAAGCCTTTCAAATCTGTCTTCATCTCACACCTTTTGGCAAAGAGTATGCATTTCCCCGTGTACTGTTTCCCCAAAGACCAAAAACCTCACGAGGATTCTAAATTGCAGCAGATATGAATTATTTTCTGCGCCAATTATCCTACAATATACTGTAAATCAGATGAAATAGCCTCCAGATCTGTGACCCTAAACAGATTAAGAGGTCAAAAAAGTATTGATAAATGGTTACACCACTCCATAATTACTTCTCCTTTGCAATATTGTTCTTTTGTTATGCACATAAGATCAACAACTTCCACCACAATCCGTGTTGATGGTCCGACTTTGATTTAGTAGACTTTGGAAAAAAAAAAATTCCAATTGACAACAATTATATTTGGAATTATTCCATATTCCAAATCATAATCACCATAAATCCTGGACAGACAATGTTTTAAAGTTCATAAAAGCATTCAAATGTTCTGTGATACAAATATAAGCAGAGATTACCCAGATGATTATGTTAATGACAATCAAACAAATAAGTAGTTACTTAAAGGAGAAGTCTAGTCAAAAAGGGTCGCGGGGCATGCTGAGGCCTATCCCAGCTATCTTTGGTCAATAGGCAAACTGAACTGGTTGCCAGCCAAACTCCGAGTACACACAGACGAGCAACCATCCACAATCACAATCACACCGAGGGACAATTTCGAGTGTTCCATTAACCTGCCACACATGTTTTTGGAATGTGGGAGGAAACCGGGATACCAAGAGGAAACCTACGCAGGTACGGGGAGAACATGCAAACTCCACACAGGAAGGCCGGAGGCGGAATTGAACTCTGCACCTTTGCACTGTGAGGCCGGTGCACTAACCACTCGACCACTGGGCCGACCTGATTAAACATCACTGCTGTTAATTTATAGAAGAGTGCCATGTCATGACGTACAGGTCGTCATAGGCCTGTCACAATAATTACTATAGCGACTTATGATTCAATGAATATAATGGACAATATTGTTTTGTTTTACATACGTGTTTACATAAATCATCACCAGAATTCATGCTGCTTTGTTCCTATCAGTCGACTTCCTTGCTCTGGAAGTCTCACATGCACACATACACACGCAGCAGTGGAATGGCTTTTGAAAAACATATCGGTTCTCTTTGCGTGCTCCCCGTTGATTCATAGAGATTCGTACCTCTTTTCCTCATTCATAGCTCTGTATAGTCACGCTAATAGTCACCAAGTAACAGTAAAGCTAGCTGGCACAACCATGTGTAACGGCGAAGAGCTATCCTGTTCTGTATTCTTTTTGCATTGCTTGATCATGCACTATGGGTTCTGCGAATATTCGCAATGCCCGCCAGGAACTTAAAGAGACTGGCATGTGGCACCAGATACCTGTTTCGAATGCCAGAATTGACAGTGAGACCAGTGTACTGAGTCTGTATTACAACTCTCATAAAGTCACTGTACCGTCATAGAAACACGTCAGCCTCTGTGTATCATATAATACTTTTACTTTTAATAAATAGAGGGCTTTTTTTCGGAGGGTACATATCAGATCAGTGTTTTTTCACACTTTGTTGAGCCAAGGTACCCATTTTACATGTGAAAAATCTCACACCTATACCAAACATAAACAAAAAGTATGACTGCTGTAATAACGGTCTTGTCTGCATTTAGTCACAAGTGTACTGACTCGGTGTGAAATCTGGGCTTGTGTAATTGAACACAAAGCTGATACACTTGCAGGGAACCATGATTTATTTTGGTGGATGAATGGGAACGATTGGACACACAGGTTGATTGTTCTTTTTGCCATCCAATGGAAGAACATTTGATTTTTCTGCCCACCACTATACGCTGCTGGCATAGATTAAAAAATATATATATATATTCTGATGAATTAGAAAAAAAATAAATAATAATACTGACAGCAGTAATGCTGTGAACATGCTTCCTGTGGTCATTATTTCACTTTCAGGGAGCTAAAAGACATCTCATTTTACTCTGCCACTACACATTATTTCGTTGTATGTGTTGTGTTAGTATTTGTTGAAGTGCAATGTTTTTCAACAGAGTCTTGATTGACTTTTATTGTTCTATATTTCAATGCAAATGTCCAATATTCTTGAGAGTTGAAAACTAATTGCTCTTAAAAAGAATGTACTCTAATTCTGTCTCCTTTTATGCCATCACAGTATCAGTGGCATAAAAAGATAAAAAAACAAATGATAGTGATAGTGTCTGAATTTTTTTTTTTTTTATCATGACAGGCAAGTACACACCATTTATTTATCGTATGAGTGACGCTTGGCAATGTTTCATCTGGAATGGTAAATTTGATGTGGCTTGCACTGCATGAAGAAACAAGCAACTTACCCCATTGTTCTTGAAATCGAAAGGCAACCTCATTATCGCTTAAGTCTGCTCCTCCAAACCTTGACATGTGCGTTAAATGCGTTTCTAAACATCTTGGAATGTCTTCGGGTTGGGAAAGTATCGTTGTCCTGGAGGTACACTCAATCAGACTTTTGACGCCAAAGGATAACGGATTCTTAGAATCCATTTTAAGCAATAATAACCGTTGTTTCTTTTAGAAAACCTTGTGCGTGTAGATTGGTTGAAGTTTTCAGAACATGATCACTCTGACGCTCCTCTCGTAACAAGAAACAAAGACTGTGTCAGGGATCAACAATTGCTTTTAAATGCACTCCTCAATGGATGTAACCAATTATGTCATATTGTGTGACATCACTCAGCAATGAGGTCACCTTGCATCACAGGGCTGTATGTTGTCATTGCATTCCCTAACAGCATTGATAGCCACTTTTTTTTCCACTTAGCTTCTTTTGCTTTGTCAGGTAAACACCGATGAAGCCTGTGTTGGCACTACAGGGTATGGTACAGTGTTACATGGTGACACTATCCATACGTGTTGTACGTCTCTTTTTACAAATCTTGGAAATGGAGTAACAATTCTCCTTTGGCCAAACAAAGGACAGTGGAGCGGAAAGCTCACGCACTGGCAAAACGTATCGAACCGTCTGTGAGTGATGACCCAACGATCGTGTACTGGCAGCTGGGTTGTTGCAGTCTTCTGATCCAGAGATTATTAAGACTCTTTTTACATTTGGTTTGAAAAACTCCAATTATGGGTTTAATGTGTCTGAGATGCCTTATGCTTATCATGAGTGGTTTTGTTCCAAAATCGATAAATTTTCTGTGTTGAGATTTGATCTGTAACAAAAAATAAGTTTTTTTTTCCAAAATGTGCAAAACCACTTTGTTGGGATGCAAATAAAACTCCGTCAATACATGCACATGGTGATATGTTTTGAAGTCTTGTTAGTCAAAAGACCTCATCCTGTCTTCTCATCTAAGGTATCCGTAGAGCGTAGGTGAGCACGCAGCTTGAGTGAATTCCCATCTTGGACCATATCCGCACCAATGAAAGATATTTTCAAAGCGTCAGCTAATTCTATCAGTTTTGGTCTCTTGTCTACATACAAAAGTATGCACCCTTAAAACTGATCTTTTGGAAAACTTGACCTTTTGACACTATGTCCTCAAGAGTTTTGTGTCAAAGGAAAAGTGAATCATCATTAGAAGCTGGATTTTTTTTTTTCCAGCTAGGAACATTTGAAAAATAGACCATGCATGTGTAGACATGTGAACGAACACCCACTACAATCTCACTGAAAAGATTTTTGTCTTCCTTTTTATTCGGTGTTCCGCATAGGAGTTTATTTGCGGCATTAGTCCTGTCTTCACCTTCTGCATTTTTAGATCAATTATACACCATTAAGAGTTTGTTCTCATGATTACTTTATTTGATCAGAAGAAGCAAACGGAAGGTGATTAGACTGAAATGAAATAACATTCTACACATCATAGTCGCAGACTATACCTTAGGACTCAGTGGCACGAGTTCTGGATCAAAAATCATTCCTCCTTTGGGTCTGTATGGGACCCTTATCTCAGATCCAGGGCCTACCTCAGGTTTTTTAACACCCCGATACTTATGGACTGTTGCCGCTGTACCGGTTCTGACTGGCTCCGATTTCTTGTCCTGATCAGACTGATCTTTGGATTTATGATACAAGCAGTCTTGCAGTGAGCAAGTGAAATTGTCACTGTTTGTTTTGGGTGTCTTTTTCGGTTTTGGCTTTTTTTGTGGAGAGGCTTTCTGGAGGGAGTTTGGTGACATTGCAGGTTGAGGATATTTGATGATCTGCTGCCCGATGATCTGCTGCCCTTTCCGCTCCTCCTTTACGTATTCACTGCACACTACTTTTGTTTTTGTCCCCTGGGAAGAAGGTTTATGTGGCACCTGTACGATGATGGATGCTGGAGACTTTTTAGCCACTTTTGTTTCTTTTTGACTGGGGGTCCTGGCTGTAAAAGCCTGTTGTGGCTTTTTTCTCTGCGATGATCCACATATTTCCACAGTACCAGACAGAGGGATCTCTTCATATGGCAGTGACAGTGGTACTGAGAGCTTCTCAGCCCCAAATAGAGTTAATGATCTGGAAATGGCCAGAGACGATGAAGACAATCTGACTGCCATCTCTGCGATTTCTCTTTGTCTGCTGATCGTCATCAGGAAGTCGCTCTCTGCAGAGACAGCAAACAATTATACATGGAATGTGGATACCCGCAGTATCTACTTATGACTGTTGTCAGCACCAAATTTGCACAAATATTACAACTCTTTTGATTTACCATGTCAAAGATCGATTTAAACCCTTTTGTAGGACTATACAAACAGATCATTCTTGCCGAATGTGAATGGGTGCACCAAAACCTTGAACACTGAGTGTTTGGATGCCATGATAAAACTACAGTCATGTGGTCAGGTTCAACTCCAAAATGGTATCTATCTGGCTGACTTCATCCCCTTGATCCAGAAAGCTGGTCATCAAGATAGTACAGTTCCATATTTACCGATTCTTTGCTTTGCTTAGTTTCTCGACACCAAATTTAAAACCAGTCAGACTCACCCCATTGCTCTTGGTAGTGAAATGCAACCTCTTTAAGATCTGTTTGGTTAGGGCCTCCGAATTCAATCATTTGAGTCAGATGGGCTTCTAAAAATTTGGTGATGTCAGCTGGCTGTGACAGCAACACTGCACGTGAAATGCATTCGAGCTGACTCCTAAGGCCGTACGGTAACAGATCCATTTAGATTACGAGAAGGCCCCGATGACGCTGAATGAATACACTCAGAGGCATCAGCACTCCGACAAGGATCAACAGTGGCTTGCAGACGCATTCGTCGCAGATGAAAAGGCTTGTGTCATTAGAGCAAATGAAGCGTCTATGTGACATCACCTGCTTCAAGGAGGTTGTGCGACATCACAGGGCTATGTGATGTATGAAACATTTCAAAATAGTCTGGTCATGACACAACAAGCTTCTAGACTGAGCAATCCTATGAAACATCGGTTCATCGAAACTATTCGCAAAGCAGATGCCTCATGTTGTTCGTGTGCAGAGCTTTATAACTGCTGGCTTACTTGGATGCAAGTTTTCTGGACGAACACAGGCATCATGAGATAAATTGTGGAATGGCGGGATGAAGGTCAGGCTGGTTGACATTGTTCGCTTGACGTGTGTATCGGCCTCTTTTGATGGAACGGCAGGATTCAACAGGGCTGTTCTGTGTCACCTCGTCTTTCCTTCATTCAGATTTTATCTCACTTCATCAAAGTTAAGGCAATTGGGAACACTGAGTCAACAAGCAGGCAAAACTTCTTTGTTCCCAAAATAAAAAATAGTAGTCAGGTAAACATTGACCTTTAACACCCCAGTAGTCTCTGGTCTGAGTTCAAATAGTTGGAAATGTGGATTGTTTTAACAGCTCAAAACTAAATGCAATACATGATTTAGGAATCACTTTAAAACAATCTCTCAGAACAACCCCACATTTTCATGCAGTTTAAATATTAGTTCTCATGTATTTCTGAGCTCACTGTGGGCGTTTCACGTGAGCATCAGATAAGGAGAGCTGAAATTGACCTTTTATGTTCCCAACTGTAACCAGCAGCTTCAAATACCTTCTTTCTGTACCTCAGTTGGCTCGCAGTTACGTTCCTTAAAAGATTTTTATCATACCACTTTCCTTTGAGTACCATCCAAATTATTTGACAGTATGATGATCTAGCCTACGTTTTCTAGAAAGAAAGCCTATTCCACACCTTTCATCAGCAGAGATGTTTCCACATTATGTGGGAAAACGGACTTAATATTGTAGAACTGCCTCCTGAAGTAATTTCTGTTTCAGTACGTACAGCTGTGAAACAAATTATCAGACCAATGAACAAAAACGGGTATGGTGAATTCCATTATAACTGCTTACAAAAAGAAATAGAGGGACGGACTTGAACATTCTTGCAAGAGCAAACTCTTGGCTTCAGATTTGTTATGGAAGTCAAAAATAACACTAACATTAGATTACACTGGTCAACAACATTTAATCAGAGGTGGCTTTATGTGTTCCTAAATGTATTTTTCGCTCTGATTTCTAAAAAGTCTTTACTTTTTTCTAGCACAAGTTTTTGTGATACAGTATTTTCTTTTTTTGTTGTTTTTAAGTTTGACCTGCAAAGGTTTGTGTGCAATACGGATTTTACCATGTGTTGTAATTTATAGCTGTGATGTTTCAGAAAAAAAAATCCTTCTTTACCTCAATTCATAAATAACTATACAGATGACTATCTTACCTATATTTTTCATTATATAATATAATAATAATAATAATAATAATAATAATAATGATAAATAAAACCTGCAGTGCTAGAGACACAACGAGATAGGAGTCATATGGAGATATGAGCGCAGAAAAAAATGATCGAGAAAAGTTTACTTACATTACTGATTAAGAAAATAATTAACATTTGGTTGACCAATGTCATTGTTCGCATAGGTGGCTTGGAAGTGAGACAGAGCAATAAAGAAACATTCAATTTGGACTCATAAAAGAAAATGTACACCTCCCATACCTGTCAACTCATACGGTTTAGCCATATTTTATACGGATTTTGTGGTGAATCTTATGTATATGGCCATATCGCACAAATCATACGGATTCTGAAAATTCCTGGGTTTGGTTTTTTTTTTTTTTTTCCCCCAAACAGGGGGTTTGTTTTCGTTTTTCCCCCTAACAGGTAGTTCCGTTTGCTATTACACAGAATGGTGCTCGTCTACTCGAATGCTTTCATTTCCGGTAACGTTCCAGTAAATCACGTGGTTACTAGTTGAAAACAGCAGAGTATTCATTCCATACTTCGGTAGTGTACCAGCAAGTTCTAATCTACAAGGTGAAAAAAGTAACGCAGGAATACAACTCTGAACACAGTAATGCCACGAAGTAGAATGATGATTAGACATTCACCTGCCATTGTATTATGGAGATCTACAATAAATATCATTAAAAATTTCATGGGTTTTTTTTCTGCCGTTATTTTGACATATAAAATGCTTTGGTATGTTTTAAGGATTTTTTGCTCTTTATCAGGATTTTTTTGGTAGTTTATATGGGTTGGCGCTCCGAAAGGTTGACAGATATGACCTCCCAAAAATAGGATTTAAATGACTAAATTTTCAATATTGCGCCTTGTTGCACTCAGATTTGATTTTTTTCCCCTCTGAAGCTCGCCGCACTGTGCTGCAGCCTGCAGGTGGCAGTAATGCGACGTATGACTCATTGTGTCTGCAAGAAAGCAGAAAGAGGTAATGGACACGGAAGAAACCCATCACCCATGGGCGATATTGATTCGAAGCGTCGGTTGAGTCCGCTGAAATTGAATCAATGTGTCCGGTGGATGTGGTAGGCCATTCTTTCAATAATCCACCAATGCAATACACGATGCGACGTTATAGAAGACTCTTTAGTCCGTACGTTCGTTGCATTTCTGGTTGGCTAACCACGGTTATTAAAAGCAGTTCCGTCTTCCAGTTTACCTCACATTTATGAGAGTCAGGATTCGAATCTCGCTTGTTACTCTCCTTTGTGGTGTTTCTATGTTATTTTCCCGTGGTTGCGTGGGTTTCTCTCCTGGTACTCGGGCTTCCTCACGCATCCTCTGAGCATGCATGTTTTGCACGTCAATTACACACTAACTTGTTCATCGGGGTGAATGCGAGTGTGAATGCGTGCTTGGCAGTATCGAGATGTTAGGTGTGAGATTTTTGTTGAATCCGACATTCAACCTGTCATATCTTTTAATCTTTATCCTGTTTTCAAAATGTTGGGATCAGTGGGAAGTTTGCCAAACATAGACGACCAATCATTATGAATTTAACGTAATGATTTCATGCCAAAGGCCCGGGTTTACAAGGATTTTTTTTCAAAATATAAATATTAATAGAAACCCTTAGTTTGGTAGTCAAACATGCACAGGAAAAACAAAGCCAAGAATTAGCAACACTCTATCAGTTGTTAAAATACATAGGGAATAAGTATAGCACAGTGAAGAGACATTCCCAAAAAAATTCACTACACGGTGTCTTTCCAAACACTTTTTAAAGTGATGTCGCAATGTCAAAGAAAAATGACACATTTCCCATTCGTATCCATGGTACAGATTTAAGGATGCCATCTTTTCTGTCTTTTCCAGAATCAATTGGGCTGTCTTGAGCTGGCGAGATGGATCCAGTTGAAGCTGTTAAACCATCGCGGGTTGTTGATGCTGCCGCCAGTGATCCCGATGGGGTTGATGTCACATCTTGGGTGTCGGTCTGTCCAAGAGGCCTCTGGGTGGTCCACAAGACGCTGACACACACAGGACGCCAACAGAAAGTTTCTGATTCCGGAGAAGGTGACAATATGATGTTTTTTTTTTAAATTTGCTCTAGAGGTGTCAATTAACTGACCACTAATTTCTGATCAAAATAATGAATAGCTATTTTAATAAATTAGTCCTTATTTTGAGCCATTGCTCAAAATTGTCCAGTTCATCTGATTTCAGCATAGGAATTATCTGATTTCTGTCGCCCCTCATGAAATCATACTGTTTATCCTTTCTAATTCATCAAAATTAGAAATTTGCAAATATCTGTATTTACTGTGAAAAACAAAAACCCAAATAGTAAAGAATCAGTTTTAAAAATGGTTGGTAAGAACAACATCAAGCCCACTCGTATTATATTGCCGAATTGTTGTTTGCCTAATTTTTACTGCTGTCCTTGGATCTTTGTATCCTTGACTTTTGAGGTCTAGGAAAATTCCTTGAATCCTTGAAAACTCAAACTTAAATATAACTTGAAAAGAAATTACCGGTAGTAAGAAAGTCAAATATACACTTACAACTAGATAAGAACAAAGCTTGAACTACGATTGAACTCTTTTAATGTAACTCATTTATCATAGATTGGGAAGAAATTATGCCTTTGAGTATTGTTATGTTCCCTGTGAGGATGTGTTTCCACTGCATTTTTGTGTGAAAATTCATTATTTAAAGGACAATATCACCATGAAGTCAATGCTAATTTGCCGTTAGCATTTCATCAGGGTATTACACGACTTTAGCATTTGCCCTAGCAATGTTTTAAAAATGAAGCAATTTTTGTATTTAAATACATGATGTGTGTGCATTTTTTGTTGTCTGTAGTTTTACAGTAGACTCCAACTGTCGTGTCATTAAACACCTTAATGGACACTGTTTAGGAGCGGCAAAATCACATAAGCTACGCGCTTTCTATGCAAGCAAAATGGTGCATTTGGGGTACTTTCCCGACGTCGGGAACTTGTAAAGGCACCGTGCCGCTATGCACAGTCATCGTTTTAATTCAATTATAACTTTTAAAGATCAAGAGAAGCCAAAATCGAAATCACTATTACATTTGATTAATCGTCCAGCCGTAATTGGATTTAACAGGAAGTAATTGAGCTGTAATCGACCTGTTGTTTGTTTTCTCGTAGCGCTGTTGTCCGTTTACAAGCCAAGGTTAGGTTCGCTGTGTCGTGTCCGTGTGTGTGTGGCGGATCAACCTGAAAAATCTGCATCTGTGAAAGACCATGAGACCAAGCGCGGAGGTCCACTTGAAGTTCCAGAAGCGGCCTTTCGACGTCAGCTCGACTCTGTTCTGCAGATACCACTGGGTGAATGGACTACGCTTAAAGTTGGGGAGGGTTATTGTGATGTCACAGAAGCCTGCGTGGAGGCCATGAGAGCTGGAGAGGCATGCCAGGTATGAAAAATTACGCATCAGCGACATCACTAACACTACGTAGGATTTGATCAAGCCTTCTCACTGAATCCTCCAACATAACATTCCCGAATCTTTTTTCCGCCACAGGCTTGTTTCATCTAAATGAGTTTTTTAAATGCAGGAAAACATTAAACGCATTGCCGAAAGAGAAACAAAATATTAGAGAAATAAAGTCATATGAAATAATGAGATTCAAATGATTAAAACCAAGCATCAGTCTTGATACATGACAGTGTGCAAATGGAGATTAAAACAAGAGAATAAAGGATAGATTCATGAGAGTGATGTAGTGAACAAAATTGTTTTCATCCCTGAATTAAATAAACCGAGAGTTTGAGCAGTCCTCAGGTATTCAGAGAGTTTGTTCCACAGGGAGGAGCATTGTAACCAAATGCTATTTCACTTTGTTTGGTTATGGTTCTGGGAGCACACAAGAGACCTGTCCCAGACCACCCGGGGGGGTCGGCATGCTTCGTATTTTGGTCCAAGACCATTTAGGGATTTATGGAATTGCAGCACAATTTTATAAATATATTCTTTGACTCACAGGAAGCCAGTGTAGTGATTTCAGGACATAGGTGATGTGGTTCAGAGTCGTGGTGTTAGTATGGACTCTGGCGGTATCATTTTGCATCAGCTGCGGCTCTCTATTATTATTATTATTATTATTATTATTATAATCCGGAAAGACGCCATGACAGTAATATAGCCATTTAAAATAAAAGCATGAACAAGTTTTTCTGTGTCTGGTTGAGGCAGAAAACCCTTGATTCGAGCGATGATTTTCAGGTGGCAATAGGCAGATTTAAGAATAGCTTTTAATTGGTTGTGAAAATTCAGGCCTGAGTCAATAATTACACCACGATTTCTGGCTTGATTTGTAGCTTTCAATGGCATAGGGTTAAGGTAACTGCTGGTCTTGGACCTTTCATTTTTGGGTCCAAAAACAATCTTTTCTGGATTGAGCTGGAGAAATATCTGGTCCATCCACTCATTGATTTGATGAATATACTGACTAAGTGAAAGCAAAGGACTATAGTCATTTGAGGACCCTGAAATGTAAAGTTGTGTGTCATTTGCATAAGTATGATAAGAGGTGTTGTGATGCTCCATTAACCTGAAAAAGGTGCATCGTGTAGATGTTAAATAGAAGTGGTCAAAGAATGGATCCTTGTGTAACCCCGTATGTGATCTTTCCCCAGACTCATGATTACCAAGTGATACAATGTAGTCCCTATGTTGTAAGTAAGATATTTGGGGGAAAAAAATACTGTCCTTTTGAGCCTCAGGGATTCATCAGCACTGCCTCCCCACGACCCATCACAGATACTGTACTGTAAATAACCTGGAGAAAGCTTTGCAAGACTTTAATACGGCAGATAAAAACGGCCAAAATCCTGCAAAATAACCTCAGCCTTATTTCTTCTCACTGATGCTAAATCAGTTTCATGTTTGCGTCTTGTTACTCAGATACGAGTCACACCGGCAAATGGAGCCGATATGTGGCATTCCCAACCCATGCAGGAAATACGCGCCACCGTCGAACTGCAAGCTTTTACGCCAGGAAAAGAATCCTGGCAGATGTCGTCTGATGAAAAATGGGAGTGGGTGAGGTCCCATAAGGAAAGAGGCGGCCAAAGATTCAGAAGTGGAGACTTGTGGGGAGCGTCGGACAGCTACAGTCGTGCCCTCAAACTCGTCATCACCCTGCAGGGCTTCGAGGCAGTCAGAAGAGAACACCAAAACGACGAACAAAGTACGGCGCCCTGCAAAAATCAACTGTGCGGTCCTACAGTTAATAACGTGCAAAGCATGAAAGCCGAACTTCACTCCAACTTGTCATTGTGTCAGCTCAAACTGAAGCAGCCAGTGCGGGCTAAAGAAAATGCTGCCAAGGCCACACAGCTGGAACCAGGTCATGCTAAAGCTTGGTACCGACTTGGCCAAGCCTGTCAGATTGTGAACGAGCTGGAGGAGGCCCGGTTTGCCTTTCACAAACTCCTGAAGCTACAACCGGAGTCCACGGCGGCAATGAAGGCTCTTAAAGACATCACAAGTCGAGAAAGGGAAACAAATGCACAGTTGGGACAGAGACTTAGTAAAATGTTCAACTAGAATGCTGGAAAGTGTTTAATACTGTAATACCAATTAGGGATGTGTGATACATGTATTGGAAAAACACGTGAAATGCGATATTGGTGTTGAATATCGCATGTGGATATGATTGTGATATTTAACATGTACCTAAAGAAATGACAATTTTATAATACATTACAAATACATTTGTCATGTGGCAAAATAAACAAGCTCAATGTATTCTTAGCTAATTAACTGTAATGCCCCTGGATGCTGTTCACCTTTTGGATGGCGACGCGCATTTAAGGTTTTCTTGGTGTTGAATTCAGATAAAAGCACACAATTCCATAGGAAACCTCTTGCTTGTCTTTGCTATATGCATATGGGCCATTATCAGGATAAATTAAATAAATTCTGCTGCCCTCATGCAAATGATGATGATTGTTGTATGGTTCTCCGTGGTCCCAATGGTCCCAACCAGACTGGAATGGATGGACATGTTCATTGAACATTTTCAGGAGCTCTTGATAACAGAGTGACATAGGAAGGCTATAAGGAAAAGAATTGTCTCAGCAAGCCATAAACGATTTTTAATGCTGCTGTATTGACATGCAAACATAAAACATTTTTTTTTAATACAGAAATATATTTGCGGGGGGGGGCAAATCTTAAACAACAGTCAGCGGGGTCGTTTTGAGACATTTGACAGTTATTTTTTGCATTTTGTTTTAGGTCTACAGTAAATGATCGACAAATTGTTGCTGTACTGTACTTAAGTCTTGCTTGATCCGCCTTAGGCAGCTGGCAAAGGGTGAAGCCATCACTTTGAAACTCTAGTGCACTGTAAAGTCAGCCTCTCCTTGAAATATCCATTTCAAAATGCTGCTTCCCTCTTAAATGGGACATGACACAGTATACAGTTGTACTCATAGCCCTTGTGAATTGTTAGCATTTTTTTTAAACATGACTGGTGGATGAATGGGGATGCTCTCGGTTTTTAAAATGTTTAATTGTGTCACTCTGGAATGCTTATTTAACTTGAATTCCATTAAATGTAATTTTAAGATGTGTTTTGCATGATCCCATAGGTTTTCTTTCCAAATAAAACATTTATTTTACCTGCTCATTAATGTTTTCTTTAAAGAATGGTACACATCTGACACAATCTGTCAGGGTACAGCAGGAGCCTTTAGCCTTGTTTTCATGTCTTAGTAATTTACTTTTTTTTTTTTTAATGAAAAGACTTTGTTGGGGAATTAAGTCCAATCACCACACTACAATTTGTTTCAGCAGTTGTATTATTATTCTTTTTATGTTAGATTTTTTTTTTTTGTAAAGATTTTGTTGGGGGAATTAAGTCCAGTCACCATACTACTATTAGTTTCAGCAGTTGTTTTTCAAGTACCAAATATAAGTGAGTATTTTTGAGTTGCCAAAATAATCGAGTCATTGTGTTGGTTTTGGCTCAGTCAGCGATTCGTGTGTATTTCTCTTTTAAAGACCACTCGAACTCGCATGTGACGAGGCAAAGGGGAGCAAAATGCCGAAACCCGGGATCGAACCAGGGACCTTTAGATCTTCAGTCTAACGCTCTCCCAACTGAGCTATTTCGGCTTGTAGAGTACTGCTGCTTGCCCATTTACCTTTATCATAATATCGCAATATATATATATTTTTTTTATATATATATATATAGAGAGAGAGAGAGAGAGAGAGAGAGAGAGAGAGAGAGAGAGAGAGAGAGGTGTGTGTGTATGTGTGTGTTCATTTATTAATTCATATTTATCATAAAACTTCACACATTTTCTCCATAGTCAACTTTACAGTCAAACAGAACGGTCTCCAAGTGTCTTTAGGGATGTTTTCCTTGCAAATCTGGGAATATGTAAAGGCACAGTCACATCGTTCTATTTTTTCTTGGACTTGTGAGACTTTCTGCCATCCGAATGTGTCTGGGCGGCTGACAGCTGTCTCCAGGCGTCCACAATGAGCACCAGTGGTATGATGATCCACAGAACGTTCAAGAACACAAAGTAGAACCAAAAGTAGATGGGATGTCCCAGCTCACTGTGAGCGTAACCCTCTCTGTGTTCTATGAAGAAGTACAGCACAGCTCCATACAGTTGACCTGGAGGGGGATGACATCAAATGGCTGATCGAGTGCAGTACACCGGTGCAATGCAATGTAACAACTCAGTGCTTTATTTTGCTTACCAAGTGAAAGTATGAGCTGCAACACAAATCTGTAGGGCTTGTTTGTTAAGAAGGCAAACACAGCCCAAAAGCTGAATGGTCCCCATAACCACGCAGTCACGGTCTCCATACAAACAGTAAAGTTATCAGCTCTGCGCACAGAAAAAATATATAATTTGACCACAATCAGTGAGCTGTACAAATAGTACAGTACTGTATATACATTTGATTTGTCTGCAGTCATAAACTCACATTACATATCGACTGTCCCCTTTAGAATACTCCTTCCCTGGGAGAAAGATGTGAAGACATTTTTAACATGAAAAATTGTACGTTTTGTTTTTATTTGATTTTTTTTTTTTTTTTACAAGGCAGCGGTCAGCCGATTTAATTGGTCATTATTAACAGTCAAGGATGATCATAATCGGCCACATTTTTGCCAATTAAAAGTGTGAATAATGTCCAATGCATCATTTGTCCACTAGGTAAAGCTCTGCCTCCACTCCATCTAATAACATTAAGCGATTTTCCTGAGATGGTGAGTGATCATTTGGTCACCAAAATTTACAAGAACAACGGCCGATTACTGTTATGTATTGCAAAACAGTCAAATGCTCCGGTTGTAAACGTTTAGTGAGTGAAAAAAGTTGCACTCAGGTGAACTTAATTTGACCTTGAAAACTTTTGGAAAAACTACTAAAACACTGGACAGTTGGAGATGTGCATTCAAATGTTTAGAGATGATCAAATTTAATTCACCTTGGTAGGTTACAAGCGCATTTTCGATTAATACTGAAAATCACCCAAAAGTCCCAAATTTTTGGGGAGTCGTGAAACATGTCTTTGTACTCACACAACTGTGACAGGAAGCTTTGGTCTCCTGGAATAGCATCATAGTAGAGAGAGAACCAGCCCTCGATAACACTGTGGATAAAACCACAAACTGCAAACCAGCACACAGCCAGACGCCTCAGTGTTCCCAGCCCGCGAGTAATCAACCAGGTGACGAGCAGAAACACCGCAGACACAGAGAAGAGAAACGTCAGGATCTCTGCCATGGATCGATCATTGGCCACGTAAGTGGGAATCAAAAGATGTCTAGGCCAGTAGGGATGAAGTGGTGCAGATGCTGAGGCGGATTCCATCATCTGTTTTGAAGAAGGGAATTATGAGCACGTTTTGAAACTCAAAAATAGGTTGAACATCGATGTCATTCACCAGCACTGTACAGTAGTTACACAAGACTACATAAATGAATGCTGTACACAACGGAGGTACAAATTAACTTGGAGCTGGTTGATTATAACGACAGAGTGGCAGACAGAAAATATGCCCCACGCTTCACGTGCATGTTTTGCCCTCACCGGTGACGAAGAGCAAAAACACAAAACTTTCGATGAAACGATCCCCTCGAAGAAAACTGCCAGACACTGTACAGCGCGTCAAAAAAAATCTTAAACACTGAACTCTAACGGTTGACCAATAAGACGACTTGCTTTTTTGAGCCCATGGCGCGTGATGTTTACTGGCTCTCCAATTGGTTCGTCCTCTCGTCACATGACGTAATCGATGGAATTCACCAATGAAAAGACATCACTAAAAGGTAGTCACAGACCGCACCATTGGCCCCTCTGTTAACTCGTCAAAAAGTCTTGCTTCTGTCACTCGTTTGGATCAGATAATTGTATTTATTCACAATACTAGTAACTCAAGTCAATGCAACACAAACAATTTAGATGTCTTGTCGACTTCACTGGTGTTTCTTGTGTAAATAGATAACTAATGGTACCACGCAGAATCGACTATTGAAAATGGACGTTTCCGAGTTTCATCGTAACATATAATAATAAAACAATGAATGAAAGATAAAAATGAATTAAAGTTTATGCTCACTGGCATGATGCCGCCTGCCGTGACCCGGATTCGAACCGGGGTTGCTGCGGCCACAACGCAGAGTACTAACCACTATACGATCACGGCGAGCTATTGAGCACATAAGCCCACTTGCCCATACACACTAAATTAAAATATGGCAAACCAGAAATTTGCCATGACGTGATGGCAGCGTTCGAAGTTACCATGACGGAAATATTTATTGCAATATTTTTTATTATATTATCCACAAGTTAATTAACGCATTATTTAATGAGATAATTATACTTTCAAGTACATTTGTTTCTTCGTTTATTTGTTGTAATTTATTAATGTCTGAAAAAAACATTGACGAGCATTCACCTTCGACGGTTTCACCTCAAACACTAAATTACATTATAACTTCTGCAAATGCTCAAGTCTATAGTCCCATATGGTCTAGCGGTTAGGATTCCTGGTTTTCACCCAGGCGGCCCGGGTTCGACTCCCGGTATGGGAACTAACTTTTTTCCCCCCTCCTCCAATTACGAACAGAAATTGTCTTCATGATAAACTCATTCTGCTTAGCATTGGATTTATCATAATGAAATACTGTAATGAAACAGCAAACCTGCCGACTAAAACGAAATCATGTATAACCATGTGATATCCTATTAGTTGGTTTCCTCTCCCAAACTATTGGATGAATTATTTTTTGTATATTGCAATATTTTATAATCTCAAAATAGTTACACCACAATCACCACGAGTCAAATTACACATTACTCACTGCTCGGAGATTCGCATAGACAAATAACAATTGATGTGGCGCTTTTAGCACTAAATCGTACGTCGAAGTTGCCTCCGAGGAATGTGCATTTTTCATTTAAGGCAGGAAATATACCAACCGTAGCTGGGATTACCTTTTACTGGGAAATATAACAACAAATCATGGTTGCATTTGGCCATTACAACATCATAAAATCTAATTTGCTAATGCTGTGGCTCATTCGATGAAGATCTGTTGAAGTCCCGACGATTTATTGGCTTGAATTAATTTACAAGGTGGCTGTGTCACCTCCAGTATGTCTGAGCAGCGTCAGAAACGTAGCGATTCCATTGAACCCTGGTTGGAACACCACGTCGAACGTGCTATACCACGTGATGTAATGTCACGTGTCGCATTGCGGAAGTTTTGCGGCAGTGTAATAAATTCCCCTCTGTTTCGTGCTCTAAACAAATTCGGCCAGACTTAAAGAGAGTCCAATTTACCCAAAAAGAAAGCTATGGACGAATCGGCTCAATCACTGGATGAAAACTTGCTTGCTTTCATGGACCAGCTGGAGTTACTGGAGGAAAAACGAATTCGTCTTAACTCACTCATCGAGCAGGTAGTGACCAAGGGGCAGCGTTGTTTGTATATTATCGTGCAAAAATTGTAAACTGCGGCCTCTATGTACATATTATACGTGCGTACACAAAATGTTGATTTATGTCTCCAAGTTGGACAGTCTGGTAGACAAATCGAGCGCAATTTCGCTTCCAGCAGCGCGCCGTCAGGGATTGTATGATTTCTCTCTATTTTTGTCAGGGGATTAGCTACAAATACACTCTGAAAAACCTGGAATTCAAAGAATGTATTTTTGAAGGAGAGGCATTTAAAACATGAAAAGGTTATCTGAGAAACTTTTTTGAGATACTTTATTTAGTAGCCACAAATTAGTGTTTAGTGTGAGCGCTATATGTGTATTTTGTACACTGGTTATATTGTCTGGGGATCTAAATGATGAATCGACTATTGAAATGCAGTAAACAGATTACTGTACATAGATGCTATCGTACAGCCAAGTTTAATTCATTAGCTGTACCAGAAATTGTGAGCAGCGTATTGTTGCTCTTTTTCTTCCTAATGTTCCCCTGCTGATGTTCAGCATCATAGGTTTGACTGCGCCGGGTTGTATTTTATTCATGTAAGTCTCTTCTTATGTAATCTTACAATTTTGTGTTCTGTGCAGGGATGGTTTTTCATTTCCAAGGCGCGATATTCCATGGGAAACAAACAAGTGTCAGCTCTTCAGTATGCAAGTGAGATAAAGCCACTGGTTGGTGTTCATGTAAGGTGAGAAATCAAGCTAGGAGTCATTCCGTGCCAAATCACCCAGTGGGTTGATCAAAGCAGATTTGGATTTTAATGAAACTTGCTGTACTTGTTGATATTGATGTTAAATCACTAAATCTCAAACTTTTGGTCGATAGGAGCAGGAGTTGCGAGCGACGGCTCACCGATTTTTAATACGTTTGGCAAAAGGGGGTGTGGCCGTATTCCTTTGACCCCTTATATCTCAGTAACTACTGGTTAAAGGTCAAATAAAAGGTCAAGTTACTAAAATATGCATCAATCTTCTAAATGAAGATTTGGATTCCTTGTTTGATTCCCTTTCCAACAATACCGTACTCGTTTTGTGAGGATTCACCCAGTACTTCTTGAGGTATAAGGGATCGAAGGAAGGTGGCCACGCCCCTTTTTGACAACCATATTACAAATCTTTGGATCATAGCTCCCAAACACCCCTGTTCTGGTGGATCTAAATTTGAGAATTACTGTTGTGCCATCATTTTCAAAAATTACAGCAAGTTTGATTAAAATCAAAATCAGCTTGCTTACTGTTTTCAGATTTTTATTTTTTTTTGACGATTTGGCATGGAATGACTTCAAGAATCAATGAAACAAAACCTTCCTTACCCAATCTAAAAGCGATAATTTGATGTGTATACAGAGCACTTGGTCATGACAACGTCAAATTCTGCACAGATTTACCAAAGCAAAAGAATGAGTGTCATAACTGTAATGCACTTGTTGAAGACATTGGCCCAAAAGAGGAAGGTAAGACTTTGGTCCATTTGAAAATCAATGTAATTTGGAATCACCTTCAAATTGTCATATAGCATTTTCTTCATTTCCAGGTGTTAGAAGAAGAATAAAATCGAAACAGACTAGTATCGAAAAGGAGACAGTTGAAGAATTAAGTAATATAAAATCACCAGAAGACCTTTCAACCTCAAAAAGTGAACCAAATCCTCAGCAAAACCCACTTCAGTGGTTTGGGATTTTGGTGCCACAATCCCTGAAACAAGCCCAGTTGTCATTCAAACAAGGTAATGGAGAGTCGAAATATTTGTACAAATATCCGATTTTTCGAACCACGAGGTGCCCTTAAAATCCTTTGATTTTCTCCAAAAATCAACAGTGCGCCTTGTAATTCAGTGCTCCTTATGTATGTATGGTTGTCAGCTTTTCAGTTTGTCATGAACTCAAATTCTTTTCTATTATTTTTCTCTTATTATTTCTATTATGTTCGCGCTCTCATTCTTCAGAATGCAAGTGAGATCAAGTTGAGTTGAGTTCTCATCTTCATGTAAACACGAGCAGACGTCTGTTTTCATCATATTGGAATTAGAACTACTTCCTGCTTCCTTGTCTAATAATCATTGAAAATGTAGTCCTACTAGTCTAATGCGAGCTATTTCTGGTGCCGCGTTTCCAATGTTACGATGTGGGACAATATCATTGCGGTCTGTGGGACCGAGAAGTAAAAGTAAAGTTAAATTCCGTTCTGATTACTTTCACATTCATAAATATATGCAAGTGCGCAAGATGACACTCTCGATGACTCATGAGCGGCACTTCTTTTGTTGTCTTCTGTTTGTTTTCCAGTTATTGAACTGTCTGCTGAGATTGCAACTCTTCAGGTGCAAATTTTAAACTCCAAGCAGGAGCTGAAGCGACGTTTTCAGGAAAAAGAGGAGAAAAGGATAAAAAAAGAGGAAACCACTGGATGCTGAAAATGATCTTTGGGTTGTTCATGTGTTTATCTTAGATTGTCGTGCTTCATTGTAAATGTGATGTAGAATGTGCTGAATAAAATCGATGGTGTACTGTGCACTACTCTCTGGAAAAAGAGTACCTGAAAAGGGTTACGACGTCCAGCTGAATGGGACACAAAGTACAGTGGATGCCCAGGCCAACCGGATGATTTTGATGCCCCAGATAAACAGTTTGTTGGATGGAGTTGAGTTGGTTGATACCCCTCAATCCCATCTAAATGCAACCTGCAACAGGACCCTTCAATCTATGATCAACAACAGAAATGCTCCAAAAAATGTCGCCAGGGGAGCTGCTATGGATGCCTTAGCCATAGCCCCAACATCAGCACTCCCATGGTTTGAAACCCGAATTTGAAATGACTGCATAACCCTTGCTTAAAATTCTAATTTGAAACCATAACCCTCTCTTAAAACTCTAATTCCAAACCCCAATTTGAAACCCTAACTCTCGGTTAAACCCCTACATTGAAACCCTAAACACAGTTTAAAACCCTAATTTGATAGCACAACCCTAGTTTAAAACCTGACATTGAAACCCTAGCCCTAGTTAAAAACTCTGTGTAACCTTAACTCTAGGTTAAACATCTACATTGAAACCTGAACCCAAATTTTGAACTTTAAATTGGCTTGTCCTCAAACCCCCATGTTTGTATACCAAATGTACTACGGCGTTTTAAAATGTTATGTTTATAGTACTAATACTATTATTTCTATAACATGACATTTTCCAATACTCTCATTATTCATTTCAATGTATTCAAATCGCAGTGATTCTCCAAGTGCTCTATGCCACCAGCGGTACTTGGGTTTCATCTAGTGGTACACAAAAGAATCACTTCCTCGGTCTTTTTTTTTTATTTTTTATTTTTTTACTTGTACAATACGTTTGCATTGAACGATTCAGGGCTGTTTGTTTTAAAACATTAAAGTATAATCTTTATTTAATGTTATGTGCGATACATTTTAACATTTTCATTATTGAAGTATAGTTTTATTTGCTTTACTAGATTTTCGCGCTGTGTTCAGAGCGTAAATTTTACGGCCTCCAGTAATATACTTTGGGAGTGTACTTCGATCGCCCTGTATTTTTTTGAACTGTTAATAATTGGTATAAAAATGATAGAATGGCTATAACATGTTATGGTTTTATATAATACGAATGATAGGTGACTTTCAGAATGAGCACAACGGAGCGCACATTCAACACGGACGCATATAATAATTGTTATATTGGTCCGTGCCATCCAAGCAGCATCCGGAAATGAAACTCTGGCTCTTGCGTGCACTTCCTGGTCCGGGCTCACGCGCACACGCGCAAAATCACTGTAGTGTCGTCTGGACTCCTGCGTCCGAACGGCGGATGTATCCTCAACTGTTGTTTTCCTGCTGACATCTGCAGTCGCCTGTGTTTGCTTTCCGCTCGTGTAAGCCACCCACCCATCACCGCAATTTGTGCCCTTTTATTTTGTGCACCTTCCTCTTCTTTTCTTCTTCGTCTTCCTTATAATTTTTGTAAAAATTTGCGTGACCGGGGGTCGGGGAAGTAAACACGAAGACCAGTGCCCATGAAAGTCAGCGAGGAAGGACCGCTACGTCGCCGTCATCATCATCACCATCACCACCATCACCATCATCAACATCATCATCATCATCATCGTCCTTGCTCGTGATTTCTGATCGGGTGCAGACGAGAGCTAATGTTTGCGCCCATGGCGTCCATTTCGAAGGTGTCTATTTTGGATTACTTTAATATTGTGTTCGAGGGCGAGAATGGCAAAATCGAATCCAACTGCAAGGCGTGTGGCACGAGAATCCAAGCGAAGCGCAGCGTCACGTCCAACTTCGTCACGCATCTTAAGGTAATTCCCCCCCAAACGCTATGAGAATGAATAATAGCCATGTTGTATGTGGGTCATTCCAGAATTGGAGGGCATTTTCTCCCCACTTCCCCAGGGGCGTAGCTGTCATTTTGCAAGTGGGGATGGCGAATTGTTTTCAGCCAACTTTTAAAATCCTCTCGCATTCAACTGCTCCTGTCCATAGAGGCGGAATAAATAAATTGCATTTTAAGCAAAAACTAGGCATTTGCAGATATCAACTTGGATTTTGGAAAACATAGATGAAAATGATCAACATTTTTGCCACACTATTTCTCAAGATTTTAAGAGTGTCAGGTCTCAGTTTGAAATCTGAGAATCCCCTGAAACCCTCCAAAATCTCAACATGTTAGACAAAGGTCAATAAATCAATCTTTTTCATAAACAGAATCAGTGTTTGTGAACTTATAAACATGCTAATTAATAACACTGGTCAACAGTAAATTTTAATCAGACTTGGGTTTATGTGTCCCTAAAAGTATTTTTGATGCTAATTAAAAAAAAAAACGTCTTTACTGTTTTTTTCTCCTAGCTCATCAGGTTTTTGGTACATATTCACTTTTTGTTTTTCAGTTTGACCGATAAAAGCTTGCGCAATTCCAATTTTACCACGTGCTGTAGTTTATAGCTATGCCATTTGCAAAATAATTCCATCTGTTGCAGAACCTAACCCTCTCTCTTCACCTTTTTCAGCACCGTTTGTGTTCTAGTATGTTTTGCTCTTAAAGGTAACAACACTGCTACATAGATGCTAATTGTTAGCCCATGTTTCAACGGAGCATCCCATTGTGTGGTAGCATTAAGCTTGTGGAGGCTTGTATGTAGTTGTTTTAGAAGATGCACAACATGTAATTCTCTTTGTTTTACGCTGAGTTTGACAGTAAACTTTGGCTGTGAGTGGTGACAAACAGCTTGAAGCCTCTCTTCTCAAGAATATTTATTAATTCTACCTGCCAAACTACTGATTGTTGTGAAGTGAGTTCAGTCATCTGCCACCATACAACACATCTCTAATTTGTGCTCGCATATCAAAGCAAAACAAACAAACAAAAAAATTTGCCCATTGACAACTCGTATCTCTAAAAACTCGCTCACTCATATCTACAACAGGTTCGTGTCAAACACATCAAAATAAATTATAAGACAAATTAAAATGTTTCATAAAATATTATCGGTTACCCAAGAGCACAGGTGTCAAAGTCAAGGCCCGGGGGCCAGATCCGGCCCGCCACATCATTTTATGTGGCCCGCGAAAGCAAATCATGTATCAACTTCCTTAACCCTTGCTTAAATCTGTACCATAATCTTACATTGTCATATGTAACAAATAACTGTGACATGTTTTTTTTTTGTGTACAAGTAATAATACGATGTGAGGATTAAACATTTATTCGGTTCCACTGTCGTAACGGCCCTCCGAGGGAAAAAGGAATTCCAAAGTGGCCCGCGACAAAAATGAGTTTGATACCCCTGCCCTTGAGGAATCCGATTGCATGGTGGCTTATTACCTGTATTTCTTGATTTTATAAAAAACAACAACAACTTGTGAAACAAAAATGTTGGCACTTAAAAATTGTCCTCCGATTCTGGAATGGCGCGTGTGTGGTAGTGGCGTTAATACAGTAAAACTGTTGTGGCTCCCATTCAGCGCAAGCACCAGGCCATGTATGATGACTTTGTCAAAAGAAAGGACATGAAGAGAGAAGGGTACCCCTCTGCACCCATGCACACTTTGACGACCAATGGAGGGAATGCCCGCTTCACTCTCCCTGTGGGCGTGGGAGTAGGAGCAGGTGCTGGAGGGATTGGAGCCCGCGAGGGAGGAGGAGTGAGCAAGTTTGACAAGCACGATCCACGTCAGGTGAGAGAGCCGGTCTTTGCATGTCATCACATATGGAGCCAGCAGCCTGAATATTTTTGTAGCTCAAACATGTAGTTATGTGTCTGCACAAGATGCGAGATCAGGCATGTCCAGCTGCGGGCCTGGAGGGCTGCTGTCCTGCCTGTTTTCCATCTCTCCCGGCTGCAACACACCTGATTCAGATGATCAGCTCATCAGCCAGCTCTGAAGCAGCGTTAGAACGATCCCGATTATTCAAAAATCAGGTGTGTTGCTCCTGGGAGAGCTGGAAAACAGGCAGGACAGCGGCCCTTGAGGATCGAGTTTGGACACCCCTGTGCTAGATGAAGTAGCATTCTTTTTCCCAGGTGGTAGGAGCGGTGGTATTTGAGAGCAAGAGAATTGCCGAAGAAAATGGACTGATAAAGACCGAGAAAGTCTGGAGTGTAAAAAGTACAGTCTAACTCTCATTGAATTAACTCATGAAAGATGTCTAACAACCACATTTAATCAAGAAGAGAGGAAAATATGATTACAAAGATGGTGATGGTTGAATACTAAGCGGTGGACTGCAGATGCGGGGTCCAATATTAACGGTGGCCGGGTGACCATCACGTGGGTGTGTCGGGCGACCCGAAGTTCACTGATACTGGCAGGACTGGGCCATTCCAAATGTAATAAATAAATGTGCTGAAATTAGCACATTCTTGCTTTTTGTAATATCTAATATTTGCAGTTTTATCCACATAAATTGATCGCACATTCCATTGTCCAAATTCAGTGTACATTGTGCGCTACATACTGGCGTGCATTATCCAATCGTAGGCCTATTGGCTTTATATAGAATGTTGATTTTGTTTTTTGGGGGGGGGTTGTGACATCTATACCCTGGGGAGTGGAGAGTGTGTAATTTTTTTTTTTTTAAAGCTTATGCATCGCCCACTGACGCTACTGTCGTGCGATGTTGCCACGAAATCTACATTTCGTCAAGCGTTGTTTCAAATCGGGGCCAGTGTCGGTTCTGTCAGGGCCACCACAATTTGGCTTGTTGGGCCACCGCCCAAATAGGATTAATGTCGGAACCTGAGATAGCAGAGCCCAGGGCCAAACGGAAGACTCGCAAATAACTGCCCTTTTGATCATGATTATAACCACAGGTCTTGATAAGCGAGGCGATCGCAAAGATGATTGTACGCGATCTGCAGCCAGTCTCCATGGTGGAAAACTGTGGCTTCAGAGTGCTGCTTCAGCTCCTGGAGCCACGCTACACACCTGATCCCCAGTACTACATCCAGAACCAGCTCCTCCCAGCGTACACTTACCAGGCCCAGGTGACTATCCGTCAGGCCCTGGCTTCAGCACATGCCCTCAGCCTCAGCCTGGATGTCTGGAGGGCCTCATCCGCAGCCACGTTAGGGTAAGGTTTGCGAACAAACAAACACTAGTGGCATACTAGCACAGTGATCATTGGTTTTCTAGGCTTACGGGCTGACCTCTCATTCTTTAGTTACCTTGGTGTCACCTGCCACTTTCTGTCATTGGAGTGGCAGATGAGCTCAGCTCTCTTGGCGTGCCTGCCCCTCAGTGGGAATCGGATTCTTTCAGATTTTGAAGAAGTGTGTCACTCTCACGGTGTGTCCGGAAGAGCCTTCCGTGTTGTTTCTGACCCGCTTCTGGCCACGACTACTGTGAAGCCATGCTGTCTACCCGGTTTCTGCCAAGAGGAGGATGAGGAAGACGATGCAGAAAGGTGGAACGTTGCCGCGGGAGGCATTCGGAATGGACACGCGGGAGAGGAAGCATGGGAGGACTCGTGGGAGCGGGATCTTGGCGTTTGTCGTGTGGACTGCTTCTCTCACTCTCTTAGCCATTGTGTCAGAGAGGCGTTACGTTCTTGTACGCAGCTCTCTTCTGTGCTGGCCAAAGCTGGTCGCTTCTACAGCTACATTACAACAGTGGTTCCACCAGAGAAATTGAGTCAGGTGTTTGATGGACCTGGCATGGAGATCGGGGCCCTGGGAAATGCTTCGCTACTGATTCGAGACTGGGCTACCCAGCTTAAGGTATATCTGAGCTCACAAATTGCTGTTGGAGTAACCCATCTTAACTTTTTAACTCTTAATGGTAATTGTTCAATTTCCTATCTGGAACTCATGCATTCATTTTAAATGCGACCCGAGAGAAGACAACGGAGCGCCACAGACGCTGATGCGCTAACACACTCACCCAGACTCAAAAGCAGACTTGCCAATATCACATGCCACATTTACATTGTCAGATGATCACTTCTACAACATTCCAAGGAAATCACAATGTCCAGTCACAGATGAGCTATTTTTAGAACAGACACGCAGGCCACTCGTGCAGTCGTTGGCACCATGTTGGTGACCCCTGCTCGAGGGAGTGGAGTTCACTTCCTAAACACTTTCAGACGCCAACCCAAATTGTTCCTGGATTTCTAGAACTCATGCCTTCGATACCAGACACCTGGTTTAGTCTAAATCCAATGTCCTCAATGTCCCCAAAGCAGCACAATTGAGGGATTAATTCTACTGATGTTGAATTATATTAACGCAAGCTAGCCGAGAAAGACAAAAGATCAAATGAACACGTTGTGCTCTTAGAATGTTTTGTTCTATTATTCATAAGCAGTTAAATCGTACAGGGGATCTTGCGGTAGATGGACTCAAATGCCGTATCGGGAAGTTGTCGTCTTATGGCGTGTCTGTGTTGGGATGCAGGTGCTTCGTCGACTGTTGGAGTCTGTGGAGGTCTTGGAGGAGATGGGTGGTCCTGGGGAAATGGTGCTCGGTGTTACAGAGACGGCGCTGCTGAGGGAGCTCACTGACACTTTGGAGCCCTTCATGGAAGCCTGGGACATGGTGTGTGGGGAACGACAGGCAGAAACCCAGACTGACACACAGACAGACAGACATGTGTCCATTAGTCTGGCACTCCCCTGCGTGCTGGGCTTACGCAAGCATCTTTCTGAGACATCAACCCCCAATTGTCCTTCTCTCATGGCCAGCCTCAGCCAGGCCGCAGAGCGTCGTCTCGCCCCGATCCTGGAAGACCCCCTCTACATCACCGCCACCACCCTAGACCCCCAATTCAAACTCACATGGAGCAGTGACCCTGAATGGCACAGACAAGTTCTCCTCAAAGAATTATCCAAATACTCGGCAGACTCCAACACAGAACAACTTCCTCATTCCTACACGTCTCCAGCCCCGGCGCCGTCGCCCGTGTCGCCGCTGGCTCGGCCCTGCAAACTGTTCTCTTTCATCAAACAGAGACCCATGACACAGGCCAAGAGCCTGGAGCAGGAGCTAGCCATCTACTTGAGAGAAGAACCCACGGATGAAGAGGCTTGGCATTACTGGCGACGTAAAGCTATTGACTTCCCTCTTCTTGCCCAGGTGGCCAAGAGGGCGTTGACCATACCTGCTTGCAGCACCGTGGTAGAAAGCATCTTCAGCAAGGCCCGACGCTGTCTGCGGCCCGAGAGAGGACGACTCTTACCAAAGAACCTGGAGACACTTATCTACCTCAAAGCCAATTACAGATTATTGTGGACTTAGTCTCATTGTTTGCAGCCTTATACAAAATATCACACCACATGCTAAGGAATAAAGGGAACTACTTGTTATTTGACTTTGCCTGACCTTGTCTCCACATATCCACACTATCTTTATCCAACCGTTCCCCCGAGACATTTAACCCACTGGTTACATTAAAACTATTTTGTAGAAGACTTCTAGTTGCTGACATACATTAACACAAAAAGTTCATGTATTCGATTTTTTTTAATGCCTATATGACGATGCATCAACCACTAACACCAATATTTTTCATCTCTGTGTATGCCTCATCACTAGAACTTAATAAATGACCTTGACTTGTTATTGTAAATTAATGAACAATGTGTAGGCATCATATTATTAGACACAAAGCTTCTGACTGATTTCCAGTTCTGACTAAATTTGGACAAAATGCAGGCAAATGCAGGCATTGTGTATCTTTGAAGGGTGTGCAGTGTTTTGGGGTCTTGGGTTTGAAGTGTCTTAGGTACTATGGCACAGGTGTTAAACTCCAGTCCTCGAGGGCCGCTTTCTGCATGTTTTCCATCTCTCCCTGCTGCAAAACACCTGATTCAAATGATCAACGCATCAGCAAGCTCTTTGGGAGCCTGATAATGATCCCGATCATCGAGGAAAACATGCAGGATAACGGCCCTCGAGGACCGGAGTTTGACGCCTGTGTTTGAATGTCTAAGAGGTGTCATTGCTTGAAGGGTTTTAAAGTGGCACTGGCGCTCGCTTCGGCATAAGTTCTTGTACATGAGGCGTCAGATTCTCGGGTGTAAGATGCCATTGGTCCAGTGGTGTAAGGTGCAGTTGGGTCAAAAGTGTATTGTTTTGTTGAGCCTCGGGTGGAAGGTACAGATGGCTATTTGGGGTTCTATGCAGAACATATTTATATTTTATTCAAATCCTTTCCCTCCCGTATGACGTCACTCTAGTTCCAAATGTAGTTCCTAATATCGGCGATTATTAGTCTTTAGCCCATCCTATTGGTGTGTTGTGGATTGTTTATGCAGCTTGACAACTCTCTCTTGCTCGCTCCCCCCCCCCCAACCCCCCTTTCCCTTTTTCCACACACCACTGTGAGGGCTCATCCATTTGCGTTAGACCAGCCGGCTCCTATTGGTAATTGCCTCTCAAATGAATTACTTGGCTGAGAGAGAGGCTGCAGGACGGGAGGAAATTGTAATTGAACGCTCCTGCTCACTCGGCCTCATGCCAAGTGATTACATCTGCAGTGCAGAGAGACACGTACAGGGGCAGTTACAAAACCAATTCTTCCCCTCCCCCACTTGACGGACCATATTGATGGAGCGTGATTTCATGGATTGAATGGACACGACACAGGCACATGCAGGCTGGGCCACCCTGAATGCTCCCTTTGCTATTTATAAGACAGAGAGGCATCATGTTTGTCTGCACTCCTGTATCGAGGTGGCTGGGGGCTTAAGCAGCTTATTGCTTTTGCTTAGTACTGCAGGACAGCGGACTTGCCAAAAAGAAAAGTTATGGTTCTGTACCGAGAGAGCCTTGGTAACCCTGTATACACTCATGGATAAACAGACCAGTTAATGTTATTAATAAACTGCCTGTTGCTGACCGCTGACAGTTACAAGAGGTAGGGGCATCTTTTGTTTCAGGGATGTCACACTTCGTCGCTGTATTGAACGGCGATGAACCCAAGTACGCCATGTCAGCTAAAAGCGTTGGGACACCTGGTACTCAACATTTGCAGGAGCTTAAAAGGGGAGGACATATGGAGGCGAGCAATGATAAAAGACTTTCTACAGGGTGCCTGCTGTAATATTTGTCCATTCATCCAGAAGAGAGGGCCTAGCTCAGAGTATCTGTTCTAGTTCTTCCCAACGGTGTTTGGTGCAGTTCGTCAGGACTGTCGGTTTTTATACTCATCCAACTTTGGCTTTAAGCTTTAAGCACCTAGTGGACAGGATAGCAACCAAACTGGGACACATTAAATTGCCTCCCTGAAACACAAAGTTGGAAGCATACAGTTGTCCAAAATGTCGAAAGAATCAGCAAGTGTGTCTAAAGGCCAGTCCTAGCTTTGTCATTCAATATGCTGTCTTGTTATCTCTTGCCGTTTTAGCAGCCAGGGCCTGGATGGGGACCCAGAGGGGGGAGTGGGTTCACAAAGCCTGCCCAAGCCAGACATTCACATGATATGACTTGGTTCACAATAGCTTCTATTTTTGTTGATCCACTCGGGTTATCACTCCACTTGCACCCGCTTTTCGCCCCCTCTTTATCCAACACTCTCACTCGCCCCTTCCTACAAAATCATGGCCGACAGAACCAGCCGGGTCAGTGTCAAGCGAAAGGAGAAGAAGGCAGAAAACAAAACCAATGACGAGAAGGAGAAAGAAAAGACCAAATGCGGCAAAAAGCAGGAAAAAGTTGCCAAAAAGCCAGAGATGACCTCTGAGCCGTGTGCAATGGATGAGGACAAGAGGAATGGGGAGGCTACCGGGGCAGCAGCCGCGCAAGTGAAGAAAAATGATGGTAACGGCGAGTTTGAGCCCATTGAACTGCCACCATTTGAGATCGTTACAGGGTGGGTAAGATGCTCGCTTATCTGTTGCATTTGTTCTTTTTCTGTCTGCAGTATTTGTGTACAGTGCTTCATTTGCCTCATGATATACTTTAGCAGAGATGAGCTTGTGGAAAATGATCTTGTTGACATATTCACTGGATTCCTGAAAGATGGAAAGTGGTGGTGAGAAGTACCGAAGAACAATTCTTTGGTAGATTATTGTGATTTCTGAACTATTCTTGAGTGTATTTTTTTCACTTCCCTTTTTGCTTTTACTCACTACATTTGAAAAGAGAAATCTGCACTTTGTACTCCTTATTTTGTCAACAATAGGCTTGTATATTCTTTCAACCTTCACTGATGATGACACAATTTAAAAAAGACTAACCAGAGAGGTAAAGTTAACTGCAATTTAGCTCTTGTTTGACAGAGATCTTGATATCTTGTAAGATTGAAAAAAAAAAAACAGGTACAGCAGCGATATGGATGAATGTGAACCATTCATATTCTCCATCCATGTCCTTAATCAAGAGAACTGTTTGATGTTGTCACAAGCGTTGCATTTTGTGACATCCTACACCATCTTCTGGCATTCAAAAATTCTCAAGATAATCCCAGGAAACACATGAAAGTAGTTGTATTTATTTATTTATTTTTCACTTGTTCATCGCTAATTTAATATTTTGTGTTACTCGGTTCAAACTATGAGCAAAGTTGTCGGAATTTGGAAGGAAGTTGATCACATAAAAGTTGAGCCAATGCCAACTAGTGAATATGTTGTCTTGTAAGTACCATCCGAAAAAAATCACAAGCTTCATGCATTTAAAAACTCTCTCTGCATCATCTTTACTCAGTTATCATTAGCTAATTTACTCTTTTTCTCTTTCTCTGTTTACCACGTTAGCAGAGAATTTGGCAACAATTGTTTTGACAGCATAAACCCAGAGCCAACATGAGCTGGCTAGAACCCTCAGTATAAGCACTGTGGAAATTAAGAAAACAGGGGAATTATGTTTTTGTCCAGAAAAGTTTATTTTTACCATGTTAGCAAAATGGCTATTGAATATAAAGTGGTGTACATTCAATACAAACACGCACACTCACACAAGTAGAGTATCTCTATTTGGAGTTCTTAAGAGTAGGGTGTGTGCCTACTCTTGCCACCTCCTTTTTTATTAAACGTTATTGACCAAAACGCCATTTTTATCATCTCACCCTCTTTGGGATTTGTTCCAAAATCTTGCAATGTGATCAGAAATTGACATATATATTTTTTAACTTCCTACCAGAGAGCAGATGAGCCCATTCTACTTCAAGTTTCAGTTCAGAAATGTGGAGTACTCGTCCGGCAGGAACAAGACCCTGCTGTGCTACAGAGTGGACACGCCAGGAGGCAGCACTGAGCCTTTGAAAGGTTATCTGGAGGATGAACATGCCACAGCTCATGCTGAAGAGGCTTTCTTTCAGCAAGTAATGTGCTTCCCCCCCTCAGCTGTTCACACTGCCTTTATCCCTTTTCCGTAATGGCAGCATCAGTGGTGATTCTGCGCCGGTCTCCAAAGTTACACCAGTGCTTTGTGTTTCGAAGGTCACCCACACTGGTATAATAAACTGGTGCCTGAGTTGCCCTCAAAGCTTCCTGGACCAGAAATTTGAACCCATTTGTGAAAGTACAGGTCGCATTAGTTGCTACAATCAACACGTTAGCAATTGTTTGATGATGCATGTTTTATTATTATTACCGGTATTATTTTTTATTATTTGTACGCTTATCAAAGGAGGTATGTGTATATTATTCAGTTCATTTACTGTAATCAAACAGGTACAGCAGCGATATGGATGAATGTGAACCATTCATATTCTCCATCCATGTCCTTAATCAAGAGAACTGTTTGATGTTGTCACAAGCGTTGCATTTTGTGACATCCTACACCATCTTCTGGCATTCAAAAATTCTCAAGATAATCCCAGGAAACACATGAAAGTAGTTGTATTTATTTATTTATTTTTCACTTGTTCATCGCTAATTTAATATTTTGTGTTACTCGGTTCAAACTATGAGCAAAGTTGTCGGAATTTGGAAGGAAGTTGATCACATAAAAGTTGAGCCAATGCCAACTAGTGAATATGTTGTCTTGTAAGTACCATCCGAAAAAAATCACAAGCTTCATGCATTTAAAAACTCTCTCTGCATCATCTTTACTCAGTTATCATTAGCTAATTTACTCTTTTTCTCTTTCTCTGTTTACCACGTTAGCAGAGAATTTGGCAACAATTGTTTTGACAGCATAAACCCAGAGCCAACATGAGCTGGCTAGAACCCTCAGTATAAGCACTGTGGAAATTAAGAAAACAGGGGAATTATGTTTTTGTCCAGAAAAGTTTATTTTTACCATGTTAGCAAAATGGCTATTGAATATAAAGTGGTGTACATTCAATACAAACACGCACACTCACACAAGTAGAGTATCTCTATTTGGAGTTCTTAAGAGTAGGGTGTGTGCCTACTCTTGCCACCTCCTTTTTTATTAAACGTTATTGACCAAAACGCCATTTTTATCATCTCACCCTCTTTGGGATTTGTTCCAAAATCTTGCAATGTGATCAGAAATTGACATATATATTTTTTAACTTCCTACCAGAGAGCAGATGAGCCCATTCTACTTCAAGTTTCAGTTCAGAAATGTGGAGTACTCGTCCGGCAGGAACAAGACCCTGCTGTGCTACAGAGTGGACACGCCAGGAGGCAGCACTGAGCCTTTGAAAGGTTATCTGGAGGATGAACATGCCACAGCTCATGCTGAAGAGGCTTTCTTTCAGCAAGTAATGTGCTTCCCCCCCTCAGCTGTTCACACTGCCTTTATCCCTTTTCCGTAATGGCAGCATCAGTGGTGATTCTGCGCCGGTCTCCAAAGTTACACCAGTGCTTTGTGTTTCGAAGGTCACCCACACTGGTATAATAAACTGGTGCCTGAGTTGCCCTCAAAGCTTCCTGGACCAGAAATTTGAACCCATTTGTGAAAGTACAGGTCGCATTAGTTGCTACAATCAACACGTTAGCAATTGTTTGATGATGCATGTTTTATTATTATTACCGGTATTATTTTTTATTATTTGTACGCTTATGAAAGGAGGTATGTGTATATTATTCAGTTCATTTACTGTAATCAACCCATTTCACTGAATCATAAATAAATAAAAGAAATTCTTCATCTGTGACAGTGAATACGTGTAAAAAGCAGAGTTCCGTTAAAGGAATCTCGGAAAGCTAAATTGGTTCAGACCAGGGGTCACCAACCTTTTTGAAACTCAGCTCCTTCTTGGCTACTGTTAATGCAGAGGGCTACCAGTTTGATAGTATTCACTTTTGAAATAAATTTCCTCAAACTACCTTCATCGGTTATGATTAATGATGTTCATTTAGGAGAAGACACTGATCACATTAGCGATTTCTCACAATAATTATGAAATAGACAAAAAGGTTATTATAAATATCTGCCAGTGTTCACATTTTCAAATGATCACTTCTACAATATTGCTGGAGTCTCATCACTTGTGAGCTATTTTTGGAATAGGCCCGCGGGCTACTCATGTCGTCCTTGAGGGCTCCCTGGTGCCCACGGGCACCACGTTGGTCACCCCTGATTGAGACGGTGCATTTCTAATTGAACCAGAACCATACTGGTTTGAATGTAAAAAAAGGTACACGAAGTGAAAACTCTTTTCTCCCCTCTTACCTTTCAAGGTACTGCCTGATAGTAACCCCTCCCAGGAATATGACGTCACATGGTACGTGACATCGAGTCCCTGCGTGGCCTGTGCAGCCAAGGTGGCCAACATCCTGCGGCAACGCAAGAAGCTCCGTCTGTGTGTTTTCTGCTCTCGTCTGTTTGAGAGCGAGGAGCCAGCGATAGTGGAGGGGCTCAAGGCTCTGGCGAACGCTGGCTGCAAGCTGAGGATGATGAAGCCCTCTGACTTCGAACATGTTTGGGAGACTTACGTGGAGAAGGAGGACCAGAGCTTCACTCCCTGGGAAGACTGTAAGGAGAACTACGACTACTATATGGAGAAACTGGCTGATATCCTCAAGTAAATGTAAGCCAGCAGATCATGTGCATTGTTTGAAGTCTTTCGATTTCTAATAAAACAACAGAAAAAAAAATTTTTTTTTTTCCTTTCGCAGGTTCACACATGACATGACATGACATGATTTCTTCTCCGGTGGAATATTTACAACTTTTTGGGGGGTGATTTCATTGGAATACACAAAGTTTTACTTCAAGTGTATTTTTTTAATTGTCGTTCTATTCATCACATATTATCCAACAGGCCATAACAGACAGAGAACAAGTTTTGCTGTCACATTTACATTAAAGGTACAGCTCTTGTCTTTAAGATTTATCAAAATTGTCTAATCTGGTGTTTGCTGGATGAGTCGTGCATAAATTAACAGCGATGGGCTTCTGTCATGCAGTGAGGGTAAGGAAGCTGACAAAGTATCCATCCATCCATGACTCCGCTTATCCTCACGGGTCACGCGGGCAGCTGACAAAGTAAATGTTCCAAAATATTTTAACGGTACGTAAATGAGCTCAACAAAAATAGAATCCTACACTTTGAAGCAACCAATAATATGTGCAATGTGCATCAGTGGAGATCTGACTTTTCATTTGCACCGCCAGCCAGTCTCATACGGTATGTTGTTATTTTCATCAACTTTTCTTTGGCTGTTGAACGCAGCTTTCAAATACTTCAACACAGACATCGTCGGCAGATCAGTGTTGAAAGGAAACCAGAGCACCTTCCTGCGCCGGAGGTTTTTCACAGCTCTCCGTTGTCACAACTACAGACATCAAGAGACAAAAAGAGTATTTGGACAGTCTCATTATTGATTATGATACAGCACAAATACCTTACCTTGGTCATCCTGAGAGGTTACCGACAGTGGCGTTTCTTCACTACAAATAATGTCCGCTTCTTCTGCAGGACAAATTTAAAGAAACATAAGTGAGGAATGATCTTAGTGACACAAAATCATTCATTCACCTGGCCTGTACCTTTTGCTAGATCGTTTAGTTTCTCATCCGTGATGTAATCAACCAGTGGACAAGGAGCGTCTGCGGGCAAGAGAGAGGAACTTAAACACGAGTGGCAACGCCTAGACTGAGGCAAGCCATGCTTGCGGTTTCTAAAATAGCAACCAAATGAGTCATCAAATATGAGGAAACAGCGAGTGGCCCGTGTCGCCATACCATCACGGTCTTTGAGTTGAGCCATGGTGAGGAAGAGCTCGGCCTCCTCTGGCCCTTCAAAGTGGTCTGCTGCACAATTAAAAAAGACACCTGGTCACCGTGCTGCCTCACAGGCTCACGTTTGATAGTCCTCAAAATCAGCGGTTCTCAAACTGTGGTACTTGGGGGTTTGGGGGTCAGAAAATAATCAACAAAAACATGATTATATTATATCATTTAAAAAAGTGTATATTAGGTGAAACGATTATGAGGGAATTCCTGGAAGAATTTCTCTCCCGTAGTTGTCCTTGGACCCCAAAAGGTTGAGATCCCTTCTTTAAAATGTCCACCACACCTTTTCTTCTGGTGACTCTGAGAACAACGCAGCCGAAGAAAACAGCAACGATACCAAAGAGGATACAGCCGGAGATGGAAAGAAGCACCCGCCTCTTTAACACTAGAGGTAATCAAAGCCACAAACAAACGTGAGGAAGTACTTGCTGGTCTAATCAAACATCCGACTTCCACACGGAATTCAAAACTTACATAAGTTCTTCGTTGCGAGAGCATCACTGCGTTGGGAGTAAGAAGGTCGCCCGCTCTGAATACCTTGGCAAATGTACTGGCTCTGCACAGGGTCATTCTGGGGTGTTACCGTGTATTTGTCAGATGTTGAGTTCATGATCCACTGGCCTTCCATGAACCTGTTTGATGCGTGGCATATTTCACACACACTAGGTCAGCCTGCATAACCTAATGACATCCACGCCAAGTGTTGCATCTACGTGACAGAGTAAAGGTGGAAAGGGGAAAAGTCCCATCTAAGGAAACCTTGAGCAGAACCAAAACGCTGTGGGAAACCCACCAGCTGGCACGAGCTGGATAAAGAGTTTGAAGCTTATTGTTCTCTCATCATCTCTAATCAGGCTGTTGAATTTTGGACGTCATGCGATTGTGTAAGTGTATATTAGCATTGTCTTTGTAAACAGCACAAATGTAAGTGGCTTAATCTGTTATTACCATTTGAAGGTCCACATTTCCTCGCTACCTTTCACCTCACACATAAGCACAAGACTGTCAGTGGAAAAGACCTCAGACCATCCGGTTAAGACCATTATATTTGCTGATGGCCGTTCTGCAGGGGGAAAAATATCGCATATGAAAGTTTCTTGATGAAACACATAATGAAGGCGATGATTACAAGGGAGATGGAGACACACACCTTCAACTTGGAGCCTTAAAGCTTGACTTTGTTCCGTTTTGAAGATTCTAGTAGTTCTCCCTCTGACTGCTTCACATTTATATGATCCAGTGTTTGTTTTGTCCACAGAACGTATTGTGTAATTGTTTCCAGATACTGAGAGCCGAATGTCATTTTGGTACCACACATACTCCCATCCAGAGGACTGGTTGATGTGACAGCTATACGAGACGGAATCTCCGGTGTGCATAACCACGTCCTCGGGGTCCTGCCCCAGTTTGGCGATTGGTTTGTTGTCTAAGTAGAAAATGGTGATTACATGCCGTCGTTTGCATTTTTCCAAATGCAGTGCTTCTTGGACTTACAAACTGCATGTGTTTTTCAAGAAACAGGACTCACCATAAACCCTGAGGGTCATTCCAGATGTGCAGTTGCTGCTGACAGCCCTGTCTTTGAGCTTCCCCCAGCAGCAGTACTGCCCTTCGTGAGAAGTCGAGGCAGAGCGGATGGACAGGGTAGCTCCATCCGGCCCAAAAGACACCGCGTCATCACTGGGGATCACCCGATTGTCTCGGTGCCACGTATACGTCCAGCCAGAACTGTTGACCATCGTGCAGCTCAGTGTCACACTCTCGGTGGGGAACACATCAGCCCACTGACTGCTTCTCATCAAAGATGGCAGAGGAATTTCTGAAAAGACACACGCGCGCGCGCGTGCGCACACACACACACACACACACACACACACACACACACACACACACACACACACACACACACACACACACACACAGCCCAGTCAGCCATTTTGATTCAAACACTGCATTGATTCCTCTAAAAAGAACAGCGCGTCAGTCAGTTGAGCGCAGACCTTGACCCTTGTTGGCATGTCTATGTCCAAATCTAGCAACGGGATCAGCATACTGATTCAAATCCACACATCTCTCTCTCTCTCTCTCTCTCTCTCTCTCTCTCTCTCTCTCTCCCCATGAATTAAATCCCAATATTCATGGACTGTTGGTAATTGAAAATCTAAAATGCAGAGAAAAAATGACCAAGTTGAAAAACAAAACAGGTCACCACCATCCGCCCCAGTTTAATTTTCACCGCGAAATGTATTCATTTCCGTCCCCTCCCTGCACAGTACCACATCCTGTTTCAACAGAATAAAAACAGCTTGGAAAGGAAGCAAGGTGCACACTAAATGCTGTTCAACTTACAAACTGATTTAAACATGGGTAGATTGTTTCGACTCAATTAAAATTTTTTTCATGTGATTAAACTAAGCATGGTGGACGACTGGTTAGCAAGTCCACCTCACACTGCTGAGGTGCAGGATTTGATTCCGGCCTTCCTGTGTGGAGAGTTTGCATGTTCTCCCCGTGCCTGCCCGGGTTTTCTCCAGGTACTCCGGTCCCCTCCCACATTCCAAAACAGGCTGATTGAACACGCTAAATCAGGGGTCAGGAACCTATGGCTCACGAGCCAGGTGTGGCTCTTTTGATGATTGCATTTGGCTCGCAGATAAAACAAGATATTCTCACTTGTTAAATCCATCCATCGATTTTTCACTGCTCATGTCCCGTTCAGGGCTGCAGTTGGCGGCAGGAGCAATTTCAATTGGATGATACTGGCCGACGTTGGCCATTGCTGGGGAAACAGGTAAATGCCCCCTTTTGAGTCAGCCCGCTTGGTCATTAGCTCAAAGCTAATCCTTCGATGAATAAGATGGCGAAAAGAAACAAAGATGACGAGTATGGTACACTTCAGGACAAATGGACCGAAGGATTCACCTTTGTGGAGAGAACAGGTCTAATTTGCAATGACAAAATACCATCGATGAAACGGTCGAATGTAAAGCGGCACTTTGACACACGCCATGCTACGTTCGCCTCAAAATACCCTGCGGGAGACAGCAGAAAGGAAGCGTGCAAGCTACTGAGCAGGGTGCAAGCTAGCCAGCAGCAACTCCGCGTATGGACCTGGCAAACTGACTATAATTCCGCTAGTTTTGCTGGATTTTTAGCAATCTTGAGGAATGGAAAACCATTCACATTAATAGTGAGTATTATCACAAAATTAAGAAAACGGATGGATGGATATAAAGGATGGATGATTGAACTGAACCTACCGAGAACCTCTTGAGTCACCCTCTCGCTGATGTCCGTCGCTGTTCTTTGACCCCTGGTGGCCTTGCACCAATAGATCCCCTCATCATGAGGGCCGAGTTTGATTCGAAGGGTTTTGTCTGTAGCCACAAGCTTCTTTTCGTCTTTGAACCAGTGGTAAACCCAACCAGACCCCACATGAACTTTGCAGGTGAATGTGACGTTTTCTCCAACATACATCGAGGTCAAAACAGGATCCTTGCTGAGTGATGGTTTCGGGATATTTTCTAAAACAAACACAATAGATGGTCCAATATATCAGTCATTAGTAGGCATTCCCAACTAGCTCTAGTTTCACTGAATTGGTCCGAAAATTATTAGTTTTGTATTTAGTACAAATAATATACAGTATCTTTGGTCATTTATCTATGTCACTGATGTTTAATCATAAGCAGAAAAAAATTGCTCTTACGCAAGATAGCAGGAGGTATATTTAACCTAGGTATCCACCTTTGCCATCCGTGTACCTTGGTTGGGAAACACTGATCTACACTACATACATCTACGAAACATTTTTACCAGATACACCAAAAAAAATGCAAACAGTTATTAAAGGTCAGGACAATTTTGAAGACTTGAAACCTTTGTAATGAACAGCACGGTCATTTGTTACAAGAGACAATCCTTTAACTGTTTGCTAAGACTTCAGTGTGTTAATTCTTTTGTTTTATACATGGAAATGAACAAAAAATAAGAAACCAAAGCTCTAATGTACATCGTATGGCCACAAAACATTTGCTGGAAATCGTTGTGAAACCTTTTTCATGAGAGTTGAATGTACTTATCAACAAGCGTGCTTCACATTAAGACAAGGAGAAACAAGTCGCTCGGTCTTCACCGGGCTGCCCAATATTGCATAAGCCCTAAAAAAACTACAATCTGTCGATTTGTACAGAATCAGAAGGGAAAACACTCTTTGTATTTAAAAATATAAATAAGAAGCCGAAAAACATCCTTTACCGTAGACTGTAACACTTGTGGTCTTGCTGAAATCAGAGCTGACTCCCCTGGACTCGAGGTGTGCTTTGCAGGCATATCTTCCCCCGTGGGCTCGAGAAGCAGAGGTGATGTTAAGAAGAGATCCCCCGAAGCTCAGAACCAGTGCCGGGTCCTCTTGGAGCGCCATTCCGTTTCTGTGCCAAGTGATTGTCCAGTTAGGTCTGCCCACGTCACAAATGAGCTCCACGCTTTCCATTTGAAAGACGTCTGACCAAGAAGTCCGCAGCTTCATGGTTGGCGTGGGTGGTTCTGAAGTTAGACGAGTGGCAGTCAGAACAATGAAGAAAGGAGAACGGCATGTATCCAACAAGCCATCAAGTCGTGTGTCATGCTTACCAGAGACCTCCAGCATTGATGTTTCACTCTGCTCTGTGTAGAAAGGATTTTGTCCTCTCTTGGCTTTGCAGTAGTATCGACCACTGTCGGACACTGTTAAAGAAATTATTCTAAAACTGTTTTCAAGAGATCCATGGATTTGCTTGTCATTTTGGTACCACAGATAGTGCCATCCAAAGGAAATGTTCATTACGCACTGGAAGGTGACAGATTCTCCAGGGAACATTTTCTGCCACTTCGAGTTAAGCACCAACATTGGTTTGGGCTTGTTTGCTAACCGGTAAGAAGGGATCACAAATTAACATTCATATCATTTTCAATAAAGAGAGGACGAGAGAGATAGGAAACTTACCATAAACTTTCAGTTCAATTAGGTTACTGTGGATGGACTCGCCCTTCACCTCGTGATGAGCTTTACAAGAGTACTTTCCAGATTGCGCCTGAGATTCTGCGGTGATCGTGAGTGCCGCTTGGTTGGACAGATTGGACGAGACATTTTGGTCTACGTCATACAAGCGCTGGCCATTTCTGTACCAAATGAAGATCCAGTCAGAGCTGCTGTTGACACTACATCCAAAGTCTGCTTTCTCAAAGGGGAACACGTCCCACCAGGGGGACTGCAGTTGCAGTGATGGGACTGGAGGCTCTGAAAATATGTGGAAATAAATGCAATTTAGTTTGACACTTGGTAAATTTCACTAAAGAGAAGTTGAAACCAGGAAGTACAGTATTTCAACTTCACCCTAGTTTGGTTGAAGATTATTGAATGTCAGTCTCTTCAATCCTGCTTTTTACACCTACAGCAAGCGACAGCAGTAGGTTCCTTTTTGTAATGTACATCTTTGCGCATGATTACGCATGTACATTACGAGATGATAAGTGTGTTAGTTCGGAAGTAAGATCATTTGTTTACTGCAAACACATCGGGATTGGTACTTTGTTTCGACAATATTTTTCTGTTATTTGTTGCTCTTACTTTCTCAATATATTATACGTGTTTCAATGTTTTTGTATCATTTCAGAAGTGTGTTTAAAGACCTTGAAAAAAGGGTGTCGTAAAATGCTATGGAAGCGTGCCGTGGCTGTATTTATTATTTCTCATATGCGGATTTCATTTTTTGCGGTCGCGATCTGAAACGGGACCCCGGTTATGATAGAAGGGGGGATTAATGTATACGACGGTGGACTTTCTTTCTGTTCCTTTTGTTCATTTACCGCTGCACATTCTCATTTCAACCTTGTTTTCAGATCGTACTCACCATAGACAGTCTGCGTCTCAGTTGATGCTTCACTCGTTGGCGTCTCAGTTGATGCTTCACTCGTTGGGAAAATGTTTCTGGACATGGAGGTGACTGCCAGAGGGGAAGAGATGACATCAGTAATAATTTCTGTGCAATTCTTCTGCAAACGTTGTGAATATCTTCTTGGAGTCGAAATGGAAAACCAAAATTGAAACAATCAGGCCACTTAATCATTTCGTGAAGTAGTGTGCCTTGGAGGGGAAACCCTTTTTGTTGTCGCTCCTTTCCTCACCATAGATCGTCTGGTTTTCAGTTGGCGGTGCACTGGTTGGCACATTGTCCATCAACATGGAAGTGACTGGGTAGTTGGGAGATGATAGCACAGTTAATTTTTCAGTTTAAACACATTGCGACAAGAGAAAGATGGTTGTTGTAATTTTGGAGGGAGTAAATTGCATTGCAATAGAATGATGTGCTCGAAAAGTCGTGCCTTTTTGACTTGGACTTCAAATGCCAGACTATCTTAAGCCTTATAAGAATATGCTTTCGATTCAGGTGTGTTAAGAGTGGATTTGTCCCCATAATGGGGTCCACGATGGGTCAGGCTGACATCCTTAAATATGACATAAATTCAATATAAACCTTAAAAAAATCTTCACGTGAGTGGGGAAAGCCGATCACCTCCTGAGTCAATGAGTCCGTTTGACTGAGGCTGGGACCCGGTGACAGTAAAGCGAAACGGAATGGGAGCGAACCAGGAAGGAAGTGAGCATATTCTCACGCTTTTGCCGCAAATATAGAAGCACCTGCATGTGTTGCGTGTTCTGATAATCACATCTAACAAGTCAATAGCCACAATGACAATGACAAGGATGGCAGTTTGCAACTGCACTATAGCTAGCACATGAGCTTACAGTTAGCCTACGTTCTTCTAATTCTTCATCAATAACTCTTTCTTGTGCTTTGTATTTTGCATCAGTCTGGATGTCCTCTGGCACCACGTTGCCTCTCACAGGTCCATTTTAGAACTACAACAGACAATTGGCTTGGGGCAAGACACTCCAGATTGTCAATGGAAATATCATTGTATGTCGTGTGCTGCGTTAATAGTCATGAGTACATCACACACTAAAAGAGCAGTCAAACCACACTTGCTGATTTTGTTCTATTATGTGTAGGGTCTCTCACATTTTAAACTTCAGTTCAGACAATAAACACTGGTATGCAGAGCCAGCTAAAGAGCAACATCAAATAAAAGTCAATATGAGCACAAGCTGCAGTCTCAGCCTTAGTCCTACTGAAACCTGCACGAAAATGAATAATCACAGATTAAAAGGGGATCACAGGTGGCGGGACAATTTGGAAATATGGTAAAATAATATGAAATCCAGACAATAAATATAGCACAAAAGCCTGTCTCAGGAAGTGTCACTCGCACGAGAACAAAGTACTTCATGTTTCATCTGTGTAACTTCCTCAACATGTTTTCATTTGGTTCTGCTTTACCTCAGATTCGACAACATAAATTTCGAAGAATACAAAGCTGAATACTTGGGACGCACGAAAAAAGAGAGAAATGCATACGGACACCTTCAAGCTCAGTTTCGTCTCATACATGTATTTCAAACAGTAAAGTTTCTCACCATCCTCATAAGCCAGAGCAGAACAGAGAGCAGCAAGATCTGTTAAAACAAATGGAGATGAGCACTCTTTAACACGTCTCTTAACGGATGGATACACTCAGACTTACGCATGACACCAAAGACCTCGATGTAACCCATTTTCCATTGAGTGGCACATGCAGTGAAGTGATGCAGTCGCTGTGCGCTGAAGCTCAATAAAGGAAACCCACTGAACGGGCGTGTGAGCAGCAGCTTTCCTCCATGAGCCACATCTGCTTTTTCATGTTGTACTCCAGGAAATGAGTTAGTCAAGCACGTTCAGACCTCGTCTTCTCAGCAAAAAAATGCCACTTCCAGCTAGTCTATGAGGACATCACGCGTAAAGATTGAGCCACTTTACTTTGTATGATGGTCATTTTAATTGGAGCTAAATACTATACATGCTTTCTCCATCGGCATGCTGAACAACTGGTTAGCACACCCGCATCACAGTGCAGAGGTCGTGGGTTCAGTTACTGTGTGGAATTTGCACGTTCTCCCCGGGCCGGCGTGGGTTTTCTCCGGGTACGCCGGTTTCCTCCCACATTCCAAAAACATGCATAAATCTCCCTATGTTGTTAATTTGCCACTCTGAAAGGGAGCCTTTCACTTTTAACTCAATGGCAGAGACTTTTTGTTATACATGATAAATGATCACTTCGATATCAACTGTAGCTGAAAATAATGAGGGACACTTTCAATACATATAGAAATCCACATCGGATATCATCAAATATAAAATATTTATTTCACATCCTTTGCTCTTTGCAAAATCCAAACCATTTTATTGAGTGGTATACGGTACTACAATATAACAAACTGCAAATTTCAGACAAATCATTAGACATTCAGCCTGACACGTGACAAACCGGGTTATCATTCAGCATTTAGCAAAGCGGCATTGTTGGAGTGGCTGGATGCAATGATGTGGGTTGAGGACCATTGCTTCATTATGTACACAAATGCCGCACCAACATCTTTTCCTCTCCACTTGCCCAGAAACCTGGACACACACAAACAGTGAAATGTATGTGAAATTGTGTACAGAAGACAAGCTTAGGTTATTTGAAGTACTGTAGCATGTCTGTATGAATGGTGAAATTGTGCATGTATGCACACAAGGTTGCAAGTGAGGTAGTGCTCCTACTAATCCAGCAGATGGTGGTGTTGTTAAACAAACAAACAAACAAACAAAGGAATACATCAATAAATAAAAGCCAGTTCGGCCGGATAGAATCCATTTACCACATCATTTATGTTGTTTCTTTACAGTATGTGTTTTAACAATGATACAGAGTAGTACAAAAGTAATGTCTAACTAAATTGTCCCTGTACTTTCCATGCTCATTGTGGTGATGCAGTGCGTTTGCCAAACGACTAACTGTAGTCATGGATCTTACGAACCAATTTTTTATTTTATTTTTTTACGAGGCTTGAAAATTTCTGCCTAGCAACAAGTCCCCGTGCCAATCTTTATGCCGTGGCCATACAAAAGAATGTGAGCAGTTTTGTGGATCTCACTAGCTGGAGCTGAAGTCGTATTTCTTTTGTGAAGTTTTAGAATGAATCACATACATTCTGTGGCCGCAGCACTGAGCTATAATCTTGTTGTTGACCAAAATGTAGCATTTTTAACTGCATGGGCCTTTTCAAAAATCACCCGTCAGTTTCTGTTCTTCTTTGCCCTGGGGCCCACCCAGCCTGTGGACTCATGGTAATGTGATGAGTTTGGCTGCATGTCAGATTAGCGTGACTCATTTTTAGAAGCCGTGGACTGCATGGCCAACATCATCGAGCACCACCCCCCACTCCCATTAACAACCCCCTCTTCTCCCATAGGAAAGGGGCTCCCTAACTAATCCCTTGTTTTCCCCTTGAAGAACCCTCCCAAGTATGGTGGCGGCTCCATTGGCCCGCACCTGGAGGGACACAGTTAATCATGTCATCTACGGGCTGCGGTTCGCACTTGGCATGATAACACTCCTTTGGTTATGTGATCTGATCACGAGTGGGCAGCCGGAAATACAAGTGCGAATGCATCCCAACACACTGAGGATGTGTTCAAGACCGGACATCTGGGGTGGTCAGGAAGGAATGTGACCCTATCTGCAGACCGGTTTGGACACACACGTCTTTGCTTGCAATGAAGATCACCTCTGGAGTGTGTATGTGTGTGTGTTTTGCAGAAAGTTATTGTTTTTGCCACTCATCCTGGAACTGGTACAGTACTGTGTCCAATGTTAGAAATGACTCTTCCAGGCCTACATTTCATGGGTGCACTATAACATGAAATTTCCTCTCTTGGTCTCTCTGTCTCTTAAAGTGACTCTCCGAAAATCTAATTTAGCTATCTCTTTGGTGCAAGATGGAGTCTTTATTTTGTCTTTGACCTTACCTATTCTTACCTATAAAGGTTGATGTAATGCTTTATTTGCTCTTTTCCTTGTCAGTCTCCAAAAGATTCACCTCTGCCAAGAAAAAGAAGATTCCATTTTTGTATTGTTTGAATATGACACCACAATGTTATGTTTATTCCATGCAGTGGAGCCTTGGTATCAAATATGCCCCAATTTTCATACGATTCAGTATTTGGTTCATACATCTTCTAGAATCTTCAGTGATGGTAAAAATAGTTGGTTAATGTTTATTCATACGTTTCATTGGTCATTGATATTCATTTCACATAGTTTTCTTGATGTTAAGCTTTCGTTATTCTGTATAAAAATATATGTTGGAGTATCTGAACTCGATTAATTTGGATTTATATTATTTCCCATGGGAAATATGACTTCACTTTTCATAGTATTTTGGAATGGCTTAATCCCGAAAACCGAGGTTCCACTTACACACAGAGCAATTCTGCAGGCACCCGCGCATACATACGTTTGACCTCTAGTTTGCAGGAGACGGTGGCCTCTCCTTGATCATTCTTAGCTCTGCACGTGTACACGCCGCCATCAAAGCAGCACGGCTTGCGGATCTCCAAGGAGCAAATGCCCTGGTTGGAGAGCTGACGAAACTTGGGGTCGTCACCGATCACCATCTGGTTCTTCAGCCATTCGATCTTAGGCTGCGAGAAAAGAATAAGAATGAGCCTCTATCATCTCACAAATTCAGGACGTGACAGTTATAGTTTGGAGGCCAAGTATCTGGCTTGGCTTCCACTATTCGAGCCCCATCGGTCCTTTCTGAGCGTGAGTGTGCAGTCGAGGGACAGTAACTTAAAACTTTTCCTGACATTCGGTATGCACCACTCCAGGTTTCAGGGTGCATTTCTAGTTGAGCCTCAGGGTCTGACTTCAACCAAAGGGGTCCTGCTTATTATATTAGAGCAAAGGTCATGCTTTCTCAAACTGCTTGCCTCAACCTCTTTGGACAACACTCAGACCTTAGTGTCCGTTTTATTTTTGGGATGTTCGGGAACTGACAAAATGTACAATGTTATGACACAATGAGTAAAAGGATAGGACACAGTTTGTTTTCATATGTTGCTTAAAGTAAGATTGCAGTCATGCGTGAATGCTTTTCGTCACTCAGATTTGGTGGGAGATGAGGGATGCAACATTGTGACATGAACACCAACACCTCAGGCAAACTACTAACTGCTGTTAGTTCAACAAACAGATTAAAATCATTTTTTGAGTGTAAGTCATCAAACTCTTCCTTTAAAACACAATGGGTGATGAGCAGTGGCGATTCGGTGTTGCTACAGTTAACGTGAAAAAGTAACCCAGTTACGTTACTGATTACTTGCTTTAAAAGGTAACTTTTAGTCACTCTAGCAAATACTTGATTTTAAAAGTAAATAAGTACTGTACTATAACTGGAGTCAGATTACTTGACTGCAAAAAGTAGCGAGTTAAATTAGTTGTTACTAGAAAATGTGCACAATTTGGAGAAACGCGTTACTTGGTAACGCTTTACCGACACAGCTGGTGGCATGTAATATTGGTTTGGCCAAAGCACAGCACTCTTTTCAAACATGTTTGTTAATCCCAGTCATGGTTTTTACACTTCTGCCGACAATGAGTTTCGGCACTGAAAGACTACGAGATGATACAACTGTCCGTGAGGAGGGTTTTACCTTGAACTGTACATGAAATGGTTCTACTGCTCTTATTTTGTCGACAATCTCGTTAATGTGCCACCAAGTTTCCATCGCACTAAAATGTGTTTGGGGTTAGAGGTAAATTCGCTGATAACTGTGCCACATGAAGGAGTGGGTGACAAAAATAGCAACCTCTCCGAACGGCATCTTCACAGCCGGACGAGAGACTAACTATTCTCTTATCTGTTTTTATCATTCGCGTCTTCCCTGCTCAGCTTCCAGCACACTACATCTCCATTAGTGACAGCTCATTATCAGAGATGCCTGCATACTTAGACCTCCAGGGCAGTTGTAAAGTAAGTCAGCTGGGAGGGGCAGTAGGCCCATAAACACATCATTTAATTTTGGTTAGTCCTATAAAAGGAATGAAATAAAATAAATCCCTTGACAGGCAATCGGTGGATACGGTTGCTCATAGCTGCTTATACGCAAGTGCTGTTGTTGCAGATTTCGAGCCAGCTGCAACTGTGACGTCTCCCACAAGATGCATTTAGATACAGCATTCATTGATGTTCATTCCAGGACCAGTGCGTGATTCGCCACTTGAATCAGTCCCAAACATAGAAATCCACTTGAAGGTGTGTGACGGGGCAAGCTTTGAATGCTCGGACGCACACATGAATGAAAAATAGAAACAGACACAACCCAGGTATTTGAAACACCGACTACTATTACACAGCAGGCCGGCCTTCCTGTTCCTGTAGTCTCTGTGATGCAGGACTACGAGAGCGCTCGAGGCATGCCGTGTTCTAAAATTCCACTTGGATTTGCCTAAGCACCACTGGTATGACTCTGCAAATGTGGTTGTCCTTGGTGAGAAGCCAAGGACGGCGAGAACACATAATCAGCTGCATTTCCACCACGGCCTGTCACCTTAAGCCGGCCGCGTCAGGCAGGCAACTGTAAAGATCAGTGGTGGATGCTGGTCTGTCAAGGAGGGGAAGCTCAATTTCGGCCTACATCATAAAATGTGTCCGTTCATTTATACGTGAATTCTACTCTCCGTTACTTTTCAAGAAAATGATTTGTGACCCTGTCATACCAACAAGGTGTCTTATGCAGGGACTTCACTAGTGTCCTACAACTACAGCAACTACAATAAAACCCACCAGAAATAAAAGATTAATTTGTCGCTTGTCGTTTTCAACAAAAAGAGTGTCGCTAAG